TGCCGTCTCAGAATCATTCCATCCCTGAAAGTGGTAACCTATTTTCAAACAGGCAGGAGTAAGGTCTTCACTGACCATGGTGCTGCTTTCATGTTTTCTTTTTCTTTTTATCCTGAATACCGGTGGTACATTGGTACGAAGGGTTGCCTGTCCCTCTACTGTAAAATGGGCAAACCTCCTTCCATACCTGTAATCAACACACATTTTCATGAGCCAGAATTGAGATAAGTGTGACCATAAAAAAAAAGTCATCGTTCAGGAAGTGCGTGTAGGAGCTGAAGTTACTCATGAAACTGTAAACACAAGTTACAAATCAAGAGTTACACACACACAAATCTTTAGTTATGCACACACAAATCTAAATACACACACACACACATATTTAGTTAGACACACAAATCTAGATACAAACGCAAAAATTTAGATACACATGCACAAATCTACACACACGCAAACAAGCAGACCTTGTGAGACTTTTTTCTCCCCATACAGCAGCAACGTTTCTGCTGCAGCATCGATGAAAACAAATTTCTAATAAGGTGTTTTGTAGCTGGAGGATTAGTAGTATTAACATCACTGTCAACATCATCATCTCTGATTCATTTATTATTATTCATCATGAGGTAGCTGTTGTCTGGACTTCAAGTCTGTTCAAACTTCAGCCTAAGGGAAGGAGGATGAAGGCCCCATTGTTTTGTGTTTTCCTCTGATTCTGCAAATGCTGGTGTAAATGTTCTCTGAAGAGCAGGGGTGGCTTTAAGGGATGGCCAGGGGGAGCCATGTCCCCCCCTGGAAAATTGCTGGCCAACTTAAACCCCACCCCCACCCTCCACCCCCCCACCCCCCCAGGCAAGACACCTGCTCCTCCCCTTTAATAAATTATATTCATCTTCAATCATGTTCTTTAATTAACACATACATTTACAATAAAATAACTACATTAATAATTAATGGGTACAGAAATAAAACAAAAAAAGACGTGCATGTTGCTGTTCCTCACTATTTTCATAAAAAAATGTCTAGATGTCAATAGTTCTTGTTAAAGGCCAGCTTAACTGAGAAATGCATATTTTTGATATGCGATCGGTCACTCTCAGTTTAACATGCAGGCTAAATGTGAAAATAGTCTACACCCCTTTTTCCTGCATTAACTGCCGATAGAAACTAGATGGAGAAATACTTGGATTAGAAAAGCCAGTCAATTGCAAGTCATATTATCAAATTAGCGTATTACGTGTGTGATGGAGCATTGTCCTGCATGAAAATCATGTTTTTCTTGAAGGATGCAGACTTCTTCCTGTACCACTGCTTGAAGAAGGTGTCTTCCAGAAACTGGCAGTAGGACTGGGAGTTGAGCTTGACTCCATTCTCAACCCGAAAAGGCCCCACAAGCTCATCTTTGATGATACCAGCCCAAACCAGTACTTCACCTCCACCTTGCTGGCGTCTGAGTCGGACTGGAGCTCTCTGCCCTTTACCAATCCAGCCACGGGCCCATCCATCTGGCCCATCAAGACTCACTCTCATTTCATCAGTCCATAAAACCTTAGAAAAATCAGTCTTGAGATATTTCTTGGCCCAGTCTTGACGTTTCAGCTTGTGTGTCTTGTTCAGTGGTGGTCGTCTTTCAGCCTTTCTTACCTTGGTCATGTCTCTGAGTATTGCACACCTTGTGCTTTTGGGCACTCCAGTGATGTTGCAGCTCTGAAATGTGGCCAAACTGGTGGCAAGTGGCATCTTGGCAGCTGCACGCTTGACTTTTCTCAGTTCATGGGCAGTTATTTTGCGCCTTGGTTTTTCCACACGCTTCTTGCGACCCTGTTGACTATTTTGAATGAAACGCTTGATTGTTCGATGATCACGCTTCAGAAGCGTTGCAATTTTAAAACTGCTGCATCCCTCTGCAAGATATCTCACTATTTTTGACTTTTCTGAGCCTGTCAAGTTCTTCTTTTGACCCATTTTGCCAAAGGAAAGGAAGTTGCCTAATAATTATGCACACCTGATATAGGGTGTTGATGTCATTAGACCACACCCCTTCTCATTACAGAGATGCACATCACCTAATATGCTTAATTGGTAGTAGGCTTTCGAGCCTATACAGCTTGGAGTAAGACAACATGCATGAAGAGGATGATGTGGACAAAATACTCATTTGCCTAATAATTCTGCACTCCCTGCAGTAGAATTGCATCACTGTTAGCCAGTCAGAGGTGAAATGTCAGAATATCAGTAAATAAGACTCAGAATCCTGCCACCCACAGACATCATATTCGTAGACACCCCGTGGACTGGCACTGCCTGTTGGAGCTGGTCTAGCAGCGGGCTGCCATCTGTCTAAACTAATAATCACATTTTATTATGATTTTTCATAAAGTCAGACATATGGTGTGGCATGATAATTAAAATCTAAACATAATTAAAAATAAATTAAAATTGTTTATAATATAAAATCCCAACAGATAGGCTAGAAAAGTCAACAGTAATCCCATGTGATCTGTTGGTGCGCCAGTTGTTGCAACCACAGGCTGCACAACAAAAGGGCATAGTTGCCCACTCTGGGTTGACTCCAGTTGAGTTTGGAAAGGGAGGAACCCACCCAATATGGCGGCGACCCTGTTACGCTCTCTAGAACCCAATGAGGCATCTACGTATTCATATCTATGCTGCCATGAGCAGTTCACCACTCCTCTGGATCTCTTCTAGATCCTGAAACAGGAACACCAGAGCTTTTTCCCCACAGAAATTGACTCACAAGGCATTCGTTTACACTAGAGACCACTGACAATGTGTGAAAATGGTCCAAGGTGAATTCAACTGTTCTAGAATGCTAAAACAATAATTAGAGAAAAGCTAATTAAAATAGCTGTTGTCTTTTTCTGAAATGTTTGCAAAGTCCATTCAATTCAGTTTATTTATATAACACCAAATCACAACAAAGAGTCGTCTCAAGCACTTCACAAAGTAAACATTACAACACAGTTCAGTTCACCAATCAGTAAAATGTTTCCTATATAGGAGTCACCGACTAGTGGCAGTGTCTTTACACCAATCCTCATACTGAGCAAGCATGCAGCAACTGTGGAGAGGAAAACTCCCTTTTAACAGGAAGAAACCTCCAGAGGATCCTGGATCAGTATAAGCAGCCATCCACCATTACTCAATGGAGATCGAGAAGACAGAGCAGACACACACACACACCGAAACACACACTAAAGCCCTTTTTACAAGACACACCATGCCAGCAAATTGGTGTAACATTACCGCAATGGTATGTCTATAAACTCGCCATGCCGGCATGGTGTTGCGCAAATTTTGCGGCATTCGTTCCACTTGGCTTGGTAGTAATATTGCAGTAATGGTCTGTCGTATGCGCCTTGGTGCAACAGAGGCAGATGTCATGATGACGTGGGGAGTTATTGCTGAGCTCCGGCTGAAAAATTTATTGAAAATGAAAGTAAACACAGGCAATAAGGTTTGCTTTTTGAACAAAATCAGCTGAAATGGCAAACTGGAGCGCCGCAGCACTCCGTGAGCCTCTCTGTTAGAGCTGAAGCTCAGATCTCCAGAGACTGCACAGGGACTGATGGGGACAGACACCTTTTGGAGCTGCTTGTAAAAAAAACTTAACGATCACGGCTTCAATCGCAATAAAAAGCAAGTTATGTCCAAGATAATCGGAAGTTTGCGGCAGCGCATAGACCGCCCCATACCCCCTTTATGCCGCCATCACCTGATCTTTTAGGAAACTGCCACGATTGCGCCACATTACCGCCACGGTCTGATCTTATAAACAACCTTTATCCTCCCCAGGGAGCTGCGGCAAATCCCGTTTTGCAAATGCTGTGGTCCTGTAAAAACAGCTATTCAGACACCCCCCCCACACCCATACACACACAATGTACCAATATACCAAGTAGTATTTCTATGGCTACATTGTGATTTCTTAGTAGATATTCTTTTTAGTAGGAGATCAACTTTATTGTCTTTTTCTAACTGAATCTATAATTAATTCAATGGGTAAACTAGTAGTAGCACATTCCATGTCAAAGACAGTACAGCGTTACTATCAGGAGAGGGAGAATGTTTAAGTGGTTAGCAGCAGTGTGCCAGCCGATGGCCCCTACCATGAGGCTACCACTGATTAGCAGAACACCATTGTAGCTTCTTCTGAGGAGAAAAATACTTAGAGGGAAAATAATTGAAGTTGGTCTGTTTTCATGCAGATCGCACCACTTTTTGCAAACATATTTGTTCCTATGCACCAATCAGAAAAATCCTCTGTCCCTCTCCTTTTCTAGTTGGGGCACAACAACCATTATTAGCTACATGGACAATTACAGAGGAGAGGGCTGTTATCCAGACAGATTTAAGCTGCTTTTCGAGGAGCAGTGCCAATTTACACAGTTGTGGGTCACAGCGCTGTGCACAATTATAGAAGAAAAAAAATCTGCTTAATCTGATCAGAATAGATTTAGTTAGAATTTACTTTTATTGGGTTTTTTGCACAATGATAAACAAAATTGTAGCTAATTAAATTATTTAATCTGGTCATTTAATAACAGGCTATTGCACAGATGCCCACAAAATGATACATGTACACAGTATATTTTATATTAGTAATAACGATGATAAAGATTACGTTTAAGCCAGTTAAACTCATCCTGATCCTTAATGACAATAAGATTGAATGCAGCTTTTATCTCTAATTTTTATTGAAGAGAAGAATCCCTTGTGAAGGAACAGCAGCAATTTCACTTTGTTTCAAAAAAAAGTTCAATATCACTGAAAAAGAGTCTCCCACCACTGAAGTGCTCTAAACAGCAGACAGTCCTTTAATCCACCAGCACGTAATCCCAACCGATCAAATGTGAGATTACAAACTGGGGTGGGAGGGGGCAGAGCAGAGGCTGAGCTCAGACGTGACAGTGGTAATGCATCAGAGGCACAGATTGGTGCACACAAATAGTCGTCCAATCACAGCAGAGGAAGGGGAAATAATAAGGATGAGGGAGAGCTGCTGAACGAGGGAAGAGCTATGAAAAAAGCGAGGGAGAAGGTGAAATCACAGCAGCATGCAGAAAAGACCTTATAAAGAGGAGAGGAAGGACGAGTGGAGGGGAAGGAGCTGATCAGTGAGGTCTCCCGAGAGGAAGTGGAAGGAGATGAGCAGGGGGAGGCGGGGGAGTGAGCAGCCAGCACAGAGAACATCCATCAGCTGAGGCAGCCATGCTCTGAGCCCTGGAGCAGCAGGGCTACGCAGACAGCACAGGCCCAGCACCAGGCCCACAGCGTGGCCCTCCGTCCCAGACTCAGACAGCACAGCTGGGACGAAAGACCATTCTCCTCCCATCAGATGCACCTTAGAACCATGAGAACCGCAAGAAAGGGCAGCGTGGAGATGCCTGCATTTGTGCGGCAGCTGGTCAAAGAAACAGAGAAGAGGGTCAGCTCTTTCTTCAAAGTGGGCCGTGGAGGAGCAGCAGAGGGAGAGCAGCATGGGGAGGGGGAGAAGGAGGAGATCATCCCCAGCCCGTACCTGGACCGACCAGTGCTGGACAAGTTAACGGAGGAGGGCTGCGCCCGCTGGGGCCTCACATACGCCCTGGGAAGCATGCAGGGCTGGAGGGCCAACATGGAGGACTTCCACAACTGTGTGCCCCAGCTGGGGGGGGAACTCGCTGAGTGGAGCTTCTTCGCTGTGTTCGACGGTCATGCAGGCAGCATGGTTGCACAATACTGCTCCCAGCATCTTCTGGGACACATCCTGGCCACAGGTGGGAGAATATGTGACACAGATAGATGATTTACTCCTGAGAATAGCAAATACATTGATTCTGATTTTGTGTTTGTGCACACAGGTGGCGTTGGACTAGAGGACAACCCTGAAAAGGTGAAAGGATCCATCACAGACGGGTTCCTACAGACGGACAAACACCTGCACAGTGTGGCCCGGAGAGAGGGCTGGGAAAGGGGTGGCACCACTGTGGTTTCCACCCTCATCTCACCTTATTACATCTACTTTGCTAACTGTGGAGACTCCAGGGCCATGCTGTGCCGGTCTGGGCAGGTGTGTTTCTCCACTGAGGACCACAAACCTTACAGCCCCCTGGAGAAAGAACGCATTGAGAGTGCAGGAGGTTCAGTGTCCCTCCAGAGAATCAATGGCTCCCTGGCGGTGTCCCGAGCCCTGGGGGACTTCAGCTATAAGGGGGTGGAGAACCGGCCTCCGAGCCAGCAGATGGTGTCACCAGAGCCAGAGGTGTTTGCGGTGGAACGCTCGCCTACAGATGAGTTCCTGGTCCTGGCCTGCGACGGGGTGTGGGACACCATCAGCAACGAGGAGCTGTGTGCTTTCATCCGCAACCGGTTAGAGGTCTGCACAGACTTAAGGGACGTCTGCACTCAAGTCATCGATCTCTGTCTGTATAAGGTCAGAGCGGACTCAGTGGATCTGACTTTAAGCTCTTTTAAAAACAAGATGATCCTGTGATCAGAACAAAGCCTTTCTCATGACTTCGAACATCAAACCATTTCAGGTTGCAGCCTCAACTTATGGTTTGAGAAATTGCACGCAACTTTATCTTTTCTATTCTAAAAAAATAATATTAAAATAAAACAGCAAAATTTGTAATAAGTCAGGAAAGAACAGCACATGTAGTCAAATAATGGCCCCCAGATGCTAGATGAGAGGTTGTTGAGCTTATCTTCTCTAACTGAGAGAATATTAAGAAAGAACAACAGAAGGGACCAGATGAACAGGCTGTTTGCATACATGCTAACAACCATCCTGCCCTCTGTCTGGACATCATATCACTGTTATGTAACTGAGCTCCAGTTAAGTTGTGTAGCATGGCCTCAAAATGCCACGAGCAGTTTACATTTTTTCTGCGCCGTGGAGAAAAAACCCTCTCTGAAACTGTTCATGCAGGATGTAAAACCTGCTGTGTGTGCTGGCTTTGGTCATGTCAGCTATCATCACTCACTGAGGCTGCTTCTGTCCACAGGGCAGCTTGGACAACATCAGCATCATTTTGCTTTGCTTCCCTGGAGCCCCCCAGCTGTCAGCTGAGGCATTGCACCAGGAGGCCGAGCTGGAGGACCTTCTGGAGTCTAAGGTGGCAGGTTAGTGGTTTCAATTGATTCACTAACATCTACTTAATTATAAAAATGACAAAAAATCATCAAAATTGCCGTCTAAAAATTAACAAGGACTCAAGTAACAATAAATATTTCCTCTGCTTTTTTTTACCTCATTTTATTGTTTCAGATCCTTTCTGCTAAAGTCAAAAAGGAAAAGTGCTTATGCGAGTGTTTCTGTCTCCCAACAGAGATCTACAATGAGCTATCCGCCTCCGGAGAGGATCCTGACCTGCTGTCCGTCCTCACAGTCTTGGCATCCTCCATCATCCCTGGATTACCTCCAGGTGGAGGCATACAGAGCAAGTAAGGCACGAAATATCACAGCCTATATGTGGAAATGTGAATTAAAGTGACAGTGACTATGCACGCTGTGCTACTTCTGTGTGTTTTAGAAGGAACTGCATTATCTCTGCCTACTACCAACAAAGAGAGACACATAAACCTGCAGTGCCAAATGTAAGAACAAGCTCACTGAGGCCATAACAAAACACATTTCCTTTAATATACAAAGATAATTTACATGAATTTAGTCTCTTTCTATTTGTTCCAGGCTCTGGGAAGCTCCTGAGATGCTCAAGTGGGTTTTGTTTCTTGGAATTCACACAAAATGGAAATCTTGGACAGAACGTGTTTGTTTACATCACGCTAGCAGCATCTAGTTATAACAATGCAAAAACAGATCTAAAGAAGCCTGATAATTTATATTTGTACAAGAATATTTTGTTCAATTCACTATTACACAGAATGAGCATGAAGCCTCTGATTCAGGACATCAAACCGAGTAACGAGCAAGCACAAACAGGTAAACATTTTTATGAATCCAGAAATGGTAATACAAGTTATATTTTATATGCTATTTCAATTGAAGATATGAAATAATATAAATAATTTGAGTTTAACTTTCTATTCCAGCAGGTAAAAAGGAGTCGAAGCTAGCCAGCATGCAGCTAAGTTATAACCAAGTGCTAACGGTGCGAAACATTTGGCAGGTCAGGGAAATCTCCTAATTCCAGTCTCATTGCTTGTACCAACAGGCATATAGTGAATTAACAAATATTTTCTGATAATAATACTTTTAAAAATGCAGTAAAAACGTTATTTGTAAAGTCGGGTTTGCCTTTGTACTTTTCCTAAATATGCACAATATGAACCACTTGGCTAAAATTAAGCATGTCGACAAATGGCTTAAATTTACTGATAAATCGAGTTTTGACATCATTCTTGAAACAATTTGCAGGTCTTTCTATACATTTACTGTGTTTCTGAACCCGTTCTTGAATTCTGAGTGGAACATATTTTCCTGTCATGTGTGTGTCCTGTGCTGCCTTATTCATCGCATCAGAACAGGTTTGACTCTGCATGGGTTTCCTCCATCATACTGCAGTGTTAACTTACCTTTGTGTGTAATATTCTGTGTTTAGGCATTAATGGGACTTATTTTGGATTAATCCCCAAATAAAGAATATTTGACTGACTTGAATTTCTTTATTCTTTAATAACCTAAGCTCACTGACCTGCAAAATAGATTTTCTTTCTTGACCAGAATTGGATCATGAAAGACCAAAACAGGTTTGTCAAAAGTACACAATTTGAAATGTATTTTTCTTTTTTCTTGCATAGTAAAAAATCTGTCATGAATAATCGGTAGAGGTGACGCAACTGTTTATACTTTTACAGACAGCAGGGTAGCTCTGGTCTGTTTAAATGGTCAGAATCTGGATATAGGCAGCAGTAGCTCAAGAGGCAGAGCGGGTTGTCCAGTAATCGGAAGTTTGTAGGTTTGATCCCGGCTCCCACCAGAGAATGCTGCTGTTGTGTCCTTGGGCAAGACACTTAACCCGCCTTGCCTGTTGGTGGTAGTTGGAGGAACCGGTGGTGCCTGTCTTCAGCAGTCTCACTTCTGTCAGTTAATCCCAGGGCAGCTGTAGCTACATCGTAGCTCATCATCACCAGCGTGATGGTGATTGACTGTGTTGTGAAGCACCTTGGGGGATTGTAGAACCCTAAAGATGCCACTATACAAATACAGGCCATTTACCATTTATTTGAATCTATAATTATTTTGTTGAAAGACGTGAAGAGGAAGTGAAGCCATTTGTTAAGAAAAGAACAATTTAAGGTATCTGAAATCCTAAACATCTTAAATTGTGTTACCTTATTTTTATTCACCATGGTGCAGCTCATTTTGGTCTCCATTTTGTATCAAACATGCATTGAATTTGACTGGATAAAAGCTACTAAACCATAAAAATGGAGATGTTTGAACAAAGGTATACACATTATCACCTTAGATTAGTATCACCTTAAAGGTAGATTATGGAACATTTTAATAAAAAGCTATGTCAGGAAACGAGGCGGTCCACAGTTGAAGAAAGCGAAAATGCATCCTTTTTTCTAAAAAAAGAACTTAAATACATTTTTCTGCCTCTGAATCTAATAAAGCCCAAGTCCAAACAGTCCAAAACTGATGTAAAAGCCGTTTCAAACTAGCTGTCGCCACCTTGTTTCACTCTGTTGCATCATCCTGTCCACCAGACGAATAGAGGGCCCAGATTGGCCCACAAAGCGGTAAAGCACTGTGATAAGTCCACATAGCAGATATAGTGCTGTGATTGGCCCACTATTGTGGACCAATCACAGCTCTCTGTGTTTGAATCCCATCTAGAGAGCTGTGATTGGCCAGCCAGAATGCTGCTATGGGCTGCAGAAGTTCCAATGAAGTGTTCCTAGACCAAATTTTGCAAAGCAAGAATTTGGTCTGGTTCGCTAGGCTACTAAAGGCTCGCACAGGATTGTGTTTTAATTTTAGTGCTACAATTGTGGCAATGTGGGGAAATGAAGGCCCAGGAAGGGTTTGATCCCCAGACTCCTGGGTGAGAGTCACGAGTGCTAACCAGTCAGCCAAATGTACATCCCGGTGGCCAAGTAGCCAGGGTGCATGGTCCATCGGGATACAGCGACAGGACGCTCACCCTGTCACACATTTATTGTGTAATTAATCTGTAAATTAGAAAATTGACTTTCTGTAACACTGTTTATTTGGAGGTGGGACATTATTGTTTGTTTTGGAATAGTTTTCAACTGTTCAGTTTAATACTTATTGACTGAAATGGTAATTATTTCACATTTTTAACCAGCCACCACTGCCATGCATTATATTATAACTGATTACAATACAAAAATATACAGTTTTATTGCTTTTTATTTGCTGTGGAAGTTAAAAGGACTAGATTCTAGTCACTGCAAACAATTTAGGATTTTTTTTCACTCGAAATGTAAATAGAGCTAAGATTGTTTACATTACACCATCTCCATGATTATTATAAATCTGTGTTAAATGATTTGTTGTTATTATTGTTATTTAAATTATTTATTGGACTGTGGTTGTCAATAAATTTAAATTTCCAGGTCAAATCTGGGACGCCTTAATTATCCCAATATGTTGAATAGGTCATAAAAAGCCCAATTTAGTTGACTGGGAGAAATGACATAATATGTCTGAAATACCTGAAAAGCTGATTGAAAAGAAGAAACCATGTATTTTAACAAGGAGAAATTATTTATCATTATCTGCTTTGAAGATCCAGTTTCACTCTCAAAACTCAAAAAAATGGAATATCATGCAAAAGTTCATGTGTGTCAGTAATTCAAGGTGAAACTAATACATGAGATAGACTCATCACATGCAAAGCCAGGTATTTCAAAACTTTATTTGCTTTAATTGGGATGATTATGGATTTCAGCTTATGAAAACCCCACATTCAAAATTTCAGACAATTAGAATATTGCAGGAAATCAATAAAACAAGGATTTTGAATAGAGAAACATGAAAAATATGAATCATGCAGCCCTGCGATGGACTGGCTCTCTGTCCAGGGTGTACCCCTCCTGATTGTTGACCGCTGGAGATACCACCCCCCCGCCACCCCCCCACCCCCGGCGACCCTGTGTGGACAAAGCGGGTTCAGAAAATGAATGGATGGATAGATGGATGGATGAATCATCCATATACTTGGCTTTGGCTCCTTTTACTGAAATAAATTAACTTTGCATGATATTCTAATTGTTCGAGTTTCACCTATATGATGGAGTGGCGTGCTACAATGATCCCTAACAGCGGCACAAAATCATGTCCTATCAGAAGAGTGTCCTCTTGATGCTGCGTTTGATTAGATTTCTTCCAGTAAACGCCTTGGAAGTCTTTTAAGATGATGATGAATTTCAACGACATGAAATGATGAGTTTGGATTTTATGGGTAATCTGTAGGTAAAACTGTCTCTGAGTTGCTTCCTGGTGCTTGTTAGAGTTTTGTTTAGCAACAGATCACATTTTAAATATCTTAGTTAATTAGATGTTGTGTTTGAATGATCATCAGTATCGACTCTGACCCAACTCAACCCTGACTGTGGAGGATGCTCAGCCACATGTGCAGCTCTCTCAAATCAGCAGTCTTCTTTAAGTGGTTCTTCACTGCTTCTTTCGTCTGATTGCTCTGGTATGAGTCTGTTACTTAAGGACATGAGACCCCTCTTCAGTAAGACCATAAAAGTCTGTTCAGCTAAATTTATCCCTTTGTCAACTCTCAGAACCAAACAATCTGGTTATTTACTCTGCAGAGTATGTGTTGGGCATCTGCTGAGGACTAAAGACACTTGTGACAAAAAAGTCACAAGTATAAAAAAAAGTATAAGTCACAAAAAATTATTCTGCTCTAAACATTTTGGGGGGGTTTTGTCATTGAAAGAAGGCAAATGGTTTTTCTAAAAAAGATACATGCTGCATTGAGGCTTGAGATAGACCAAAGTAATCAGCACAAGAACTGATGTATAGTTCTGGTGCTATCTATCCACGCTGGTCTCCTGTAAGCGATTGTTCATGATGGCCAAGGCCCCCACCCCACCAGAGAAACCGTTTTGGTGGCCATGGCTCTGTCGTGGGCCCTGGTGAGCAGTTTCACTCAGCTGCTTCTGCAGCAGTGCCAGAGACACCTTATTGGACACCATGAACTCATTAACAGAGATCATTTCTCCTGATAGACGGCGATCCATGTGCACTTCAGCTCCTGCACCATCCATCTCACTGTCGCAGACGGTCTCCACTGAGCCGTCAGTGTAGCGGTGCCTGCCTGCAGGGTACTGGGATGAGACGGGCTGCACCGTGTTGCATTTCATGCGTTTTGGTCTGAGGCGTGCCGCTGAACGCCTCTGGTTGGGATTCTTGCTCTGGAGGCAGGGGCAGCAGAGCCACCAGCAGCTTCGTGTCGAGCAGGAACAGAGCTGATGTTGTCCTGAGCAGACCAGCTTACCCAGGATCCAGTTGAGAATTTGCTTGATGATGATAGAAATGACATTAAAAAGCGAGTAGATACAACAAACTCCCATTAGGATAAAAAGGCAGTTTCCAAGTCGATAAGCCCCTTGAGATTCATACTGCTCTCTCTGACTGCTCACCAAGTCCCCAAAACCGATGGTGCTGAAGGCCACGAAGCAGAAGTACAGAGAGTCCACGTAGCTCCAGTTCTCCATGGAGCTGTACAGGGTGGAGGCGCTGCACGCAATCACAACAGATGCCAGTCCCAGGATCAACATCACGTAGTAGACTGAAGGTTTCCAGCCTTCCAGGCTGTCCTCCTCTTCTCGTGCCTCCTTTCCACTGGACATCACCCCCACTCCACCACACCTCAGCCTACGCTCATGGCACCAGCGCATGATGTATGCTAGCATGGTGATGATCCGTTCCAGGAACAGGTTGAAGAAGAGGATGGTGGAAGCACAGCCAACAAGACCATAAAAAATTAGGAATATTTTTCCTGCTATGGTCGCTGGTGTGGTCATGCCAAAACCTGGAGAAAAGCCATGCAAAAGGTCAAAGCTGTAGAATCTGAGAAATTTGGAGTTGTCTAAACATTTGTAACCATGAGCTCCTACCAATTGTTGAAACCACGGTGCCCACAAAGTAGAAAGCTCCGGAAAAGTCCCAGCGTGGCCTCAGTGCATCAACCCTGATCCCAGCTCCGTTTGCCTCCTCATACTGCCGCAGCAGAGTGTGCAGGGCGCCCAAGTTGACCCTGTGTCGCCTGGTGAAGTTGTCCAGCTGCTGTTTCCAGATGATGCGAGCACGGAGCTCAGAGGGGTGTTCCAACGCTGAGAAGATGGCAGCCCCGCACAGCAAGTAGAGCAGGATGAGGCCAGCCAGGAGGCAGAAACGAGCATTGTCTTCGTTCAGGGGTGTCCTGCGGCAGCAGCCGCCTGCAGCCCTCTGAGCCATGAGCAGAGCAGCCGCACAGCAAAACCACAAAAGATGCACCTCTGCTGCCAGTGCTGCCAGCTCACACCCTCACTCTACTCTGTATGACACATCTGACCGCTGCCGCACACGCAGACCAAACATTCTCCTTTAGTTGGAAAACTCTGCAACGACACAGAACAAGCAATTGAGTGCACGTAGGATGGGACTTGATTTATCACAATTTCATTTTTCTCATATGAAAAACAAAAATTTGACTGAAAACATGACAAACTTTACCTCAGGTGTTAAGATCAGGACTCCAACAAGAGGTAAGTCACCATGCATTATTACAAACAGAATGCCCTCGGACTGTAGAAGTAAAAAACGCACATCAACTGGACGATGAGAGTCCTCTCCCTGAGCGCCGGCGGTTTGTGTGTGATTCCCTCGGGATCTGCTGAACGATGATGAGAGCAAGCCTCTTGTGTTGTGTGTGTGTGTGTGTGTCAACTAGTCTGTCTGATGTTTCATCCTAACACGCTGACATCATCATCTCCTGTGAGCTCCCCACCCTTTTTTAGCCGATTCTGATTGGAGCATCTTTATTTAAAAAAGCTTTTATTTTTTTCAAACCATTTATCCCACATAAAGGTTTCCTCTGACTGTCAGCTGTACAAACAATTAACTGTGTTGCATCAACAAAGCACAAGTAAATGACTTTCTCTGAATCAAACTGAAATAAGTAATTAAAACAGTGTTTATTCAGGACTAAAGTCCTGTAATGTGAACTGGAAAAAGGAGCTCCCTCCTCATTTCGCCTTACCGTCATGGAGTTAAAGCTTCCAGACTCACTGAGTGCTTTTTGTTGTTCTGCAGACTGTGTGGGAGGATTTATTGAGGATGACTATCAGTTTTTCTCTCTGTTCATCCCTTTAATCTTGTCTGGTGCTGAAGGTAAGGGCACAGGTTTCGTTCGCCAGTCGACCGATGGCTGAAGGACAGCAGCAGCCAGGTGTGAAAGACACTCAGTCCATCTGCTCTGACATTAAAAACCATGAGTTTGCACTGTTTGATGTCTTTCTTTTTTACTTTTTTACATCACTTTCTGACTCCATTAATCATATTTTTTAAATAGAAGAAAACCTAGATTTCCACTTCTGACGGACAGAAAAACAAAAAATTTATCAGAAATTTACCAAAATGCTTGTTGACAAGCAACAAACATTCTGGGAGAATGTCTTCTAACAGATGAGACAAAGCACGCCAAGTTAAGAAACTGTTTTTTGTTTTACACCTGAGGCCAGAGAAGCCATTTTTCTAGCTAATAATTGGTGGTCTGTATGTTTCTAGAAATAGAAAACAGGTCGAGAGACGTGGTCAGACATCTGCTGTTGCAACACAGGTGAGGTCCGATTATCGCTAAAATTTGATTATACATTTTACTGTATCATCAAAGGTTCTTTCATTTAGGTTTGTAAAAATAAACATTTGCAAAAATAAATTGTTTTGGAAAGTATTTTTTGGGTGTATAAAAATCCCATTTTTCACTTTAAAACCCCCTTTTCCTTATGATCTGTAGTGATTTGAAGTTGTATATTTATACACTGTAATTAGATAATTTAATTATCTGATTTTGTATATTTATACACCTTAATTAGATCTAAGTAATCAATCAGAAGTGGTTGTTTTTATCATCAGGGAGTTTACTTAAACACTCTGTATTGACTGAGAGACAAGAAAAGAGAGAGAGTTGGGATCGTTTAAGAATCTTTAATTTCTATGATTATAAATTCTTACAATCTACCAGGACTATCTCAATGATGAATGCATATGGATTTAGATGTTTCGTGTTGGTGTGTGTGTGTGTGTTTTGTTCAGAATCTCTAGGCTGACGTAGCGAATCTGGTTTGTTATGACTAGGCTACCACGAGGCTTCAGAAGCTGATGACATGAGCCGCCATATTGCCACGTACCGTAGATGGAGTCTCCCGTGTAGATCAGGAATTGCCAGGTCCTAAGACCTCGGTTGTACTGGAGCTGGTTGAAACAGCGGTCACAGCACACAACGCCCGTCTGAGGATAACTCCGGTAGTAGTCGGCAGGCGTCAGCAAGTTCACCCTTATTTTGAAGGAATGTTGTCTCGTTGGTACAAACGACGGAAACTTCCAGCTTGACAGTTCTCAGCTTAAAACAGGAAGTACAGATGGCCAGCCTGTACTCCTCTTTGTGGTGATAGATTGAGAGCTGGTTGAAAACAATGTTGAAAGTATGATGTAACTCCTTTGGAGCGCGGATCGAACAGAGCTGATGTCAACGTGGAACTTAACGTGGAACTGAATATAAAATGGCGTTGCCTTCTTTTATATCTCCCAGTTGTTTACCAATCTTAGTAAACCGGATTGGACTACTTTCATAAACAAACCAGATTCTGCCCTACCACAGACGAAAGTTCTGATTGGTTGAGAATAATGTGTCATGCGTTTCCATGGTAATGTATATCAGTCTGTCTGGTGCAGTCCTGTTTATTCATTTAAACACATAACTCATGACATCTTTATTTCACAGATCATTCACCTGATTATTAATGATCAACAAATACTTTGATTAGCTTATCACAAATAAAGTACTTTGATTAATCAATGAAAAGCGTTCTTCTTCTGTTCTTCTGTCTCTTCTCCTGGAATGTAAACATACTGAACCAAGCGTCCGACCTTGGCGATGTTACTGTGTGAAGGGGCAGCTGTTAAGGGCAGACCATCATAAGCTTCCTAACGCTACAGATCAATGCAGATTTTTCTGTTTAAATGTATTACTTATTAAGTCCTCATTACTAAGGAACTACTTATTTAAATAAACAAACATGAACCCTAATGGAAAGTGGCTGCGTGGTTGGTAGCACTGGTACCTCACAGCAAAAAGGTTGGAGGTTCAAAACCTGGCAGCGGCCTTTAGTTAGTGTGTACGTGTGTGTGTGTGTGTGGGGGGGGGGGGGGGGTCCATCCTCCAGGTACTCCAGTTTCCTCCGACAGACAAAAAACATGCATGTTAAGTTAATTCACTCCATTGCTGCATCCACAGTTGTAAGACGCTACAAATAAAGGTAGCGTCTTACTAAGCAAACATTATTTTTATTATTTACTAACATTTGTTAATAAAAACAAAAACTATTAACTTACAAACTTCAGGACAAATAATGTTTTTAAGACTGAATTTAATTGGAAAACTCAGGCCAAAAACTTAAAAGACACTTCTGATGATGTCCCGTAGACTGGCGCTGCCTATTGGAGCTGTGGTAGTGGCTGGCCGCCATCTTGGCTAGGTCTCCATTCACCCCGAAAAAAGCACATTTTATCATGCTTTTTCACAAAATTAGACATATGGTATGGCATGATAGTCAAAATATAAATAAAATAAAATAAGTTAAAATAAATAATCCTAACAGGTAGGCTGGAAAAGTCAATAGTAATCCCACGTGATCTGTTTTCAACACGCCGGTTGTTGCAACCGTAGGCAGCACAAAAAATGAGCATGGTCGCTCATTTTGCATTGACTCCAGTTGGGTTTGGAGAGTAAGGAACCCATCCAACACGGCGGCAACGCTGTTTCATTCAACAGCACCCTATAGGGAATCTAAGTCACACCCATCTACTTCCAGACCATAGATCCCCAGAAGAACAAAACAATCAAGCAAGTCAATGGGGCTAAAAATGCTATTTTCTAATTCCGCTTGTTTTGTGCCATGGTTTCACATATGATGCCCGTGAATTTTAACGACACATTTTGATGCCAAGAACACGCTTATTTTTTAATAGGGAAAACGCTATTTTAGGTTTTGTGTGAAAATAAGTCCAGGACTACAAATGCGCTTCACGAAAGTGATGTCATCAAACGAACACTGAGGGCAAATGGCTCTACATTTGGCAAACTTCCCACAGGAGGAAAGAACCACCATAAATCTGGCCATTTGGTAAATAGCAGCTACGTTAGGGGAGAGGAGTTTATGTGGTGACGTCACATATGCGACGTGCCGATTTCTGGTGTGTAGTCATGCTAATTACGAACTTTTATAAGCCGATAAACCTCAAAGTACGTGACTGGCATGGTCGAAACACACATCATTAGTTTTCATTTAAATTGCAGTACAACATATGTGTGATCCAGGGTCTAAAGCAAAGAAATTTAGAAAATACAGTTTTTAGCCCCGAGGACCCATGAGCCGACCGGAAAGGGAGGAGACATAGGCTCCGTATGTGGCGTCTACGTATTCATGTCTATGATAAACATGATATCTCATTGTTCTGTCCAAATTAGGACAGTAGAAACTGCTGCCACCTAGCAGTCGGGAGCTTGAACTGCAGCAGACATAGCATATATGGTAAATGTTTGCATGTAAATTCTCAATAAAAATAAATGCACTGCTTTTGAATATTAATTCAGTATTGTAATACGAAATATTGCAGTATTTCAGCTTATCGATATCTTCTTTCTATTGCTAACTGCTGCTTCCTGTTTCCTGCATAAATAGTTTAGTTACACTTTCATCCACCAAAGTCAAAACCAGATTTTGTCCTGTGTGACTGCTCATGTGTTTGTTTAATTTACTCTTCTGGCTAAACCTTTGAGCACAAACGTCACAACCAAATGTATTTTTCTCTGTGTGGACCCTTCTGTGTCGGTCTAAATTAGCTTTTCTGTTAAACATTTGTTCACAGACTTCACAACCAAATGGTTTCTGACCTGTGTGAATTCTCATGTGTGCACTCAAAGTTCCGTTTCGGGTAAAATTTTGTCCACAAACATCACAGCTGAATGGTTTTTCTCCCGTGTGAATTCTAACATGAGTGCCTAAATGTTTCTTTTGGGCGAACCTTTGTCCACAAACACCACAACCAAACAGTTTCTGTCCCGTGTGACTTGTCATATGCGCATCTAAACTTGTCTTACGAGAAAACCTTTCCTCACAAACTTCACAACCGAATGGTTTCTCTCCAGTGTGGATTCTCTCATGGGTAATTAAAGATGTCTTTTCAGGAAACATTTGTCCACAAACCTCACAACTAAGTAGTTTATGTCCTGTGTGGACTCTGATATGTCTGGTTAGATTATCTTTTCTAGTAAATCTTTTATCACAAAATTCACAACCAAACTGTTTCTGTCCAGTGTGGACTCTCCGGTGTGAGATTAGGTTTCTTCTATCACAAAACTTTTGTTCACAAACATTACAACTGAATGGTTTTTGTCCTGTGTGGATTCTCATGTGTCTGTTTAAAGTTGTCCTTCGAACAAAACTTTGTCCACAGACATTACAACTGAATGGTTTCTGTCCAGTGTGGATTCTCTTGTGTATGTCCAAAGATGTCTTTCGAGTGAAACTTTGTCCACAAACACCACAGCTAAATGGCATCTGTCCTGTGTGGGTTTTCATGTGCGTATTTAAATTGATCTTTTTGATAAACCTTTGTTCACAAACATTACAACTAAATTCCTTCTGTCCTGTGTGAATTTTCATGTGTGGCTTTAAATTACTCTTATTGCTAAATCTTTTTCCACAGATACCACAACCAAATGGTTTCTGTCCTGTGTGGACTCTCATGTGTGTATGTAGATGACCCCTTCTGATAAATCTTTTACCACATTCATCACAACAAAATAAATTCTGCCCTCTCTTGCCTTTCCTGTGGAAGTCTATAGATTTATTCACTCTTAAACAAGTATTTTTCACCACATAGTTCGAAGATGTTATTTTTAAATGGCATACAACGTGTCTCTGAAGTGACCGGTTGCTAACAAACTGCTTCCCACACTCAGAGCAGCTGAATGATTTGCTGACAGTTTTCACACCTGTTTCAGAGGATCTGCTCTCATTTCGGTCACCGTCTTCTGTTTTTGACCCACAATCTGACAAGAGTTTACACTTAGTATCAGAATTGCTCCCATCTTCATCATCCTCACTGACCTCAGTCTCTGAGGAGCTGAAATCGTCTTCGTGATTATTTAGATCTGGGTTAATGCTGGTTTCTACTCCTCCAGGTGCTGCCGTTATCTGATCAACTGAGCTGCTGGTTGGAAGATCTCCGTCTACCATTTGATGCTGATGAAGCTGTGAGAACAAAGGTTTCTCTTCATCATCCTCACATTTGACAGGAATTGTGGTGAATGAACATTTGATGTCATCTGTCTCTTTCACTTCAAGCTGCTCTTCCTTCAGACTGGTGCACACTTCCTCTAGTTCCTCCTTTACGTGGAGCGGTACTGAATTTTGCTGGTCCACACCAGGACTCCATTCTTCAGGGGACTCTTCTTTAGTCAGCTGTTGAACATCTGCAGGAACCACTGAAACACAAAAGCATTTTGGACATTATTACTATTACAAATTTAAGTCAAAGTAAACCAAGTTCACAGTTTGTCAAAACAATCTAATCTAATGGAGCAAACAGAAGAGCACAAATCACTCCTATCCTAATGTCTCTGCACTGGTTACCCATTAACTTTAGAGTTCATTTTAGAATCCTGACTATAAGTTTCAATGTTCTACAGGATCAAGATCCTCCCTATATTACTGAACTGTTAAAGCCTTATGCTCCAACCCGAGCCCTCAGGTCCGCACACCAGAACCTTCTAGAAGTTCCAAAGACCAGAGACAAAAGTCGAGGTGATCACTCCTTCCAGACTGTTGCACCCTGACTTTGGAATGATCTTCTTTACGTAGCATTTACAGTCTGGACACTTAAAAAAAAAAAAAAAAAAAAAAAGCTAAAGACCCTTTTATTTACAGCTGCTTTTACCTAAATCTTTTATTTTCCTATTTTTAACTCAAATTTTTTATCTTTCATGTGTTTATGAAATGTTATAATTTTATGACTTTATTTTTTCTGATGTTAATCTATTTCTGTTTTGAGATCATTATGATTTTATGACTTTGTTTTATTTTGTTTTGATCTATGTGAAGCACTTTGTGATTCTATGTCTGTGATAAGTGCTATATAAATAAAATTTACTTACTACTAATCATAAATGTAAGAAAATCTCCAGGAACTAAATTAATTTCTGACAGAAATCCTTATTAGAGGCCAGAAAATCATGATGGAAACACTAATATGGCCTTAACATTTGGCAGCATGGATACTCCTGAAAGTCCAAGTCCTTTGATTTTGAGTATCTGCCAATACAGAGTCTTGATCCGATATTTCAGCAAAGCAATAAAATAAGAAGAAAGGAAAACACATCCAATTTGTCCTTTAATTTTTTATTATTCTGTAAATCAATTCTAACCCCTAAATAATCTTGCACCTTGTAGTTTGTTTCTTTTCTTTGGTTTGCATGAAATTGGTAAACAACTATTTGAAGCAGAATTGTAAAATAATATTTTGCAAATTTGTCTGGCAAAGCAATTTCCAGTTCTGCAGATTGCACCTAAATCAATCACACGGAGACAGAATTAAAATATACAAACCTATTACATGCAGCTGAAATCTGGGATTGAAAACAGCACCTTGGGTCATGTTGCTCATTTTTAATTAAATTTCATGAGGCTCTTCTTCAAAAACCCAAAGCATCATCTGCTTCTGTCTCAGTGGTCTTTGTTTCGACACCTGAAGACTCAGAGCCCAGTTTCTGATGGTTGTTCTTTACTGGAGTCTGCTGGCGGCAGCACTCTGCCAAAACAATACAACAGACACATTTTGTTAACATGGAGTTTAATCCAAGCATGAACCAGACACCCGCATAGTTACATCACCCTTGTCACGTTTTTGCTATTAGCTACATCCCAGAACTGTAGTGGATGGGCGAGCCTGAAGTCATGCCCATATACTTCCAGACCACAGATCCCCGAAAGCACTACAAAATGAATGCACGCCAATGGGGCAATAATAGCTATTTTCTAATCCCGTTTGTTATGTGCCATGGATTTCACACATGATGTCCGTGAATTTTAAAGATGCATTTCGATGCCAAGAACGTGCTTATTTTCAAATAGGTTTTATGTGAAAATAAGTCCAGGACTACAAACGCACATCACCATATTGATGTCATCAAACCAGACATGGAGAAGATCAGCGGAAAAATGGCTGTAAAATCAGCGAGCATCCAATCCTTCCTTCAGAAGGAAAGAACCACCATGAATCTGGCCATTTGGTTAGCAGCTACGCTAGGGGAGAGGAGATTCTGTGGTGATGTCATATATGCGACATGTCAATGTCTGATTTGTAGTCATAATAATTACGAATTTTTACAAGCTGGTAAATCTCAAAGTAAATGACAGGCGTGGTCGAAACAGGCATCATTACTTTTCATTTAAATAAAAGTGCAACATATGTGCGATTCACGGGATGCAGGTTAAAAAATAGCTTTTAGCCTAGTTGACTTGCATTCATATTTTCGTTTTCCCGGGGACCAATGCACCAACCGGAAAGGGAGGCGACTTAGGCTCCCTATAAGCTTATTAAAACGAATGCATACACGCCATCCATTACTGCGTGGTTTGCACGGCAGCATGGGTTTTTGTTCTGCTGAAATAATCATGAAACAGGAACTGTCTAAAGGTGCTTCATGGTAATGCTGAGGACTAAGGAGTGAAAAAAGTGGATCAGGTATTCAAGTATTTCTTTATTTCATGTTTTTAAATAATTTTTTATTTATCAGCCAAAAACCATCACTTGCTTAGGAATTACATTGATAAGAAACTTGTATATATTATGAATATATTTTAAAATAGTGGCAATTTTCTAATTGTTTACATCCTCAATATGCAGCTGTATAGAGCGGTGTATGTTCCTGTGATGGATGTCCTTTAATTTTTTATTATTGTGTAAATCCCAAACCCTTAATGTTGCACCCAGGTTGCACCTTGTAGTTTTTTTTTAATTTGGTTTGCATGAAATTGGTAAACATCTGAATTATAAAATAATATTTTGCGCATTTCTCTGGCAAAGCAATTTCCAGCTCTGCAGATTGCACCTAAACCAATCACACAGAGACAGAGATAAAATATACAAACCTATTATGTCACTTCATTTTAATTAAATTTCATGAGGCTCTTCTTCAAAAACCCAAAGCATCATCTGCTTCTGCCTCATCCCTCCTGGTTCTCAACCTGAAGTGGTTTTTGTTTTGACAGCTGACGACTCAGAGCCCAGTTTCTGCTGGTTGTAGTTTAATGGCTGGCGGCAGCACTCTGCACAAAGGGATACAGACACATTTTGTTAACATGGAGTTTAATCCAAACATGAACCAGACAACCGCATCGTTTCACCACCCTCGTCACGTTTTTGCTATTAGATACATCCCATAAACACGTCTCTGCTTCTCAATCTCAGTTTAAATCTAAATCACTGTTTTATCTTTAAGAGACCGCTTTAAACTGCACGTTCTTACCGTCCCACCTTCAAAACTATGTGTTCGACCATAAAATCATCTCATCGCTCTTCAAACAGGATACTGGGGACTGAGTGGGGCGCATGCGCGGTGCTGTCTTCAGAAATGGGCGATCTCTTAAAGTGACAGTAAATGTTTTTTTATCTGCAATAATGATCTGCCGTCGTTGTGACATTACGGAACGTTTTGCAAGGCAGAAGTGAGTCTTTGTTTTGCTGAAATAATCATGGTAAAGCTGAGGACAAAGGAGTGTAAAAAGTGGATCTCAGACTAAAGTCTTCAAGTGGTATTTATCAGAGGTGTGACCAAGTCACTGCTTTGCAAGGTCACAAGTAAGTCACAATTCTTTCCAGTCAAGTCTCGAGTTAAGTCCAAGTCAAAGACAACCAAGTCCAAGTCGAGTCCAAAGAAGTGTAAGTCAAGTCCAAGTCCTTAACTTTGAATTTTCAAGTCATAATCAAGTCATCTGGCCAACTTCAATTTAATGACAATGATAATAAATAAATTCCAGAAATAAATCTTCTTAAAGCTTCATTTATTTGCTCAAACAAGCAGAAAGTGCAACTGAAACTGATTATAAACAAAGTGCTGCTGCGTTCAGCAGAACAAGATCTAACCCAGAACCAAGAATGATTTATGACTTTTGTCCATGTCGTGTCACGTTTGTGCTAAATATCAAATCAAATCAAAATCAAATATGCTCAAGTCATCAAGTCAACAGATGCAAGTTGATTCAAGTCTCAAGTCATTGGCATTCAAGTCCAAGTCAAGTCGTAAGTCTTTATAGATTTTATTAAGTCAAGTCAGAAGTCGTTAAAATAATGACTCTAGTCCGACTCGAGTCCACACCTCTGGTGTTTATTTATTTATTTATTTGGTTTAATGTATTTGGTTGTAATTTTGTTGTAATATGTGCCGTTTACTTCATTTACTTTGCTTTGTTTTTATATTGTGGGAAATAACATTTCCCTCCTTGCACAATGTTTATGACACATTCACACCTAGGGACAAATTAGATACTCCAATTAACATAATATGCATGTTTTTGAAATGCGGGAGGAACACGGGGAACCTGGATACATGTCAAGTGTATATGAGGAGACCATACCAACGCCATGCCAAAAGGCTGCAGCTGGGATTCGAACTTACAACTTTGTTACTGCATTGATATCAGGTTTACCAGCTGTGTCACCTTGCAGTCCAATGATAACACCCAAAAGCATAACAATCCTTCTGTAAGTGTATTATTATCATAAATGCTAAGTGTAGTATAGAGTTTTGTTAACCCCGTTATTATTATGCCTATTTGAAACCAGAAGTCTCACACTTGCTTTCAAGAGAAAATGAATTGATGACTCACAAAGTGCACTGCACAGAGGTTAATCAGACACAGAGTGACAAAGACATGTATGTTTAAATCTCCCTAGTAAGCTAAACTTACTAATCTAAGAGTTTATACCAATTTAAAGAGCAAGTCACCCCCAAAGCTTTTTTTTTTTTTTGCTGATAAACTATATAAATGAGTGTCTAATCGTGCTGTGCACGTGTAGTCAATAATTTGGTACTTTAGTGCATCTTAGTTAAAATTAAAATATTCTGCCTAAAATTGTTGGTGTATTTGTTAGCGGCTCCACCCTCTCAGTCTGCCAGGCAGTAGCATTTGTTGCATTGTTCAAACATGAAGTGGGTGTGGAGTAAGTTTGTAAGGGGTGACTTGCTCTTTAAATTCTTTATTGCGGAAGGCGTTTTATAAATAAAGCTTTGATTGATTGATTGATTGATTGATTGATTGATTGATTGATTGATTGATTTGTAAGCATTTACCAGGAAGCAACGGATGTTCCGTGTTTTGAGAAATTAACTTGAAATTTAATAGAACACAAAGTGGGGGTTGGATTCCATTGGCTTCATGAACAAAAATCATATTTACTGATGCAGCTATCAGAATAATCCCATATTATTATTTCTTTGGTTTCGATCGTGTTTTATCAGCATCTGATAAATGACTTGATAAACGATGGGTCTGATGAGTCGATGTTATTGACATTAATAAAAAGAAAATTTCTACCCAGGGGTGTGTAAACAAATAAAACTCAGCAGTTGCAGCAGGTGTCTGGAGAAACGTAGATGCGTGTTCATGGTGACGAGCAAAGCTTCACGGTTCATATTAGTTACATCAAAGAGAAATAGCATGAAGATGTAGAAGAAGCTATTCAAGTCCTTCTAAAATCAAACATCCTAATGGTATCACTTATTTTAAGAAACCTCTGTTATTTTTTCTGTTGTTTGCATGAACCTGGTGCAATTATAAAGTTTTTAGTGTATGTACACACACACACACACACACACACACACACACACACACACACACACACACACACACACACATGGTCAAAAAATCCACTGTCTGAAAAAAAATCAAGGAAAAACTTATATTTATTCAGTTAATCATGAAAATAGGAAGATGCAGTGATGAGATGTCATTACAATGTTTATTTTCCTTCAGTATTAGAGGGGACACGTGCACTGTGGCTTTGCAGTAAAGAAGCTGCTGTAAAATCCCGACTGTGGCTTCTGTGCTTAGAGTTAGCATGTTCTGCCCATGCATGGGTTTTCTCCTCCCACAGGCCAAAAAACATGCATGTTAGGATAATGGACAAGTCAAAAATGTCCCAATGTATATGTGGTGTTGGTCTCTGTGATGGACTGGAGACTTGTCCAGGGTGTGTCCCCTGCCTCTAGCTCAATGACTGCTGGAGCAAGGCACCATCTCCCACAACCATAGTAGTTCAGAAAATGAATGGATATAAACTTTAGGTAAAACCCATTATGGGATTTGAATGCAGATATTTAAATGATGTGTTGATTAGGATAAAGCTTGGATGTGTAATTTAAAACAAAGGAATTCTTTTTTTTTCCCTCTGTCTCTGTGCATTTTCTAAATCCTTACAAATGACTATTTTGTTCCTTTTATTAATTAACTGTGCTGCACATTATTTCACAAACATCAAGCACAAAGTTTATGTCTTGTGTGGATTCTCATGTGTCGGTTTAAACTTGATTTGTGACTAAACATTTGCTCACAAACATCACAACAAAAGGGCCTTTGCACTGAGTGGGTTTCTATGTGCTTCCTTAAAGAGCAAGTCACCCCCAAATCACATTTTTTTTGCTGATAAGCTATATAAAGGAGTGTCTAATCATGCTACAGACACGTGTAGTCAATAATTTGGCAGTTCAGTGCATCTTAGTTAAAATTTAAATATTCTGCCTTAAACTGGCAGTGTTGTGCCGTCGTCAGGGAAAAATTCTGCACTGTATTTGAATCTAAATCTGCCACCGCTATTGGCTAAGAGGTATGCGATGATGTCATCTGGTATATTATGATGTCATAATGCCATTGTGAGCCTGTGTGTGTGTGTATTTGTTAGCGGCTCTGCCCTCTCGGTCTGCCAAGCAACAGCGTTTGTTGCATTTTTCAAACATGAAGTGGGAGTGAAGTAAGTTTCTTGTAGGGGGTGACTTGCTCTTTAAAGAGCAAGTCAACCCCTACCAGAGTCTAACTCTACTCGCGCTTCATGTTTGAAAAATGCAACACATGCTGTTGCCTGGCAGACTGAGAGGGTGGAGCCGCTAACAAATACACACACACTCAGGCTCACGACAGCATTGTGACATCATAATGTACCAGTTTACATCATAGCATACTTCTTAGCCAATAGCGGTGGCAGATTTAAATTAAAATACAGTGCAGAGTTTTTACCTGACAACGGCACAACACTGCCAGTTTTAGGCAGAATATTTAAATTTTAACTAAGATGCACTGAAGTGCCAAATTATTGACGACACGTGTCTGCAGCACGATTAGACACTCGTTTATTTAGTTTATCAGCAAAAAAAAGTTTATTTGGGGGTGACTTGCTCTTTAAATGACTCTGAATGGTAAACTTTCCATCGCAAAAACGACAAACAAATGCTTTCTGTCCTGGGTGAGTAGACGTGTGTCTGATTAAATTTGACTTATGGCAAAAACATTTTCCACACACCTGACAGATAAAAGGTCTTTCTCCTGTGTGGAGCCGTATGTGTGTGCTCAGATTATCTTTTCTGGAAAATGTTTTACCACAATCGTCACAACCAAATGAAACCAAACTTGTCTGGACTTCACTAGGAGGATCTTCTTCGCTCTTCAATATAAGGAAGAAAAAATAAGACTTTTTGAAAGTATTTCCACCTGACTCAGTAGTGTTGCTCTCCTTCTCCTCACCGTCTTTAGATTTTGACCTCGAGTCTGACAATGGTTTCAACTGAAAGTCAGAATTGCACCCGTCTTCATCATCCTCACTGACTTCAGTCTCTGAGGAGCTGCAATCATCATCATGAATATTTAGATCTGGGTCCCTGCTAGTTTCTGCTCCTCCAGCTGAGCTCCTGAGATCTGATGTTGGTAGATATCCATCTACCATTTGAGGCTGATGAAGCCGAGGTTTCTCTTCATCATCCTCACATTTTAAAGGAATTGCAGAGAATGAACACTTAAAATAATCAGTCTCCTCCTTCACTTCGAGCTGCTCATCCTTCAGACTGGTCAAAAGTTCCTCCTTCATGTGGAGCAGTTCTGGGTCCTGCTGGTCCACACCAGGACTTCATTCTTCAGGAGATTCTTCTTTAATCTGCTGCTGAAAATCTGCAGGGACCCCTGAAACACAAGTCCATGTTGACATTATCTTTATATTGACTCGAGCCTGTCATTACTAAAGTCAGCGAGTAAACAGAGTTTACGGTTTTATTTTAAGTAAATTAAAAAATAAATCCCATCTAATCCAGTGTTGCCCAACGCTAACATACGCTAACATACTCCTGGTCGTCATATTTCTAAATAAAATCCCGAATGCTGTTTCGGTTGAATCGCTCTCCTCACAAATGCATTTATTTTTTAATATTGGATAATAGAGGCTTTGTTCGTTCTGTAAAACTGCAAACAAAAAATGGTGTATTTGAACGTCCAATTACCAAATTGTGTCTCTTTCAGGAAGTGTAATTATTCATGTGGAGTCATATTGTTACTGGGTTCATATTTTGTTTGTAAAACAAAACTCGTGTTAGAAATTGTTAGGTCTAACAATTAGGGGCCGGTGTGTGGGAGCCTATCAGTGTTCCCGTATATAATAAGAGGAAATTACCTGCCGGTGTGTATGCGTTTGGCCGGAGAGGGTAATTGGTTTTGACCGCTTTGTTTCACTTTGTTGCGTTTTGTTATGTGCTGTCAAAGTATGCCTTTTATTCAACATTTCAATGGGAAGAAATGAATGGAGAAATAAACGAATATTCATCTCTTAAAAGCAATGGACGACTGAACAGTGTTTATTCCATCGAAAGCAACGTAGCGCGTCAGCCATTATTCTGGTTACAAACACACCAGTGGCTTAAAGCATTGGCTTAGCCTCTACAAACTATGTAAAGAACAAAGTATTTAAAAAGAATATTTAATTCATTCAGACCTAGGATGTCTTATTTTTGTGTTCCCTTTCTTTTTTAAGAAATATTTTCTTTTACTTGTTCCGAGATCTAAATACAATCAGTGGGGAGGTCGCTCATTTTCGGTGGTAGCGCCAAAGCTATGGAACAAACTCCCACTTCACCTACGCACAACGACTGATAACGTAACCTCTGGATTAAAGACGCACCTCTTTCACATGGCTTTTGAAAATCCTGAAGTGATGTAAACTGTGCTTATTCTTTTTACTATTTTATAGTGCTTTTTCAATTATTTTATATTGGTTTTATTTTTATTACTTTTACATTAGTCCTAAATTGTTTTAAACTGGCTCTGATTATTTACTTTTTTTTTAACAAAGGTTATTAATTGTTTGGTTTTTTTTTTTTTTTGTTCTTTCTCTCCACATTTAATGTTAAGAACTTTGATCACCCTCTGGGTTGTGTGAAGCGCTATATAAATAAACATTAATTCATTCATTTAGGAATATAAGTTTTCTTGCGCGAGTTAGTTTTAGTATAAGTCACATAAAATGTATGTCCACTTTCTGTAAGAAAACATAATATTACCCTTGATATACTATAATTTAGTAACAAAAAAAACATATTATATGTTTCTTTTTAAGTTCAGATTCATAATGAGCCAGAATAAGAAAAATGGTCTTTTGATCCCGACTACAGCCATTTTTTGGCTTTTGTCGCCCTCTGGTGGTTATTTGTATTACAACAAATTTCAAAAGACCTACTCTCGAAAAAAGTTTAGAAAACAACGTAAACCTCTTTACAAAACACTCTTTCGTTCATTATAATTTGACTAAACTGTAGCAGCTTCTGTAATATTTTTGAAGAATAAAAGTAAAGTAATGCAATGTTTTGTTTTGTTTTGTTTTTTTTTTTTGGGGGGGGGGGGGGGGGGGGGGGGTCCTGATGAGAACTGCAGAAGTCAGTACCAACAACCAGCTCTTCCCTCTCAGCCACAGTAACCTATGCAAATTAAGGCCACACGGAAAGTGTCTGCCTTAAGCCATTTTTCCACATTTGAAGTTTAGTTGCTCATGTTTTGACTTTTGAATCAGAGAATGTTGAATGTTTTGCACAACAAAATGCTGAAAAATTGATCAGTGAGCAATGCATTCCCAAACAACTGAGTAGTAGCAACACCACAGTGGGATTTTTCACATTAAGTTTATTCTTATTTTTATTCTACATTTAAATAACTCTGATACAGATGACAAGAGAAAGGCTAGTTTGCGGTTGCAGCACTACACTATTGACAAACGATACATTTCCAGATTGTATTTTTCCTTGAAATTGTTATTTTAATCATTATTTAGAAAAAGGACATGCAGACATAGTCATAAGTTTCTTCTGAAGTTGACTTCTCAATAACTACAACAAAAGCATTTGTTTATCTATATTAAATGCATTTGTTAAAACATGAGCGTCTTCTTCAAGCTTGTTAATTTTTTTAAATCACACCTTTTAAATTTGTATTGACTTCAACTATTATTACATAAACAAATTTTGTACTACATAGTAAAAAAAACATTTTTCTCCAATTAATTTAAAAAAAGTATTTTAGGGAAACGTTTGAAATATTTGCTAAATGTTATTTTTGGTTGCAAAACAACCATTTCAGTTTCAACTTGTAACTAAATACTACACAACATAAGAGTTATTTAGTTTATTTTGATGACTGTCAATGAAAAGGCTGAAAAATGTGCATGCATAAAAGAAAAACTTATAAATAATGCATCCTATTTGACAAGAAACTGGGACACTTGTGTATGTTTAATGGTTTTTCTGCCTACATCAGTCCTTTGTGTTTTGGCGGTCACTGCACATTCGTTTTGTTTCCTGTGTGGATTCTTATGTGTCTTTTTAAATTACTCTTATAGCTAAATCTTTGTCCACAAACGTCACAGCTAAACGGTTTATCATCTGTGTGGATTATCATGTGTGTGTTTAGGTGTGGCTTTTGAATAAATCTTTGTCCACAGATATTACAAGCAAAGGGTTTTTGTCCTGTGTGGATTCTCATGTGTGTGTTTAAATGTGTTTTGCTGCTAAACCTTCGCTCACAAACGTCACAACCAAATGGTTTCAGTCCTGTGTGTATTTTCATGTGTCTGCTCAAGCTACTCCTATCGCTAATTCTTTGTCCACAGATATCACAGCCAAAAGGTTTCTGCCCTGTGTGTTTTCTCATGTGTCCATTTAAGTTGCTCTTATCACTAAATCTTTGTCCACAAACATCACAAACGAATGGTTTCTCGCCTATGTGGATTATCATGTGACGGTTCAAATGAGTCTTACTGCCGAACCTTCGTTCACAAACATCACAGCCAAACGGTTTCTGTCCCGTGTGGATTCTCACGTGTGTGTTTAAATTATCTTTTCTGTTAAATATTTTACCACAGAAATCACAACTGAATGACTTCTGACTTGTCTGGACTTTCTTTGGAGAGTCGACTTTTTCCTCCACTTTTAAACTTTTGTCGTCAACTAAACAGTTTGAAGATGTTATTTTTGAATGACGTTTCATGTGTCTCTGAAGAGACCGGGTGTTAACAAACTGCTTCCCACAATCAGAGCAAATAAAAGATTTCTTTACACTCGACTTGCAAGACCTGCTCTCTTTCCTCTCGCTGCCTTTGGTTTTTGACTTTGACTGTGGCAAAAAATTCAGTTGAGAGTCAGAACAGCTCTCATGTTCATCAGCTTCACTGACTTCAGTCTCTGAAGAGTTGGAACAGTCTGGGTATCTGCTAGTTTCTGCTCCTCCACAGTCCTCTCCATCAACTGCTGCTGTCGTTTGGTCGACTGAACTGCTGGTTGGAAGATCTCCATCTTCCAATTGGTGCTCACAAACTTCTGAGAATGAACGTTTCTCTTCATCATTCTCACTCTTTAAAGAAACTGCATCAGTCTCCTCCACCTCAGGCTGCTCTTCCTCCAAATCAGTCCACGATTCATCCTGTTCCTCCTTTATGTAGAAGGGTTTAGAATCCTCTTGGTTCACACTGGGACTCCAACATCCAGAAGCTTCTTCTTTAATCAATACCATCTCTTGACCATCTGCAGGAACCACTAAAACACATGCATTTTGGACATTAAGTTTCTTGCTAAGGTCACTGAGTACACTTAGTTCACTGCTTGATTGTCCAAAAATAATCTAATTGTGGATCTGTCACACTTAGTCTACCTGAAACACATCACATTTTTAATAATTCCTTTCAAAACATATGGTCACTTTTTTTCAGTTACACTGTGGTTGCATGCTGCTCTGCAGACCTATTAAGTGGAGGAGGTGAGAGAGAATGGAACCATAACAACAACAAATTATTAACTAGGTGATAGGAGCATGTCCTTTTTAATACACATAGTTTTTCTTGGACTACAGTCTTGCTATTTGTCAACTTTAATATAATCAAATTAAAGTTCCTGTGACGTTAAACAAAGTGCACAGAGTGCAAAGAATAAAAGACAGTTTGGACCACAGTCAGAAACCTGAAAATGTTGAGCAGAAATGGATTTATTTTTATTATATTTGCATCCGTAGTGCTCATCATAAATGTTCAGCTATGCTACAACACCTAGACGGATCATTTAAATTATTTATATAAACACAAAACACATCTCTGTCTCACTTGGGACACTTGCTCCCTATAAAGAGGACTGTAACTACAGGTACTATTTGTTTACATCTGCTTAAAACTAATGGGCCATTCCCATCTGTACCGGGTTGGCCCGGGCCGGGTAGCGTAGGTTGTTTACATACCTGGGTGGCCTGGTATTTTTCCGGGCCAACCCTGGCTCATTCTCAGCCCTCTTCTCGAGGGGGTCTGCTTCAGGCCGACCAGGGCCAACACACCCACTGCTGACAGCGAATTCACACCTTCCATTAGAGCAAGCCTCTGATTGGTGGGTAGAATCAGCCCACATGGGCTTAAGACAAGGATGTGTGGAACCAACCGGGCCAGGCTGGGGCCGACTGGGGCTACCCGGCCCGGGCCGACCCGGTGCAGATGGGAATGGCCCATAAAACTGCTCTGTTACAATTCGACCACATTTTAAAAGCAAAAGAAAAATAAATGTTTATCTGATTATTCAATGGATTACTGTGGCAGATTAATTAATTTTTTAACTATTCAATAGCTGCTGCCCTAAATGAGTCGTTTAAGAAAGGTCTGGATGTTTGTCTACCTCTCCAACCTTCTGAGGTATGTTAGGACACAGAACTGAACATCGGATGCAGACTGACCAAGATGGGTTCTTCGATTATAGCAATATATATTTAAATATATGTAAATAACTTTTCCTCAGTATGAGAGCAGATCAATAGAAGCTTCAACAGAGAACAGATGAACCGACCATCACTAAGTGATGCTCCACGCTGGACCAATCAGTCATGGCAACCGTACTGTCTGCTAACAACTAATGTTTGTGTAGCTTTAGCCTCCTACTGCATGCAACAGGTAGGATGTGGCTGATAAAAATATTTTTTCTTAAATGAACACCCAAAAAAATGAAAGAAAATATGGAGGACACAGTGATCTTTGATGATAAGAGACTAAACAGTTCAGTCGTGTTGACGTATTTTGGCTAGTTAATGTCATAACGAAATATAAAGTTAAAGAGGGACTGCACACCATCAGTAAATGTAACTCCACCCCTAGTCAAGATTTGAAAAATGCCATGAAAGTGGGCGTTGCCAGGAGGCACAGAGTGGCATGGCCAAGTGTGGGGGATTTCCATCCTGGGAGGGAGGGGGAGTGGGAGGAGACTGTACCAATGACATGAAATTGTTCCAGCCCCGGTCAATCACAAGTTTAAAATGCAGTTGCCGCTGTTCTGCCACAGGGGGCAGCACTAAGACGTTTTTAGACTTTAGATGCTAGATTTAATCAAGTTTACACAAACATTTCAAAAAATGCACAGAAATAGAAAGATTGCATTTGTAAAGACCAAATTATACAGTTAATTAGCAAAAAAAAGTTATTTTGGGGTTTAGTTACTCTTTAACGATATAGCTGTGCTCCTAATTATGTTCAGGGCAGGTTCTGACAACATTGGGGGAAAATGCAGATCTATAATATATAAAACATTGTTTCTTTTTTTATTGCTTTGTTTCTCCATTGCATCATCGCCATGGGAACAAACTCCGGACCAAAGCCGGTCACGTATTTCACACAAGGGCTCATGGGGGCTAGGAATAGGGTGGCTACGGTAACCTTAACCATTATCGACACCATACCAGCCCACTCTGGGAACACTGGTGATTATTCTGTAGCTTTCAAGGACCCAAAAGAATTTATTTCAAGCATTAAAATTGAACCATACAACAGAAAGTGAATGGTGAGAGCTGAATCTTCATAAAGGAAAGAGTTTCAAAGCTAATTAAATCAGTTTCTAAATATTAAATTAAGTTTTGAATTTGGTAACACTCATTTCAAAGTGGATATCAAACTACACTAATTCTTAATTTTAAACAATTTTATTTAATAAATAATTATTAAATTTAATAAAAGTTTAATAGCAATTCTATCAGAGCAATGCAAATATTAAGTATTTAAAATCAGTTTCTGGCATCTCAAATTTCTGCCCATAAAAACCTAAACTACAGCTAACGTTGCTCCAAGTGCAGCTATAGCTCAATTACTACCAACAATAACAATAAATAGATAAATGTGGAAATAATTAATTACAACATTTTTATTTATGTATTCTCAACTTTGTTGTATGTTTCCTCGTTCCTTCATTCATTCATTTATTGTCTACTTTGGCAGAAAGAATCCTCCATAAAACCATCACATTACACAGAGAGAATTAAAATATACAAACCTATTATGCGCAGTTGATCACGAGGGTTGTAAACATCGTCTTGGATTTTGTTACTCATTTTCTTTTTAACTTTAATAAGAGGCTATTTTTTCCTAATATGTTCCACCTCTGCATCCAGCTGCTGCTGCTGGGATCACCAAGCTGATGCACGCAGGTCAAGCTGTTCTTTGTTTTGCTGGTCGAAGATTCAGAACAGAATATCTGCTGGTTGCTCATTAACCAAGGCAGCTAACAGCAGCACCCTGTACAAATGCACACAGCAGAAATATTCTGTAACGTACCGTTTCTTTAACATACGAGTCTTCACTCTCCTGTTAGCAAACAAGCACACGAAAAGGAGCCATAACTCAACAAACACGGTTCTGCTGTTCAAATGTATTCCCAGTTTATACCCAAATGACTCCTAACCACATTCTACCTTCAGAACAACATTTGCCATTAATTCTGTTACATTAGCTCCGTCTATATAACAAACTACGTTCAACAATGCCCAGGTTGAACGTCATACCTTTTCCCAACACGACGGGTTCAGATGCGCATGCGCAGTGGTATTGCCGAAAAATGACGATGTCTTAAAGTGACAGTACGGTTTTATTTCATTCATGGGTGAAACAGTTTAAAAAAATTGGTGCAATCATTGGTGTGGGCCATGCATTAAACATAGGATGAAACGAGTAATAAAACGTTTAAAACGCGTGAATGGTACAAAATAAATCACACGAAAAATTGGCTAAATGAAAAATTCTAATTTTTGTTTGGCTAAATTAAAAATTCGACTTTTTTAAGCTAAATGAAAATTGGCTAAATTAAACAGAAAAACTTGGTTAAACAAAGTTGGGTGAATTAAAAATTCTAATTTTAGTCCATTTGTACTACTTACAGATTCAGAAATGAAGCTGCAAGACCATGCTTTTACCCCACAGTGGTGTAAATGTGGTTTTAAATAGAACAGAATTTCCTTTTATTGTCCATAGTCAGTGGGGAACTGTTTGTCACAACAGCTATGACATTGAAAAACTGAGCAAAAAGAACAAAAGATAAAGAAAAATAAAAGAATGTACACTGAAAAAAACAATACATATATGCAAAAATACTTTTTTAAATGGAATACATATAAAAATGAAAATATTTAATTACTTGTAAAGACAGCTCATTGCTGCCACCTGGTGTTGAAAGAAATCACCATCGCAATTAGCTATTTCTGCCTTGAACTAACCCAGTGAAGGAGCATTGACAAAGAGAGAGTTTCATTTTAACAATTAAAAGTTGAACGCAAGTTCCACTGAATTAAAGAAAAGTTAGGTAAGTTTTTTTTTTTTTTTACAAATATTTTGTTTTATAAATGCTCCATTTCATACAAAGTGAGCAAAATACTCTTCACAGGATAGAGGTCCTTGAAAACTGACCATCATACAGCAATTGTACCAGATCTGGCTGACTGTACTGATCAAAATGAGAAGAATAGACGAGTCCCAGATGCGACTGGATTTAATCCTGCCCATTACTCTCTTTGACGACTATCCTGAGATGGGCGATGGCTTTGATCATCTCTGTATCCTCTTTACTAAATTTGAGTAGAATGTTTGAAGTGGGGGATATAAGTTTATAAGAGAGGAGATCATCAATGACAAACCCTTTGTCGGCCATCACCTCATCACCTGGCTCCAGCAGCTGAAGAATTCCACAGAGTTGTGTTATCTCCTTTCCCAGAAATGCATCCAGAGTACAGCTCAGAAAAGATGGACACAAACCCATTGGGGGTGACTCCAACAAGTGCTAAGTGTTGGTCACTCTGTCAGCTGTGGCATTACTACACTGAAACATGTCAGCTAAGAGCTGCACCCTCAAGCCAGCAGCGGTCTGCATGGAGTACAAGCAATTCATTATTTAATGGCATCCTGCAAGAGAGGCTGGGCAGTGCCTCCAGTAGCTTCTTCACCCATCCTCCTTGCTTTGCTCCGGTAAATCAGACATGAAGCAGATGGAGCAACATATTCCCAGAAGATCTTTAACACAGACACTTGTGGTAATTCTGTGTAGAATTGTATTTGAGCATCAGAAGCACAATATTGACTCAAGATTGGGGATGGTGGGCCACAAACCCCAGTTGGTCTTCCAAGTCTTGAATGATCTTTGTTGCGTGTACAGCACCTGTAGTAGAAAAGAGTAGAGAAGGCAGAATTAATTCAGTCATTTATAAAACTCATTGAAATTCAAGAAAATTTTAGAAACATGTTGAAAATATGAACCCCGTGTTGACAAATGTGCATACAACTGACAAATATTTAGCCTTTGTCCACTTAAAACAATAGTAAAATGCACAATTACTTGCAACTATTTATTATTGCTGTTATGTAGTTATTTATTTTCATTTATTTATTTTCCTTGTCTCCCTTTTCTGGTCTTTGGACTGCTTTTTTCTGCTGTTTACTTTCCTCTCTCTTCTGCCATGATCCCATTCATCATGTCCTGCAATAATATGTCGTCGTCGTCGTCGTCTTCCTCCGCTTATCCGGGTCCGGGTCGCGGGGGCAGCATCCCAACTAGGGAGCTCCAGGCCGTCCTCTCCCCGGCCTTGTCCACCAGCTCCTCCGGCAGGACCCCAAGGCGTTCCCGGACCAGATTGGAGATGTAACCTCTCCAACGTGTCCTGGGTCGACCCGGGGGCCTTCTGCCGGCAGGACATGCCCGAAACACCTCCCCGGGGAGGCGTCCAGGAGGCATCCTGACCAGATGCCCAAACCACCTCAACTGGCTCCTTTCGATCCGGAGGAGCAGCGGTTCTACTCCGAGTCCCTCCCGAATGTCCGAGCTCCTCACCCTATCTCTAAGGCTGAGCCCGGCCACCCTACGGAGGAAACTCATTTCGGCCGCTTGTATCCGCGATCTCGTTCTTTCGGTCATTACCCAAAGCTCATGACCATAGGTGAGGATTGGGACGTAGATCGACCGGTAAATCGAGAGCCTGGCTTTCTGGCTCAGCTCCCTCTTCCCCACAACAGATCGGCTTAGCGTCCGCATCACTGCAGACGCCGAACCAATCCGCCTGTCGATCTCCCGATCCCTCCTACCCTCACTCGTGAACAAGACCCCGAGATACTTAAACTCCTCCACTTGAGGTAGGACCTCTCCCCCGACCCGGAGGTGGCAAGCCACCCTTTTCCGGTCGAGAACCATGGTCTCAGATTTGGAGGTGCTGATCCTCATCCCAGCCGCTTCACATTCGGCCGCGAACCTACCCAGCAAGAGCTGAAGGTCAGAGCTGGATGAAGCTAGGAGGACCACATCATCCGCAAAAAGCAGAGACGAGATTCTCCTGCCACCAAACTCAACACACTCCACACCACGGCTGCGTCTAGAAATTCTGTCCATAAAAGTGATGAACAGAACCGGTGACAAAGGGCAGCCCTGGCGGAGTCCAACCCTCACTGGGAACAGGTCCGACTTACTACCGGCTATGCGGACCAAACTCACGCTCCTCTGGTAAAGGGACTGAATGGCCCTTAACAGAAAGCCACCCACCCCATACTCCTGGAGCGTCCCCCACAGGGTGCCCCTGGGGACACGGTCATAAGCCTTCTCCAAATCCACAAAGCACATGTGGATTGGTTGGGCAAACTCCCATGCCCCCTCCATCACCCTTGCAAGGGTATAGAGCTGGTCCACAGTTCCACGGCCAGGACGAAAACCACATTGCTCCTCCTCTATCTGAGATTCAACTATCGCTCGGACCCTCCTCTCCAGTACCTTGGAGTAGACCTTTCCAGGGAGGCTGAGGAGTGTGATCCCCCTATAGTTGGAACACACCCTCAGGTCACCCTTCTTAAAGATGGGGACCACCACCCCGGTCTGCCACTCCCTAGGAACTGCCCCCGATGACCACGCAATGTTGTAGAGACGTGTCAACCATGACAGCCCTACAACATCCATAGCCTTGAGATACCCAGGACGAACCTCATCCGCCCCCGGGGCTCCGCCGCTGTGTAGTTGTTTGACTACCTCAGCAACTTCTGCCCCCGAGATCAGACAGTCCATCCCCAGGCCTCCCAGCTCTGGTTCCTCCTCGGAATGCGCATTGGTGGGATTGAGGAGCTCCTCAAAGTATTCCTTCCACCGTCCGACTAAAAAAAAAGTATGTTTTTTTTTACCTGACATGTTTTAGCCAGTGTCTCTGGCCATCTCTGATGATGGCTAGAGACACTGGCTCAGGAGATTTGCAGTAACTAAGTTTGCTTTTACTCGGTTACATAACTGTTGCACTTTTTTTGCACCTGCAATATCAAATGAAATATCCAATATGCCTGTTCAACGTTGACACCCTGCAGTTCTAGTTAAAGCCTATAGGGGTCAGTAATGGTCCCGATAGCCTCAGTCAAACTGAACCAGAGGAAGAGCAGCAAAGCCCGAAGAAGAATTTAACGATTCCCGGTTGTGAACCGCTCCAGTCCCTGTAGTGGGCCATCGGTAACTGACTAATTGTTTTGGACTTAAAGCAAAACCACTTCGTTTACTAGCTGTTTAGTTTATATCTCAAAGCGAGCCCCACCAGTGCGATGAATTCCTAACAACTGACTATGTTTTAACAGCGATCTTGTAGCATTCAGGATCATTTCTGCAACACAAAAAGGTAACTAACAATCTTTTGTTTTCCTCACGCTTTCATGTGGCTCAGGAGCACAGATTTTACTTTCCCTAACTGTTAGGAAAGGTAATATTTTCCTCCAGGCTAACTGGCCCTGTAAAAGTCGCTAGATGACCTGACATTAACATTCGGGAAACATTGTTTTATCAGTCTCAGTTGGGTCTCTTTTAATCAACTCACTAAGTGAACAGTTTTCATTCCTTGAAGGATTAATGTAAACGAAGAATAATGTTTACATTAGTTTCACGTTTTCCTCACTGAATCATGAGAAAATGAAGGAAAACACGTAATTTAACAGTAATCTAAGGCAACACAGTCGCAATAAACAGCTGGCTTCATAAATGGTACATTAATACATTTGATTTCTGCTTTAATCATAATGTGACTGATTTTTCAAACACTAATTGTGTTTTTTAAATTGTCAAACAAAACAATATTTATTTTTCAACAACACCCACACAAAATGTTCTGTTTAAATGTCAATTCTTAAAATTACTCTGCTCGTCACCGCCCCCTTGTGGTGGCTTATTGAATAAGACTTTAAATCAAACCATATAAAATAATGAGAATGTGGTTCATTTTAAAAATATTATGAAATAATTCAATAAAAGTAGCCCTGGAGAAAAAATCTGTTACATGGAATGTGTTGCGTCTCTTTAATTTGGCTTTGTGATCAACCTCTCTGCTAGAGACCAATGGAGGAGGGCTCTGAGGTGATGGAGGATATTGTGTTTCGAGGAGTGGAGTTTTCTGTGAAGATAGAGCTGGACAAGAATTTGCTGATAGTGGAAGTCTCTGATTCCATGACAGCAGATCAGTGGAGAGGAGAATTTGATCCAGCATGTAAGTGACATACATAAATGACATTACAGATACGGATTGTGAACGTTATTCTCTTTAGCTTTGATTTATTTCATCCTCAGATATCGAAGACCTCACTCGCAAAACGGGCAACTTCAAACAGTTCCCAATTTTCTGCAGCATGTTGGAATCTGCCGTCAGAAAGGTAACGTCCATGTTCTCGCAAATGCTCTAAAGTGACATTTTAGTGGTTGAGCGAACGTGCACAGTCAATAAAAAGATTAAAGCAGACAGATTAGCTTGAGGCCATTTTAGCAGAGGAAACTCATTCATGGGAGTGCAATGTTTCCACTTGAGTGAGAAATGTTCAGTTATACTGAGCTTTCACATTCTCCGGCGCCTTCTCTGTGAGTTACAAAGACAAGGCCTTGAAGAAAAGACAGGCACTGTTGAGCAGTTGTAAATGAGTACATCTAGACTCTAGAGATTTCATGTGTCAGCTCATGCAGTGATTTATTACAGCGGCCGAGGCTTTTGTGACTTAAGGAATCCAAAATTTTGTCAAAAATAGGTCAATCCTTTTCTCGACCATTCCCCTAGAATTTCTTTCCTTGTAAGTGTTTTTTTCTCTCCTGCAGACAAGTGATTCGGTTACACTTGACCTCCTGACCTATGCTGACCTTGAGCTTCTACGCAACAGAAAAGCAGGAGTGGTCAGCCGTCCTCGTGGCCATCAGCAGTCATCTGCTCTCACTTCTAAAAGATACCTCATCCTTATCTATACTGTAGAGTTTGACAGGTTTGTGTTTATTTTTATGACAGTGCTGTTGGATTCTGCTGCATGTTGAACCTATTCTGTTGTGTTTAGGATACACTACCCATTACCGCTGCCCTATGTGGGGAAGCCTGACCCAGTTACCCTTCAGAAGGAGATCAGAGCACTCCGGGCAGAAGTCAGCGCTCTCACCTCCCATGGAGTCAACAAATCTGCAGATCTGGAAATACAGCGGCTCCGACAAGAGTAGATTGCAGTTACTTATTTTTTTACTGATGTGAGTAAGCTGAGCTTCCTTTTAAATACCAGCGCCATTTCCTAGGCTGTTTGTAGTAAAAGAAGAGAAGGAAGCCATGGCCAAAGTCCTGGAGCGAGTTCAGATGAGTGGAAACGTGTCCATCGCCGGGCAGGAGGACTGGAGGATCAGAGATGTGGTGCGAACGCTGGAGGAACAGCTCATCAAGGAGAGAGCCAAAAGTCAGAGGTCAACAAATAAGAGGTGCCAGGAGCAGCAGTTTCTAATGGAGCAGGTGAGAGTGTTCTGGAAAAGGTTTCTGGTGTTGTTTTTTCTTTTTAACCTTCGTCCTTCCTCTTTAGCTGGAGGAGCTGAGAGCGTCCGAGTGTGCTCTTCGTGTTCGTGTCAAAAGTCTCACCAATGAACTGGCGTTACTGCGGAGAGGGTTAGACAATCTAAGCGCGTACTTTACCTTTACTTTCTCTTTCATTCATTCATGTACATTTTAAACAGAACCTTTTATCACCTGAATGTTATTAACTTATCAAGCACATTTCTCTTTGGCACATCTGCAGCAGAGTGACTCCGGTTTCGGGTCGCTTTGGTTCTCCGGTCGATGGGGAAGTCTATCGCTCTGTTTCCCGTGAGAGAAGATCTGGTTACGGGACAGCCCGGGCTCGGTCCGGATCTAGGGAGCGGTCGGAGGACAGTCGGCATCGATCAGTGGAAAGAGGAAGAAGAGCGGACTCTTCAGGACCTCGGGCTTGCATACCCAGGCCATCGCCTTCACCCACAGGTATGAGAGCTGCTCAGTGGGAACTTCCAGATCATCAAATTAAATGTTTGTGTTGATTGTTAATCCAGTGAATAAAATTTTAAAATGTGTTTATAAAATCTGTTTTGCAGGGTCCAGGGGGCCCCGCTTTGACCCGACTGCTTACATTCAGGACAGGCAGCGCAGGCAGAAAGAGGCGGAACTCAAAAAGTTGGTTATCAATATTTATGTTACTGCAGTGTTTAAATGAACAGCCTTTACCCTGATTCCTGTCAGACAGAGGAAGGTGAGAAGAGACATGCTGGCATCGCCGATCATCCCTGAGAGGGGCCGCTCCCGATCCAGAGAGGCCTATCCTCAGGTGGTCCGGTCTGGCAGCAGAGGCAGGAGTCTGTCGACGGAGCGACGAGGCAGCAGGAACTCCTCTGAGAGCTCATTAGTGGATATGGATGAAATGGCCCAAAATTTGTTCAGGTACTTGGTTACACTGGAGGGTTTAGTGCAGCATTACTGTTACTTACTGTCCCTTTGATCTGTGCACAGGGGAAGGAAGCAGACCTACAACAAACCTAACGTGGTGAGTGATTAACCAGTCTGCTCGGCTTGAGATTATTCAGTAATAACAAAAATTATTAATCCTGTCTTTATACATTTACCCCTTTTAGTCTAGAGGCCTTATGACCAGAAAGCCATTTAGCAGCACTCCAACGCAGAGAGTAAAAGACAAAGGTAACTCAATCAGTTAAAATGAGCTGATATTAAGATTAAAGTCCTGACACAATCATCTAATCTCATGTTAAAAATCCTAGTGAGTTCTCTAGATACGGGCGCTGAGCTGTCGGAGATCGATGCAAGGCTCCAAGCACTTCAGGAATACATGAGGGACCTGGACACAGGACACTAAAGTTCAGCTCAAGTCGGAGTTCAGGCTAACCAACTGTCAAGGATTTTTATCAACAACCCAGTGCCTGCAACCAGAAAAAAATAAACAAATGACAGACAAGTATCCAGATTGCAATGAGGAGGCAGAAGCTACAAGGCTACTGCCCCGAGCTCCTGAATTCTGTTCATTTATAACATGAGGTGTGTGTGTGTGTGTGTGTGTGTGTGTGTGTGTGTGTGTGTGTGTGTGTGTGTGTGTGTGTGTGTGTGTGTGTGTGTGTGTGAATAAATTAGCATGCATTTAGGCATAGAGAAATACATATCACGTCCAGGTGATTGAATCAATGATCAAGAAATAATCATAACATTTCCATAACATATCCCCCCCTGTTTATGGGATATTTACATAACATGCATGAAATTTTATCCACTTTCATAACTTGTCACCATTTTCTATGATTTTCTATCATTAATCACGACTTAAGGAATGGGGAAAGGGTAAAACTAGGAAAGGTGGTCATCACGGTAGTCATAAGGACCAATAGGTACAAATCAAGCAACTCGAGACAAAGATGATAAGCATCAAAGCAAGAAAAATAACAATAAACACTACGATTAGATATGAAAGGTTCAGAATCAACTCGATGGAGTGAGAACACAGAAGAAAAAAAATATGATTTCTATAGCGCCTCAAGATAAAAATCACGAGGCGCTTCTCAAAAACAAGAAATGTAAAAATATAAAAAAGAATTTAGAAAATGGTTAAAAATATATTTCAAATGAGCTAAAAATAGACAATTGTGATAAAAATAATGTTAAGAAAGAGACAGAGTGAATAGGAAAGAGGGAAATCAGTGGATCCTGAGGAAGGTGTAATAGGTGGGGAGAGCAGAATAAAGAGGGAGTGGTGAAGAAGGTCATACAAAAGCCAGCTTGGACAAGTGAGTCTTCAGCTGCTTTTTAAAGGAGACCACTGAGTCCACTGATCTCAGGCTCAGGGGGAGAGAGTTCCAGAGTCTGGGGGCCACAGCAGCAAATGATCTGTCACCTTTGGTCTTTAGCCTGGTGCTGCACAACCAGTAGGCTTTGATCACTGGACCTCAGGGACCTGCTGGGGGTGTAGGGACTGAGAAGATCACCAATGTAAGATGGTGCTTGTCCATGTAAGGCCCTATAGACCAGAACCAGGATCTTGAAATGAACCCTGAAGTTGAATGGCAGCCAGTGAAGCTGGAGGAGAAGCGGGGTGATGTGGGTGTGTTTGGAGGAGTTGGTCAGAAGCCGAGCACAGGCATTCTGAACCACCTGTAGACGGTTCAGGGAGGTTCTGCTCAGACACGTGAAAAGAGAGTTACAGTAGTCTAAGCGTGAGGAGATGAAGGTGTGGAGAACTGTCTCAAGTTCAGAGCAGGACAGAATGGGACTCAGCTTAGCAATGTTCCTGAGATGGAAGAAGGAAGAGCGACCAAGAGAACTGACATGAGAATCCAGGGTGGGAGCTGGGTCAAAGGTCACACCAAGATTCCTGACGGAAGGTTTGGTGTGAGAAGCAAGCTGACCAAGAGAGTCTCTGACTTTGGGAACCAGCTTGTCTGGGGCACAAATGAGGATCTCAGTCTTATCTTCATTCAGCTGAAGAAAGCTCCCAGCCATCCAGGTTTTAATAGATTCTAAGCAGGTGTGTAACAGCTGCAGCTTAGACATCTCATGGGGCTTAAAGGAGATGTACAGTTGGATGTCATCTGCATAAAGATGGTAGGAGATTCCTTTGAAGGAGCTCAGGATGTGCTGAAGAGGAAGCAGAAAGAGGAGGAAGGGCAGAGGCCCCAACACAGAACCTTGTGAGAGCAGTTTCTGATAGGCCTACCCAGTCTCTCAGCCTCTCCAGTAGCAGGTGATGGTCAACAGTGTCAAAGGCTGCAGTCAGGTCCAGCAGGACCAGAACAGCACAGTCATCACTGAGTCAGAAGGTCATTAGAGACCCTAAGAAGAGCTGTTTCAGTAGAATGAGCTCTACGAAAACCTGACTGGAAGCTAGAGCAGCTGTGAGTTCTTTAGCCACAATCTTTTCCAAGATCTTGGAGATGAACGGAAGTTGGGTCTGAAGCTGCTATGGAGAGAGGCGTCAAGACTCGGTTTTTTAAGAAGCGGGTGGATTACAGCGTTCTTAAAGTAAGCAGGGACCTGACCAGAAACCAGAGAAGCATTAATTATAGAGAGCACGCTGGGACCGATGGACAGAAAAGCACTTTTAAACAAAGATGAGGGTAAGATGTCGAGGGGGCATGCAGAGGTCTTCATAGAGTTAACTAGTTTGGTTAACTCAGGCAAAGAAACAGGAGCAAAGCTTTCTAGGATGATGGGCCTGGTTGGAGTCGGGAGAGGCAGCGATAAGGCTGAAGGAGAGATGCTAGATCTAACCTTATTGACTTTGTCCACAAAGAAAGACCGAAAGTTCTCACAGTCTGCAACAGAGTGGATGGAGGCTGTAGGAGAAGCAGGAGAGACGATGCTGCTGATGGTGTTAAACAGCACCTTGGGGTTCAGTTTGCTCTGGGACACCAGGTTGGAAAAATAGGAAACCCTCGCGTCTCTGACTGCAGAGTTAAAGGATGTCAGAAGATCCTTTAGGTGCAGCAGATGGACATGCAGACGGGTTTTCTTCCACAAGCGCTCAATTTTTCTGCACTGGGGCTTCAGGCTGTCATTAAACCAGGGAGTAGGGTTCACTGCAGGAACTGATCTGGTTCTGACAGGACTGATGTTGTCCAGAATGGAGAGGCAGTGCTCGTTAAACTGAGAAGTTAAGGAATCTGGGTCATTATCAGAAGAACAGGGTGGATCAAAAGCAGCAGAAAAATTGCTAGCTGTGCTCTCATTAAGAAAACGAGAACTAACCATACGGCGAGCAGGAGGTGGGGACGCAGAAACTGACAAGTTAAAGAAAATGCAATGGTGATCAGAATTATAAACGTCCTCAGGACAAACACTGTCAGCATTTAGACTCGGGGTAAAAACAAGGTCTAGAGTGTGCCCACTAGTGTGTGTGTGGGGCCAGAGACATGCTGGGTAAAGCTGAAGGAGTCTATAAGGCTGGAGAAATTCATGGCAAAGTGATCAGAGGGATCATCAACATGGATGTTAAAATCACCAACAATCACCAGTCTGGACAGCTTCACAATGGAGGACAGAAAGTCACTAAACTCCTGAAGGAAGAACTGTTTGGACCAGGTGGACGATAGACCACAGCACAGTAGAACGGGTCCTTACGCCTGACTTTAATCAGCTGCAGTTCAAAGGAAGCAAAGTGACCAGAGGTTGAAAAGAATAACCACTCGGGCAGAGTTCAGTCAGACCAGAATAATCTCTGCATGTGGTGCTGCAATAGTTTGCCTATTGTGGATCGTAATCTCAATCCTGATAACTTCGTCCAAAGAATCATTCCATACAAAGTTTAATACAAAAATCAGCAAAATAATAAGAACAAATAAAATAATAAACACGATAAGACAAACACAACTGACAATAATATCTTACAGCAGTTCACCGAGATAGAGAATGGAATCAGCTAAATCAACACAATTATAACCTTAAGAAAAGCTATTTCATACATACTGAAATTAATTTATTGTGATGCACAATTCTATGACTTATGGCAGTTCCTGTAAGGAGACTGGGAAGGGTTAGCAAACCATATAATACACAGAAAACATCAGTACAGTGTATTGAAACATCAGGTGAATTTAGTTTAAAGCTTCAAGTTGCAGACGAGTCTTTCTGTGAAGGAGGAAAAATGAACGTGTAATATTAATTTACGCAGCTCTAACTGTGGCAGAGCTGAGGCAAACCAGGCGTTCTTCATCAAAGGGCTCGTCCATGGACGGAGGGTCCCGGTTGGAGAATAGGTTTGGTCAGGATGGTTTCAGTCTTACGTTGATGAGTATCTTGAAGTCCGGTCCGGAGTGCAATAATGGAGTTTGTGGTGTAGAAGCGCACAGTTCAACTTCTCAAAGACTTCAGGGTCCTTCTGTGACGTGTCAAGGCGGTTGTCCAATTGTCAGGGAGCTGATCTTGTCCCCGAAAAGTCCTTCAGGTCCTTGACCGTGAAACCTGTCTGGATATTTGGGTGCAGGTGCTTGAAGTAGTTGATCCTTTTCCAGCGTCTCTTCTTCGCTGTGTCCTGTTGTAGTTGCGTCCAGGGGGTCGTCAGCCGAGGTGGATGCAGGTTACGTTGTCATGTAGGTGCACGGTCAGGAAGGAGCCCCAATCCGTCGTTTCAGTTCCAGTTCTAGTGCCCCCTCAAATGCTGCTGTCTCAGTTGTTCCATCAGGTGCTGAGAGGCAGCCCAAATGCAGGCCATGTACATGCACCAACATCAGTAATGTGGTGAACCCAGCAAGCTTGAAGCAGATCTTTATCTTATCTTGATCTTCACCGGGGTTAAGACATGAACACCTATTGTTGCCAACACACCTGTGAAGCTGGACTTCAATGCCGCCCTAGTAGCGGTTGACGTTGATAAGCTTGCAGTGCGATAGATGAATCCAAGATGGTCTCTCAGCAATCTTCACAGCAGTGGGAGTGATGAGTACTTCGAATGGACCTCTGACTGCCCCATTTGTTTTGCTTCAGCACCTTCATCAAAACCCAATTTCCTGGTTTCATGACCTGTGGCAAAAAAGCACAAGAAAATTCTGGGAGATCACTATCGATTTTGAATTGTTTTCAGCAAAAATCCTTATCATCCAATATTTAAAGTATTTCCATCCAGGCAGTGTAATAATGTGAGGTAATCGTTATCAGCCTTCCCTCCGCTTGAGGCTTGAGGCAACTCATGGCTCACCAGAAACAAAACATTAACAAAAAGGGTCCGATACCGGCAAGCACTGCACTAACCCGAAGCAAAAGTTGGACCTCACACAACATGTGAAAAATACCCATCCCAAGGAACTTGCAATTGCCAGTTTACATCAGCAGGGGACAGTCGTGCAGCACAGTGTGCATAAAACAACAAAACAAAAGACTAAACAAACTAACAAAAATAAACCATAATCAGTGTAAAGAAAATTGAAAATAAACACAAAGTGATTTACATCACCTATAAGTAACAGGAAAAATTACAGTAGAAGAGCTGTTGCAGAAGATTGTAATCTAATGAAATATAAAAAAGAATCAACCTGGGGGGGATCAATGATCAAGAAATAATAATCATAAAATTTCCATAACACCAACCAACCCTGATTTAAATCTGAGCACCGTGTTGACCAGATTATGTCAAGACTCCGATCTGCAGAAACTCCAGACTCTGAAGGTCACTGGACTGATTATGTTTTATTTTGCAAATTATAATTTAAAGTTGTACATTGTTAATCATAACTTAAATCTAGTTCTTTGTGCAATTATTTCTATATAAATGTATACAAATTTGTAAGAACTGGGAAATGTTTTTCAGAAGCCAAATACTTTTCTCCTTGACTGTTTAGTTTGTCGTTTAATGTTTACACTGGTTCAGGCCAACACCTTTGTTTTTCAGATCATAACACAAACATTGTCTTAAGTTTCTTAAAGGTCCCAATCTGCTTTTTAGTCATATTTATTTTATGGTGCTCGAGTATAAATGTGATTTTATGACAGAAAATCCACACATTCTCCTGAGAGGAACAACCAAATCAGCTGACTGTATGTTACCAGTAGTGCCCGTTCGGTTATTCCTGCCTAAGCTGCTCGAGTGTATTTTTTACAGCTCTCACTGATCCACTTGTGCTTTACTCTGATTACTTTTCTACTTTTTGGAGACAACTCCCCGTTCAAGTAAAAAAAACTTTTTCTTCAAAAAGTAATGTTTATTAAATTCTGTATCACTATGAACACTTCACATTTTCGTGAATTGCCAAGTTTTTCTTGATAATAAATATGTTGTAAACAGACATTTTCTTTCTTGACTACCTTTTGTATCTGTTGGACTAAAAAACACATCTTTATGAGAAAATACTCATTTTGATTTGTCAGCAGAAAAGAACTCGCCACCAAAACACACAGCATGTAAGAACTAAATCCACTGGAATGTTAACTCCTTAAAGAAAAACACAAATGTTAACTAACCACAAAACATTCAAAGCAAATAGTGTTAAGTATCAGAATGTGAGACTTTTCAGTGGTGATTTTAGTGCAGATTATAAATCAAATATTTATAATAACATCAAACTAAATATGACAAATCTTTCTTTATTAAGGCACAGAGTTCCTGCTGACGTCTCCTGGCTGGTTCACTTGCATCTCAAAGTTTCTTCGACTGTTGAGTATGGCCTGGATTTTGAGCGTCAGCTATGGGGGGACACAGCATAGATGTGAGAGGAGGTCATTTGTACATGCGTGTAGACACACATCTAAAAAGAGACTCACTGATTGTTGCTGAGAAAGAGCGTCTCGATAAAAGGCTTGTGTGACGTCCCGCTTCTTATCATCAAACTGTTTCCAAGTCACAGCTTTAATCAGCAACGTGTCCTCAGGCAAGAGGGGGTACTGCAGTTGCTGTGGGGAAAAAAAACAACGGTAACTCTGACGACTTACACAGCTTCCTACTTTTGGGGGTTATTCTGGGAGGATTTATAGTAAACATCACCAGTTGCTGCTTATATTCCTCGATAGAGGCAGACCTCATCTTCTGCAGCAGCTGGAAGGCTGTTGCTACAGTTGATCTGCTTCTGTTGAGCAGTGCCTGCAAACAATTGCGTGCAATGTTTTAGAAGATCCAAACAGAATCAGCAGCAATTATTAGACTACAAATTATGTTTATTTATTTATTTTACCATCAGCTCCTCATTGGTCTTCCCACTCAGTGAGTCCTGGTTGGAGCTGCTGGAGAGGCTGGTGGAGTTTGACTGGTAGGGAAAAAGCATCACATTTTAATTACAGAGAGCAGAAAAGAAACAATGCTCTCCTCACGTTTAACACTATGAAAGTCTTCACCTCAGCTTCATACTCGGCCCACGCAGCTTTGCGCTCTGCCTCGCTGAGCTCCTCCTCTTCTTTATGGTCCAGCAGAGATTCGTGTTCGTGGTACGAAACTATCTGGTCTTTACAAGTTTGCAGCAGTCGTGCCAGGACGCTGTCCTGAGAAAAGAAGACACGCAAACTCAGATGCTGTGCTGCAGAGTTTCCACCCATCGCTGTGGCGAACCTGGAAAGACTGTCACCTTTGGTAGAATCGGGGTGGGTCTCTTGCTTTTTTTGGAGTTTGGGTCATCGAGCAGGTCTGGCTCAAATGAGTAGAGTTCGTTCAGCTCATTAAGAGTGAAGTGTCTCTCAATCTGCTGCTGATCTACCACTCTGAAGGAGAGAGACTGTTTGGTCACCTGCCGGTCATAGATCTTCTCCTCCATGGTGCCCTGGAGAAGAAGAATTAAAATCTAACACGTATAATGTCTATCCTGTAAAGACAAGATTAAACCATCTATAGGTTTAAAAAACAACACAAACTAAATAAGTGCACAGTAAACTGAAATGTTTACCTGAGCCAAGAAGCGGTACACAAACACTTGTTTGAGCTGACCGAAGCGATACACTCTGTAAATGCTCTGGATGTCATACGAGGGATTCCACGATGCATCAAAGAGGACCACCCTGTTAGCAGCCACCAGGTTGATGCCAAGAGATCCAGCTTTCGTTGAGATCAGAAATAATCTTCCACTGAAATCAAGTCAAACAAGAAGAGAAGCTTTATGGTGACTTTGTCTAACGCTCTTTCCTGCTTTACTCCAGTCTAGCACCTACCGGGCATTGGCGGGATTATTGAACTCATCAGACCATTTCTTCCTTGTTGAAGCGCTGGTGGAGCCGTCTAGGCGGTAATAATCTATGTTTTTGATCCAGCAGTCGGCTGTTAAAGCAAGAGAACACAACAATCAAAACAGGAATGGCACAAAAATAAAAGTCATGCCACTGAAGAGAATTTTACCTTTATGTGACGATGTTGGCTTTCTGGCTTCATGAGAAGCCTTAAGGAAGTACTCAATTAGGTCCAACGTGGTCAAAGACTGACTGAATACAAGCCTAAGGATGTAAACTGGGATTAGGATGTATGTGAAGTCTGATTACAAACTTAAAAAATATCCTTTGCGTCATGAAATAAGACATACACTTTTTCATCCAGGTCTGCTACTATTTGGAGGATCTCAAACAAAAGAACCATCTTCCCAGAATGCTCCAGGATTCTGGCTTCATCATCAGTCAGTAAGTTTCTGAACCAGGGCGCATCTGAAATCTGAGGCCTCGAGCTGAAGCCTAATTTCTCTCCTACAGAGAAAAAAGAACCAGTGACACAGGTTCAAGTGTTACAGATTGAAACGGAGTGACATCCTGTAGTACCTTCCACCACCGGGAGGTCTTTGGGAGCGTCGATAGCCACCATGCTGCTGTTCTCCACCGCTTTCCCCTCGTTCACTCTCTGTCCGCTGCAGCATAAACGTAATACAGATGAATAGAAACCTAGTACAGGCCTGAGAAGTCGGTAAATAGAAATGATCCAGAAGTGACTGATGTTTGTTTATGTTTTAAAAAGTCAGATTATATTTAGTCTATTATTGCAATAAAAAATGTCTTCATTTTGTAGCACAAGTGTATGAATAAACCTAGCTTATTTCCTTTTTCCTCTAAAAAATTTAATTTTTTGGCACAAGGAAAGTCTGAGTACTTTCACTGAATTAAGAATAAATGATAAGTTACCTCTCAAGCACGATGGTCTCTCCATTTATAGCCTGAGCTGCCATTCCAGCTGCATTCTTCTTCTTTAAACGTTTCAGTGAAAACAGATGAGTATTAATCAGCACGTTAAATCAATAAATCAACATTTTATGAAAAAATTTTTTTTTTTCAACCTTGTTTCCTTTGCTTAGCTGAAGGGACCAGGGATGATTCCAAATGCGACCGAGGACCTGAACGTCCTTGAAGAAGTGGGCGCCGTGCCTCTGCTTTGGTCTGTCGGTCACCGCACCCTCACCGGAGATATGGTCGAGGTAGGAGCGGTACAGTTTATACTGGAGGGGGGTGATCCTCACTGCCAGCACATACTCGTGTTTGGGAGGCAGAAACTGGGCCAACTCTGAATAATCTTTTCTCTAGAAGAAACATTAACAGTTCCATAAAACTGCAAATTGAAGCACAAACATCTCAACTAGCTGTAATTACCTGCACACATCCCTCCAACATCTGATGAAGCACATGCGCTCGCTTCTTCATGATCCTGACGTCTTTCGAGGTGGAGTCCGCACACTGTCCGTTCTTTATGGGGTTAATGAAGCGGTTTCTGAACTCGTTCAGAGAGCCCAACAGATTCTTCTTGATGAAACTGACCATGCAGTGGTCTGCAGAAACAAAAAACATGGCCTCCAGTTTGAGTTTGTCAATTCATTTTACATTCAAATGCACTTTCCTCTAGATTTTTAAGTTTTCCTAAAGCTGGACTAACAATAAAAGGGGGAGATTAAAATTTTTATTGTAAAAACTGTGATGTCCCATTTTAAAGATGGGGTTCACTCGTTTATTCAGTACATTTGCAGCAGTCTCTGGTAAGAATGAATGCCCTGCACGCTGTACTCAGGGCAAAGAAAAACAGAAATACTTGGATCAGTACCAACAAGTCTTCTGCCACAGAGTGTTCGAACATGGTGGGATCTGGAGTCTTATTTCCTGACTCCACCACTGACTCCATTTGTTTTGCACCATTGATAGTAAGTAAGTAAAAGTTTATTTATAGAGCGCCTTTCACAGATATAAATCACAAAGCGCTGTATAACATGATAAAGATCAGGGCAAATACCTCTAACCAATAAAAACATCAGAAAAACAATAGCAGTGTTAAACGTAGAAAATAAAATCATGAGTATAAACAAAGTGAAGGTGTGAACCCGAACAAAGCCATCTTTTTGAAACATTTAGGGAGGGAACGCCTGGATGAAAAGGTGAGTTTTTAGATGATTTTTAAAGATTTTAAAGAGCTCCGTTTGGGATAATTTGGGCCCGCGATCTGAATTCCACGTTTCGAGGCCGCAGAGGTGAAGGAACCGAAAAGTCAAGCCACGATCGAGGATTACCACATCCTCCCCTTTCCACGACCGACGTTGACCGACCAGGGAGCCAGCATAATTTAATCCAAAAAGGCCACGAGCCAGGAACCCAAGGCTGTTGGAGCCGCTGGCCACCCTTCCGGCGACGGAAAGCAGGTCTGCGAAGCATCTCATCTGGCTGACTTTTGTGCTAAGCCCGATTAGTGAATTCATATTAGTCCATTTCTTTTATGGCTTGTTTATTTCGATCCCACATTCACGTTTAGCTCTCAAGACCCCCTTTCTTCTTCTGTCGCAACGAATCCTTATTCGCATCCACACACACACCAACTCTCATTTGCATCCACTCACATGAACACCCCCCCTCCTGCACCTATACCAACACACACACACACACACACACACACACCCATTTCACCTAAACCCACATGAACATTTCACTTTGTCCCCCTTTAGAAATTATTTCCCATTTTCCTATATTCCTGATGTCACCGAATTTCCACATTTATTACAGATCAGTTATTTCCTATCACTGCCATAAAGCTTTGGGGTAACAATTTTCTTAATTCCATGCATGAAACTATAAGCTGTGTTTGGTCCTTTTGTCAATGTATTAATTGATGTTGTAATAAATTCACAAAATGTAAATAACGCCTGATCATTGTCTAGCAATTCTCGGGAATAATCGGCACATTCTGTCAAGAATTCATCCTTTGGATTAAAATGTGGTGTTAACTCTGAGACTGATTACATTGCGAAGATATAGATATTAAATCCAATGGGCCAGTTCCAAAAACTGGTGGTGCCCCGATTAATTAATATAAGATTATAAATAAGCTAAATCTACGCCACATTTGAAATATAGATATAAATCTATATTTATCACTACAGCTCCATTTCCACCTAGGAAGCAGTTGAAGTCTCCTGTGTGGGAATATGTCTAATATATTCCCACACAGGAGAATTCAACCACGTAGTAGTAAGTAGAGGGGCTTAATCATGCAATACATTTTTCCACCTCTAGATGGCGGCTTCTGAGAAAACACTCGGAATATCTGCTTCAACAAAGAGAAAGACTGGTTTCCTGCTAAATAGTGAGCTAAATATTGTAAAGTGGTGCCTTTCATTCAGTGGAATAAAAGAGTTTGTGTATTATTCTGTTCTGAAAACTTAAAGCCAGTGTGACTAGTATCTGTAGGAACGACCTACACTCATCAAGGTTGTTCTGAAGCGGTGTGCCCGTCAGCACCACTCTTCTCTGGGTCTTGATTGCACTCATAGCTATAGAGATTCTGGAGGACTCGTTGCGAAGGATGTGCCCTTCGTCACAAACCACAAAGTCTGGACCTAAGAAGGAAAAACGCATTATTGAACAAAGAAATGGCACACGTCTGAAATAAATTTAGTAACTTAAAATAGTTTTCTGAACCTGGATCCACCAACGTTCTCCTCAGCTCGCTCCTGATGTCTTCACTGTTGGTTTTATTACCTTGAGACATCATGCGGTACATCTCGTACCCCATGATCATGACACCACCATCTCTCTGCCACTTCAGCAGAGCTCTGACTCGTTCTAAAGGAGACTTGATTGTGGCCATTTCTGTAACCTGGAACATATTTTTGTGTTGAAACTACAACATATAAACAACCCTTAAACTTTTCATATATTCAGCTTTGTTTATTCACCTTGACCTTATCTTCCATGTCATCTTGCCATTTCTGGAACTCGCTGACCCAGTTGAGGATGGTGTTAAGTGGACACACAACCAAGGCTGTTCTGAACTTCAGGTGTGATGAGAGCAGCACCGTGTGAAGGAACGCTACAACCTATAAGATTTAAGCATTTTGTGATTTTTGTGCAACTAGCAACATTACAGGGTACTTTAAAAGCAAACACTTAAATGTTTACCTGTGTGAAACACTCACCTGCAGTGTCTTTCCCAGACCCATGCAGTGTGCCAGAATACACCCTGATCCAGGAGAAGAGTTGGCCTTCTTCACTGACTCACAACAGCTGTCCCAAATAAACTGGACTCCTATAAAACAGAAGCAAGATCCTTCAAGCATCACATTTTTACAGCAATGTAGTAAAGCCCACAACTATAACTAACGTAACCAGTTAACGATGAATCGGCTCACCATCCACCTGGTGAGGCTTCAGTCTTGTGACCAGATTCCTGTGCACCTGAACAAGTGGTGTCTTGGTCTCTTCATCCTGATCCAGGACCAGCTTGGTAGTGATGGGACATGACACTTGGGACAGTTCATCCTCCACTACAATTATCTGCAGAAAATAAAGATGGACAGTCAGTCGTTCGGTTATCTTCTCACCTAAATCACAAAGCTCTGAAATCATATTTATTAAGAGAAAGTTTTATGGAAAGATGAGCGAAGTTTATGCAGACGTACCTCTCTCCTATCCTCCATCTGCTGCTCTCTGCTAGCGAGACGCTTCCGTCTCTCCTCCTCTTCTCTGAGAGCCTCCTGGCTCTCCAAACACAGGTTCACATCGTCAATAATTCTACGAATTTTCTTGCGTCCTTTGGGTGTGTTGCTTTTACTGTCCACCTCTACGGTCTCTTCCTCGCTTTGCTGAAATTTTACAGAACAATCTCTGAACAATCAAAAGACAAGCCCACACAGAAGTATCTCAGGTTTCAGACAAATGATAAATAACATATCTACCTTTTCACTGCTGGAGTCAGACAGCCAAATGCACTGCACTTCATTCTTGGGTTTGACACCGTAAGCTTCCTCCTTTTTGTTCGTCTTTGATCTGGTGTGAAAACAGATGGGAGAGAAATTACGGTCGCCATGGTCAGAATAATTAAAACACTGCAAAGGTAGATCTGAAGGTGAGAATTTCCTGCTCTAATTTGCTCAGCATGACAGGGATTAACGAGTGTTATTACAAAATTTCCAAATCTATGCAAAACTAAACCAAGTCAACTTGTTTTAATAAGTTACACCTTACTGCTGAGCATGTATAAATTGTACTAACTCTCACTTTCATCTGTTCAGTAAAGAAAAACGACTCTTCACCTCTGGAGATCTTCATCAGATTCCACTTCAGACTGGCTCAACTCCTCGCTCACCTCATCCTCACTGTCGGAACAGCCGTTTGCACCACTCTCACCAGCTTGTCAAAGCACAAAAGGACATATTGCAGAGTTTGTGTTCCCTCTTCAGGTATTTTGCTTTGCGACGTTCACTCACAGCTCAGTCGTTTCCTCTTGGCTCTTCCTTTGCTCTCCTGCTTTTCTGCATCACTCTCAGCCCTTTCACTCCTCCCCTCATCCAACGCAAGTTTGTGGCGGAGGAGGTGGTGTCTGGACTTTGGTTTATCAGACGTGCTGTCAGAGGACTCCGATGCCTCATCTTCTCCTGCAGCAGAGTTGTACCCTTTCATTTCCTCCCCCTTCACAATCCAGACTCCGTTAAGGATATTCTCTGAAACTATGAGGTATCAAAATGAAACGACTCACCATTTAGATTGGTTCCAGCATCCTCTGTGCCTTTTTTCTCCTCATTGTTGTCATCTGACTCAGATTCATCCACAGGAGTTTCTTCACCCGAAGAAATATCATCCGAGGAGTAGTTGGCTTTAATGCTGGCCAACAGCATTTTCTTAGCGATTCTTTCAAAAGTAAAAGAAAGGAAAAGGCACCAGAGGTTCATGCTTTGGGGTTTGGTAACATTTTCAGCTAGATACTGTTCTACTTTAAGACAGAAAAATGACAAAATATAGATTCGCTGGCGCCTTCGTTCCAAGAGCTGCTAACAGGAAAATAATTTAATTTGTCGCTCCTGATTAGGTGATAAACTATCCAATCAAGGTGTCATATTACCAAAATAAGAGCATAAAGAATAAAAATGAGCCCAACACATTTTTATTACAACAAATGAGTAAATATTTATTTAAAAAAATAAAATAAAAACAAGTACATATTCTTCTCATCTACCATAGTTGGTTCTTGGGTTTGACTTTTTTTATTTGCTTGTTTTAGGTTGACTTGTTTCAAATGAAAATGCACTCTGACTTCTAAAACAGAAGGCAAAAAAGTCACTGGACTAGCAAAGTAAAACAAAATAGCCCCAAAAGTAAAATACAGAGGTTTACATTTAAATTACTCAAAATTAAATGGACAAAAATTCCCCATTCAGTAAAAAACATGATACTTTTGTAGTATATAGCAAAAGTAAAAAGGGTATAATTCTAATTGTGTGTAAGACCATTATAATATGCAAAATAAGGAAAAAATGTACAAGAACCAGCAAATAGTCATAAAAACTAAGAATCAAACAGTACGTTGTGACAAGGGCTCAGATGAGAGTTTATTTACCGCGTCCATCACAAACACCTGTGATCCTGACAGTTTGGAGAACTTAGCTGTTTGACTCAACAGCTCAGGTGTGAGTTTATTGTAATATTAACAAGTATTACAGTACAGCAGAGAAAAGAAAAGGATTAATGAGGAGCACCATCACGGTTTGACTCATTTCATTCATCTAAACAAATAAGATGCAACACTAACCAAGACTTTTTCTTTTAAGCGAACAAAAACACGTCTGACTTTGGCATAATTACTACTGATAATCACAATCTGTGATTCTGGAAAGCCCTTCTTGGATTTAGGCTAAAAAGAACATTTTATGCTACAATATAACTTTTACATTTCTGCTGACCATTTAATTTGCACCACCACTACTGCTACTACTACTACTACTACTACTACTACAGACTAGTACTACAACATACTAACACTGAGAAACACAGACATGACACAGACTCCTTTCCACAGGAGCCGTCAGCAGCACGTCTTGCTCGCGTAAGCTGCTGCTTGGCCCTTCCCACGAGACGCGAAGCAGCAGGGGGGCAGCGGTCACCGACCGAGCACGAAGTCACACCAGTGACTTCGTCAGTAAACACAACAACAAGCAGGAGAAAACTACAACATGGCTCCAAAAGGTTTGTGTTTTATGTTCTGTCCGTTTTATAATCGCCAATACGGACCTGAAAAACAAAGGAGACCGCTAGCTAGGTGATAACTTCTCACGGGGCCGTAATTTTTTTTAAAGAGCAAGTCAACCCCTACCAGAGTCTAACTCCACTCTCACTTCATGTTTGAAAAATGCAACAAATGCTGTTGCCTGGCAGACCGAGAGGGTGGAGCCGCTAACAAATACACACACACACAGACTCACAACAGCATTGTGACATCATAATGTACCAGTTTACATCATAGCATACCTCTTAGCCAATAGCGGTGGCAGATTTAAATTCAAATACAGTGCATAGTTTTTACCTGACAACGGCACAACACTGCCAGTTTTAGGCAGAATATTTAAATTTTAACAAAGATGCACTGAGGTGCCAAATTATTGACTACACGTGTCTGCAGCACAATTAGACACTCGTTTATTTAGTTTATCAGCAAAAAAAAGTTTATTTGGGGGTGACTTGCTCTTTAAGTAAAGTAACCAGAAGGCAGTACGTTTCTTTATTCTGAAAATCTCGGGAGCTTCGCTCCGTTTCCGCGTCCGATTTCCTGTCTTTCCTTCCCCAAAAATGTCGAACTTGACCCGTTTCAGAGGCGTCGCGCGTAGAAAATAGAACCGGCGCGTAAGGGCCGCGACATGCTGCTCCTGAGACGGGGCCGACTCGCGCTGCTGACGGCTCCAGTGGAAAAGGTTCTGTTGACCACAGCGGTTCCTATCAGCAGCTATGACGTGCTGCTGCAGTAACGTGCTGCTGACGGCTCCTGTGGAAAGCCGGGGTAACAGCCCTGTTTTCATTGTTGTCCTGACAGAAATTCCCACATGGGAGAAAAACAGAGAAAAGTAGACGGATGTCATTAAAGGCATTACGTAAATTTGGTTGCTTGCATTTCAAAGGTTGTGTGTCACACCTTTCTCCATCATAAGCATTTTCCATTTTAGAATTCCAGGCTCAAAATTTCCTGATCATTTTCATCAGTTTGAGGAACATGTTTTCCTGTTTAGGTAGATTTTTTTGTTTGCAGGAAGTATAATTTTGAATACTTGTTGTCTGAATGCTATTACTCTAAAATACTATAAGTAAGACTGCAAAGGAAGTAGAACCCTGTCTGAATATTTGACAGCACTAATCTGGAATAATTGTTTATCTGTGAGAAGGTCATTAAACACGGTTTAAGACCACAGATTTTGCAATGAAAAAATTGTCTCCACAATTTAAATGGTCAGCAGTGATGCATATTCTGTGGAAAATGGAGCAGAAACCAGTTATACGGATCCCGTGAACCATGTGTTAAATACAAAAACACAAACGTTGACCTCATGAATGCAATAAAATAAAAAGTGTGCAAATCATTTTGATGAAGGATCCTTTAAACAGAAGCTGTGGACCCATAACTGGACATCCACTTTATCAGAGAAGATATGAACAAAATATTTCCCAGGCAAAGACAGAAAACTGCCCGACAAGGAAGAAAGAAAACAATAATCCAACAGATTAAATTGGACTTAACTCTGAGCATCAATAATCACATTTCCTTCACTATAATACGACAGAATGCAAAGTGAAGCCCCTTTCACACCATGGTTCAACAATATGGCACCAAAAATGGGTCTATTCTTTTAAGTAATACATCTAAATTTAAATGGACATTTCTTGTAGCAGCTTTAGAAATAGATAAATAGAAAGTAAAAGCACAGGTATGTATACACACAAAGGACAACTGCTATTCACAGATACTCATACATGTACAAAAACTAAAATCTGAAATCTAAAGTCCTCTGGTCATTTCTGCATAAATTTATCCTGCTGGCCATGTCCTGCAACAACATCTACTTATGTATATCAAGTTAGCGCAACAGAACTGGGCCCCAGCCAGTAACAGCAGCTCCAGTTAAAACTGGGTGTTGCAGGAACCTCCCCCCCCCCCCCACATCACACCTACTCACCAACTTGGCTCCATGACTACAGCTGTTCCTGGCCAAGAGGGGTTCTGGTTAGGCCTCAGATCATCCTAAATTTCTCCTTCCAAAGGCATCTCAGGTTGAAAGCATTGTGTGAAAGGAGCCCCACCCCCCCACCCCACGACGGTTGCTGTATACTCTTTACCTAAAGCAGCACCGTCTCCCAGAAAAACAGTAATGGGCTGCACAAAGAAATTCTTAGAAAGGCACAAAAAACAAAACAGTCCCAAGATGTTTGCGGCTTTATATCTCCAAAAAAGTCCACTTGCAAAAGGTTCTGATGGGATCTGTAGGAAGCCCCATCACCCCAATAAACCAACTGGGCCCAAAGCATCTACTGCTAACGTCCTGGTACCACACACACCCCGGTACCATCAGATGTACTTTGGCAGCATGAAGAAGAACAAAACAATATTAAGTGTGTGATCATAATTATATGGCTGATTGGTGCATTCACAAGTTAATGCTTCAAATAATACACATTTATATATTTATATACAAAGGTCATCAGTCAGTGAAATAACCAATCATCTCTGCTTGTAAATGCACTTTAACTTAAACCAGTGCTACAAATGACTCGACATGTTCTTGTTGCTGTGATGACACACACATTTCATCATGGGGACCAAGGGTTAGGGTTACCCTAACCTAGCATGATTTACCACTTAAAACGTATTGTTGCAGATGTTCAAAACTTAAGAAATTCATTTCAGTTTACAAATTTATTTATATTTTGTGTTTCTGCAGCATCAAATCAATTTATTTTAACATTTATTAGAATAAATCTCAAACCAGAAACAAAAGTTATGATGCGTCAGCTCCTCCTGCAGCCCTAAATAATTTTAAAATAAACCTAAACCTGAACAAATCCAAAGGTACACAAAAAGAGCCAAAACAACCCTTAACTGTCTCATTTCAAATGTGGAAAAATATATTTTGTCACGCCACAACACAAATATTAAAAAGACACGAAGCATAAAGGCTTGTCCTTGTGTGAAAACAATGTATTTGTTAAAACTTTTGCAGGCAGATTTCAAACTTTATACTTCACCTAGAGATAAGAATACTTCACTTGCCTACGTTTTTGCTCTAGGGTGGTAAACAGTTAAATGTGCATTCTTCAGAAAACAGAACCAAAACACTTTCTGTAAATGTTAGAATACTGTCACTGGAAACAACTGTGTGTTGCACTAACAGAAATAAATTAGTAGAGCAGAACAACCTTCATTCACTTTTTAATGTTCCAGATCAAAGAGGTCAACAAAGAATATAAATTTAGCATTAGCCAAGGGTATAGACAAGATAATCACTAATAATAAATGGTAGTGATTATTATTTTAAACTCAAGCATTTATAACACAACTGAACACTAAACAGAACAAAACCAAGCTGGACACTTTGCTTTTCAGTCCCAAGGCTGCTGTGAGCGAGTCTGACTGAACCATCGTGTGGACCACAATCCTCTCAGTGTAAATACTAGAACGTGTATTTGATTTCTTGGGCTGTGCAGCTACGTTTAGGCCTTTCCCTAATAGGCTGGAGCTGAGCTCTAATAACTTGCGGACTGCCAGATTTTTCACAGAAACTATGACTGGAAGGTGCAGTTTTTCTTTCACACGTACGGTGTTCTACAAACTCAACATCCGGGCTTTTTGAACTGTACCTATTTTCCGGATCATCATCTTCTGCTGCCCATGAGGGCCTGGACTGTTCATCATCTCCTACAAAAAGAAATACATACTTGTTATTGATCTAATTAGTATATTTCTCTGTGTGCAAACATAGCATTTTTAGTTTTAATTAACTTATCTAAACAATATTTTCTAATTTACTTTCATTTCAGCCATGTACACAAAGTCAATAGAGACTGCTCTCTAATACCCATTAAGAAAACCTACTGAAAGACAAACCTGATGACTGGTGGAATGCTGCTACTCCTAAAGAAGAAACATTTTCTGTGATCGGCTTCATCTTCTGAACACTTCCATCACTCTCAGAGTCATCATCTTGCTCATCTTCACTCAGCAGAGATGATGAATCACTTGCTTCCTGCTGTGCTTTGGAATTGCTGGATTGTAGTCTTCTCTGCTTTCTAGCGCCACTTTTCTCTTCTCTTTTGACAAGCTGGGGCTTCCCTATTGATCTCACTGTACTTAGGTGCTGAATTTTTTTCTGAGAGTCCTGCTCATCGCTGGAAGAATCTGTCTCGCTTTCCTGTTCGACGCTGATAACTCTGCAGCTCGATTCTGACTCTGAGGCGCGATCCCGCATCTTACGTTTCTGCCGCATCTTCTCCGGCGACATTGGGCTATTCTTGGTGAGCCAAAACAGACATTTTTTGGCCACTTTGCTCGGTGATGCATGACCATCTTCCTCTTCATCTGAACTTTGAGTCATATTTGCTCGTACAAGCAGCGCAGCGGGGACTTCATCTGAATCAGAATCGTCCCTTTCTCTGCTCAGATTTTGCTCTTCATCGTTGGCGGCAGGTGCAGTGCCCGCCGTTCCTTCGGGGTCAGAGTCGCTGTCACTGTCTGCTGCTGACAGACACGTTTTGGTCTTGACATCGCTTTGTCTGCGCAAAGGAGTCGTCTTCACACGAGGAGATCGCCTATTGCCTTGTTCCTCCTCTGGGAGATGAGCATTGGACAGGTCACTGCTCATTTTACTTTCAGCATTCGGGCTCACAGCGAGAGCTTCTTCATCCAACAACAGTTTTCCCTTTGCTTTACTTTCCTTCTTCTGGAAATCCTCCAACTTCGGGGATTCAGAAGATGACTCCTCCATGGACACAGGTGTAAGCTGTACGACAAGTTTTTTCACCACATCTCCTTGACTTACAGACGTTCTCTGTTCTCTACATCTAGCTTCTTGTGAATCTGGACCCAATTTCTTCCCAGAGTGGGCGTTTGGAGCTGCCCCATCAGAGTCATTATCGTCAACATGCTCAGATGCCAGTTTCTGCAAGCCACGCAAGCATCTTTCCTCAGAAATATCCAGCTCAGTCTCCCCATCTGTAGGAACAGTATCAAGACCACTGCTAAGTATCTTGTCCCAACTACCTAACACATCCAAGTCACTAAATTCTTCCTTGAGGCTCTCCTCCAGTGCTGTGAGAGACTTTCGTAAGCCTTTAGTAACAGCCAAAAAAGAGTTCAGAAACAGCATACGAACTCTAGGCTTTTGTTTGTTTGTCACATTCTGAATAAATTTTAAAAATGCTTGATTTAAGGTGTTTGTTGAGTCCACTAGATGTTTGGCCTTTTTGGTGATGCCCTTGGAAACTTGCAGTGTATTGTAGTTGAAGACCACATTTCCATCCATACCGCTGTGGTCCCATTTATCCAAAGGAATGTTCTGTGGCGAGAGTGGCGATATGTACAGTTCAGATTTGTCTGGCTCTACTCTGTTCTTCTTACGCTGCTGAGAGCACAGATTGTCTATATTTTCTAAGACGGCATTGCAAGCCATCACCAGGTCAAACAGAGGCTCTGGACTGCACACGTAGCAGTACCACTTGCTCTCCAAGATGCCAGACAGCTCCTTCCTTCCCAGATTTCTCAGAATGCATTTCTTGCAGAAAGCGTTGCTACAATAGTCGCAACATATGAGGTTACCCCCTTCAGCACACCACCTGCAAATGGAAACATCAACTTTAGCTTACAATATGTTCAGAAGTACCTAAGTTGCTGTTTAAATATTTTATGCAACAAATCGTACCGGCACTGTTCGTCCATTCCATCTCCATCCTTGCTGATGTCATCACTTGAGTAATAATTGTAGCAAGTCTAATGAGAAAAAAATTTCAGGTTAGACAAGCTGAGCATAAAAAGCATGAGAATGTTGAAGCAGAACTAATAATTAAGTTAATGTCTTCAACAGATTACTCTGCACCATTGACTTAATAAACAAAAGCTTTGACATATAATTCTGAATATTATGTTTGGCTTCTTGGATTACCTTCGTCATTGGTTTTAGATGTGAAATTTGAAAGATGCCTTTGTTGAATACCAATGCTACACGCTCTAGGAAGTGCTGTTTCTCCACCATGACCCATGAACTTAATATTAGCAGCACTGTGCATGAATGCAACATTGATTAAAGCAAACAGGAGGCATATGATGACAGACAGGAAAAGAAAATAGGTATGTGCACTGGTGCCATCTTTAGTGGTGGAGCTCCATGTTGTGATTTAGCGCTGAGGTACACTGAATTTAAAAGAGTGAGGAAGACGCTTTGACCAAACCCATTACCATGCAGGTCAGGACTAATACTCAACAGACTAAGTCTAGGCTGTTACTTTATAACTACACTGTGTAACTGTTTGTTTGTTTCTCATTTAAAACTTTTGTTTCTTTTCCTGTTGCCTATTAGAGCTGAAATTAGCCACGATGATTCACAAAGTAAGAGAAAAAACTAACATAAGTTTTTAGTTCTTGGTAAATTTTGTAGGATTTTATTAGAAATTTATAAAAGTGAGAAAACCATCCTGGATTTGATTAACAAACTTTTAATTCTGATTGTAATGAGAGGAGAAACATTTACATCTTCAGTGAACATGTCCTGCAGACAGATGGCCTGCTGGCACTGATATAACTTTTCATCCACCTTCCCTTCCAGAGTTTTCCATCAATGGCATTATACAACCTCACAGACCAACAACTTCAGCTGTTGTCTCAAGCCTGAAGAAGGGACTATGACTGAAACCTAGGGAGTTGACTGGGAAACATTTGTGCATAGCTCTCTCTGGCATTTACATAAGATGTGTGTGCAAATTACACAACACTTCATTCACCGCAGTATTAGTGAAAAAGCATTAATCAAATGTATTTCATAAGCTGTTCTAAGGAGTCATCTCAAACCAGAAACGATGACGGAGTAATCAAATGTTAGGAGTGACAAGAATGAAAAGACAACGACAATTAGAGGGTGGTAACGTTTAAACTAGAGGTCTTGGTGGTTTGAATGAACAGACCACCTAAAATAAAGCCAGTACACATCTGTTGAAGATGGATAAAAACAGAATTAAGGCAGAAATGTGCTAGGTTATTATTTGCTCTCCAAAAAAAGGGGTAGTATTGATCATTGTATTGTGTTCAACCAATCATATAAACCCAAAACCATTTAAATTTGACATTTTAGCACTTCCATTTACATTTGTTTCATTAATTAAGTATTGAAGACTCACCTTGCAAATAAGTACTTTCAGAACTGGGTGTTGATAAAGGGAATCTCTCCGGAAGTGATTAACTTGTCGACCACACGCAGTGCAACACACAATTCCCACAGGTTGCCCTCCTGGGAAACAACAACTCCATCATTAGCAACAGCACTGTTGGGAATATGGTCAGCTGGACCGTTTATCCGGTTGTCAGATTTATTTTAATCCACCACAGAATGAGGAGCACCGAACTAGGGTGAGTTATTTCACACAATGATAAGCAAACTGAAATTAGTCTGAAATCCAAGTCTTAAAAACAGCTTCTTTTTTTTTTTTTTTTACACTTCCGGGGTGTTTTATAGATAGAGCAATGGATGGGTAAGAGAGGTATGACACATCTGCTACAACTTTTTGAGAACTGTTAACATTTCTAGTGTTTGTTGGAGAACTCTGTTAGTAAATATAAAAACAACTTGTTTTGTAGTATTGACCGACCTCCACGTTTTCTTGAGAACTCTCTCTGCAGAACGTTGGATTTTCTACTGCGAAACTCAGGACCTCTGAAATCATCTCGTCCACTGTCCACTGGTTCAGGTCGGACCAGCGCTGTCCCTGTGCAAACAAAAACACAATTCAAATTTTTATTTATTTTTTTATATTTAACTAAAAAAAAAAATCAAATGAGTGTGCATAAGTAAGAGATGAGCATTGGCCTAAAGTCTTTGCACATCCTAATAAAGTCAGCATTTATAATGACAGATGTGTCAATCAGAATATATTTTGTTCATTCATTCCATTTTATTTGACAGGGACATTGCTGTCCATCATAGTACAGGATGTAGCTAACGCGACACATTCAGAGATTATAGCTAGCGCTAATTCACAACTCCTGTCCCTGGTTGGGTTTTCCTAAACAATAATAAACAACATTCAAAAAATGAATTAATAATAAAAACAGTCTTATACAGTACTAAAAACAATATTAAGACTACATAAAAACAAAGGTTAAAGTAGGAGATGTCCTAAACTAAAACCATCAAATTTATGCAAAAACTTACCCTACACAATATTAAAAACACAAAATTTATCATAAAAGTTAATCCAACAGTAAAAAATGAGAAATATATTAAAAAAGCAACATAAGAAAATAAAATCTAACACATACTTCACTAATCTACGGTCTGTATCCCTCTCATTAACTAATAACTACAGGTGGATACAATTTTGTTCTTTTCTCAGCCACGAGAACCTTTGAAGGGAATTCAGTTAATGGAGACCAGTTCTTCAACTCAGTTGGTAACAAGTTCCAGTTTTTAACACACAGTTAATGCTGGAGGTAAAAAGACTAAATGCAGTTATTGCTATGTGGCAGCAAACTTGCCTTTTGGTAATCTGGTGACATCAACGTGACCATTTGAAGTGAATGGTATACTCAAGTCCTCGCTTGCATTTGAGTCTCCAGATTCATCCAGTCCGGAGTGCTTTATGACGACCAACGGTTTCCTATAACATCAGTGAAACAGGGAGAATGTGATTCTCACAAATTTGCAACATAAACCACAAAACAGGAAAACCTACTCATAAAACAAACATCTGAAAATCACTGTGGCTGAAAAGTTGCCTTTTCATAAATTAGCACAAGTGAACTCACCTCCTTGAGTATCTGGCGTCCACACCAGTCTGTAAACAAAACAGTTTCATGGTTTATTTGTCAAAGCCAAACTGACACATTTCTACAGAAGTGGTTCAGGAAAAGGACTTCATCACAATGCAATAAAAGTAAATGGAAAAAAAAAACACAGCAGACGAAGAAAAAAAATCAACTCCACCTTCCACAGATAACTACAGAGAAGGCATCTATTATTGTTAGCAAAGACTCAACACCACCCACCAGTTAAAAACAACTCTGGAGAAGGATGGGGGGTGGTTGTGATAAGACAGAAGAGAGCAAAAGAGATGGATAAAATGTGGAAGCACTTCACAGAGAATATAGAAAACAGATTTCTTCCCACAGCAGCATTTATTGCTTTTTCCAAGTTGCATTTAGTTTGTACTACATCTCTCTGTAATATCTGCATTAGATCTAAATTATTGCATTTGTGTTAAAGAGCAAGTCACCCCTAAATCGACTTATTTTTGTATAAATAAGTGTCCAATAGTGCTGTAGAAATGCATTTTGGCATTTAAAAGCATCTAAAAATAAAACTGTACTAACTGATGTACAGCAATTATAGTTTTATCTATGCCTATACTTTATACTTTATGTGTACATGTGAAATTTTTTTTACTTGTGCAGCTAGTTTTAACTTTAAATTTTAATCCTTGGGTAAACAAAAGCAACTATTTTTGTAATGCATAGTGTAATATGGAATTATTTATCCTTGCTGCTAATTTTACATAAAGCTGTTTGTTTTATCTTATTTTATTGTAGTTTTTGGATCATTGTAAATTGTTTTTATTTATTAGCCTTGGCTATATTCTTGCATATATACATATGTACAAACATATACATGTCCATTAATATGCATTGTCCCTCTAAAAATAAAATTAAACTAAACTTTAAAAAAAGTTCCTAAATCTGTCATTATTGATCTCTTTTCAGGTTAAAACTCTGCTCTGCGTTAGGGCTGCTCAAATATGACAAAATGGATTATCACAATTATTTTCATTGAAATAGAGATCTCAGTTATTTGAGACGATGTCTGACGATCTTTAATTAACGTTGGTTTTATTTATAACGTTGCACAGGGCAAAATCAGAAGAAAACTAAATGTAAACAAGAAACAAGATAATCACAAACACAACTCCTGATTTCGTGTAAAAGAGCCAACACACTTACTCATAGTTTATGACCGAACAAGTAAAAGTTTCACTTATTTATGCCTACCCAATGTATACCCAATTCAATAAACAAATACTGCAAATGACAACTAAAGAGAAATACAGTGCAAATGTTTGTATTGTAAAAATAAATAGAAATATATAAACTTCTATGTTGTAGTGAACTTCCACAACCTGCTGTATAATAACCATCTAGCGCAGTCTAGCGGTGTCATAGGAAAAGCATCATTATTTATTAGCCTGATAAATTGGAGGTGTGGTGTGAGAGCACATGAAGACTGTCTCATAGTCATGAGAGTTTGTAGCCCTGATAAAATAAACACCCACTTCAGATGTCTTGAATTTAACTCATTAACTGCCAATGATGACTTAAAGTCGTCATTTGCATTTTTTTTACTGTGTGGGCGTTGGAACGAGCCCCCGCACCACGAGAACAAACATCCCAGATCTTCATCAGCATACGTCACACGTCAAGTGATCAGGAAGCAGAAAATCCATGTGTTAGGAGATCGTTTTGGGCCGCTACTGTAAAAAAAAATGTGAGGGGCGAACCGGAAAAGCTTCTGCCGATCACAATTCGACAAGGATTATGAAAGAACGGATAACGCTCGAAACGCGCGGATTCTTCCTGATGTAAGAGATGAGTCTCCTCTTTGATTTCGGTAGTTTTGGCATCGACATCATCCTAGCCCGCAACATTCTGTCACTCTTAAAAAAACTGTGAAACGCTGGCTGTTAATGAGTTAATGAACTTGTAAAACAGCTGTGACATCCACCAAGAAAAATGTATGATTGGTCAATCAATGTAATGTGATCATGCTGCACATGCACACATCATTCCCTTTCTTAATGTCCGGAGCATTGGCTGGGTGTTTTGCTAACCTGCGGGGAATATCAACGACGAAGTAAAAGAGAAATTATCTACGGGTCCTCAGAAATGTTGCCAGGTGCTTTTGGGAAATAAAAAGTCAAGAAGGGGATCTGAAAAGTTGTTAGAAATAGCAACAAGGTTGCTAAGTTGGCAACGCTGTGTGAGAGGGGCGCTCCATTTGCAACTCAGAGCAGTGTGGAAGTTAACCGCAAGGGGGGAGCAAATGATCAGCTTGTTTTGTTTTTATAATAGTTCAAAACCCAGACCGTGATTGTGATATGATTCAAATTATGTTGATATGATTCAATTAATTAAGCAGCCCTACTCTTCTCTTTTTTTTTTAAATCAGCCATTGCTTCTGGCTAAGAGGTCCCAAGGGATGGTACATGTCCTATATATTCAATTCTTTCTATATTGGCCAAAATTATTTTTAAAAGCCAATTTAAAAAAACTTTTTGAATTAGGCACCTGTGTGGCCAACTGCCACACTTCCATCTCAGGAACATTGCTAAGCTGAGTCCCATTCTGTCCCGCTTTGAACTTGAGACAGTTATCCACACCTTCATCTCCTCACACTTATACTGCAACTCTCTTTTCACGTGTCTGAGCAGAACCTCCCTGAACCGTCTACAGGTGGTTCAGAATACCTGTGCTCGGCTTCTGACCAAGTCCTCCAAACACACCCACATCACCCTGCTTCTCCTCCAGCTTCACTGGCTGCCAGTCAACTTCAGGATTCATTTCAAGATCCTAGTTCTGGTCTATAGGGCCTTACATGGACAAGCACCATCTTACACTGGTGATCTTCTCAGTCCCTACACCCCCAACAGGTCCCTGAGGTCCAGTGATCAAAGCCTACTGGTTGTGCAGCACCAGGCTAAAGACCAAAGATCATTTGCTGCTGTGGCCCCCAGACTCTGGAACTCTCTCCCCCTGAGCCTGAGATCAGTGGACTCCTTTAAAAAGCAGCTGAAAACTCACCTGTTCAAGCAGGCTTTGGTGTGACCTTCATCACCCTCTCCTTATTCTGCTCTCCCTACCTATTCCACCTTCCTCAGGATTCACTGATTTCCCTCTTTCCTATTCACTCCCTCTTTCTTTACATTTTTTAATCACAGTTGTCTATTTTTCACTCATTTTAAAAATATTTTAATAATTTTCTAAAAAAAAAAAAATTATATTTTACCTTCTTGGTTTTGGGATTTTTATCTTGAGGCGCTAAAGAAAAGATCTTTTCTTCTTCTTCTTCATTACAAGACTGAAGAAAGGATCCGAAGAACACCAACACACTGATTTTTTTTAATGTTTTGAGTAAGTTTTATATTTGAAATTCAAAAATTTTTAAGAGATTTATTGACTTATTTAATTTACATTGCACACAGTGAGTGTTCAGTTGTCTTTCTGAATCAATGTGCTGCTAAAGTGTATATATATCGGCCTTAATAATCGGCTTTAGTTATTGGCCATCTGCAACTAAATTCTTTAAAAATCAGTATTGGCCTTAAAAAAAAACATATCGGTCGGCCTCTATAAAAGATTGTGGACTATTGTTCTCTTTTCAATGTTTTTAACATCAGAACCACTGAAAAGTGTTCTCAATGTGAAATTACCTCAGAGACAGTATGACCCATTGAGTTCCCAACACGGCGGCTCCTATTTGTCTGACCTGTAAACAGAAGATTGCAGAGAAATAAAACACATGATCCGAATCATTTGCATGATCTTAATTTGATTTGTAAATAGATATACCATTCGCGTTTTCTGATGTTGGCGTTTCATTGCCATCTTTGGCGTTGGAATGAGCCAAGTACTCGTGCAGCCTGTTGACCAAAACATTCAGCTTGCTTGTCGAGGTGCTACAGCCAAAGAACAAAAGACAGCAGGTTTATACTTTTGATTAATGTTGTTTAAACATTATAAAACAAAAATAACTTCCAGGTGATCTTAGTGGTGGAACTTTTGTCAGTATAGACTCAAAGCATCACTTCAAAACGTTTTCTTCACCTAAAAATCCAGTTGTATCAAGCAATACAGCTTATCCATATCTTATCTATATCGGGGGCAAATAACACATACAAATTTGACATATTTTGCCCACCCTAAGCAAATTATGATCAAAACCTGAATCATGTTACAGTTGTAGAGCTCCTTCAGAAAAAAATAATTGTTGTCTTCATACAAATCATTTTTTCTATTGCTTACTGTCAATTTCAGCTCTAGTTTGCTAATACTGCAAATTATACATAAGCATGCTGGTTCCTGACACTTTATGTTTGATTGACTATAACACAGTAAATCACCAAACAACCTAAAATATTGATTATAGTTCAAATGTTACTGTAAGAAAAGCCAGAATGAAACAAGGAACCCACGTAGTCGAGAGCTGTGAAACAGCATGAATACATTTCATAGGACACCATGAAAACAGAAAAAGGTTTTCTGGTGTCTGAAAAACTCTAGACTTCACTGAGGACAAAACAAACGTGTACATACTCCTCTACATTCTGAAAAACTAATCACTGATAGATTAATGGTGTTCATGTAAAAATACCCAAAGACACACCTAAAAATTGCCCTATGTTCAATAGTACCGGTGACTGGTAGTACTGTTGTAGTACTAGTACGTTTGGCTGACTGACCGGAAAAACACCCACAGGCTTAGGGTTGCCAACCGTCCCTTGAAAAACGGAATCGTCCCGTATTTAGAAACAAAAAAGCACGTCCCGTATTGAACTCAAAAGGGACGCACTTTGTCCCGTAATATAGTATGGATCAAAATTAGTCTGTAGTCTATTACCGGAATTAACGCTTTGTTTGAAAGCCAGCCCTTCGCCTGCTCTGTGACCAATGAACTGATCGCATGCTTACACACGAATATGACGATACAGATTACCGCTTATTTCATTGGTCGAGGAACGGTCGGTAGGGGAGAAGATACCGGAAGAAAACAGACGACAGCAAACAGCACGGCCAACAGGGAAAATAACGCCGACACTGCTGTACAAGTCTCGGACGACAGTACCCCTCCGAGAAAGAAGAAAAAAGGCTTTAAAAATACAGGGAGGAATGGGAAAAGGAAAATTCCTGGCTGGAATTACTGCGCGATAACGCCTATAAAGCGCACTGCACCGTGTACCGGCGCAGTTTTTCCATAGGGCATGGTGGACTGACTGACCTCAAGCAACATGCTTCTAGTAGTAGCCACATGAAAAACATAAAGGACGGGAAAGCATGGCGAACCCTCGATCCGTTTGTCGTCCACAAGGCCACGGCAGAAGCAGATATGGTAAGTAAACATTGCTTTTTTTAAACCCTCTGGTTAAAGTGAAGGTATTTATATGAAGAAAAAAAACCACTGTGTTGGGGCTTGTTTACTATTATTTTTATTATTTTTGTTGTCTGTTTTGTCATTAGTTTTTCTTTTTTTTTTTCAACTTGGGTGTTTAGTTTTGATGTAGCCTTGTCTTGGTTTATATGTTGTTTCATAATTTTAAACTAAAAGGATGGATAAATACATAATAAATAAAGTGAACTATTGTATTGTATAAAAGCTATACAATGCAATAAATATACAATAAATGTTTTCCATTTATTTACCACTGTAAGTTTTCTATGTGGTGCTTATAACCCAGGTTTACTTCTTATCTCCATTGGCAGGTTAAACATCTCTATGGATGAGCTTTATGACGAGTGTGTCACTGCAACCAGCCTTCTGGAGCACCTCACCAAAGGACCTCAGGAGAAGGAAAAGTTGCAGTCCAAGGGAACAGCTGAGAAGTGTATAGAAATTCTTCAGGCAGCTGACCTCTCCAACATCCAGCCTGTTGTATCATTTGTACTCAGCATCCCATCTTCCACTGGATTGGCAGAGAGGATTTTCTCTCTCATGAAGAATAAGTGGACTGATGTGCGGAACAAATGTTCTACTGAAATAATTAAATGTGAGCTCATTGTCACTCTAAATTGTGACATGTCTTGCTCAGAGTTTTACTCTGCAGTACTGAAAGACAAACAACTCCTAAATGCAGCAAGATCTCAAAAGAAATACAAATGGAGAAAGTAGTCTGTTTTCACATAATGTAGCATTGAGCTTTTGAGTTCATGAGTTTGGACTTTTTTTTTTAGTTCAACCGCAGGCTACAGTCAAGGCCTTTGAGGCACAAATATGTTTACAGCTTCTCCACAGACTTTCTGTTTGCACTTTCCTAATTGCACTCAATGTGCAGTTACAGCGTTGCTCTTTCTGTTGTTTTCTATTAATTTATACAATTTTAAGTTAAGCAGAACAGAGTTGTTTTAAAGAGAGCTATTTATATTCTAAAAAGTAAAGCATAACAGGCTACCGTTTAAGAAAGAGACCTACTTTTTTTTTGTCATTTTGCACAAAAAGTTGAGCATAACAGTTTTCTGTTTAAGAAAACTACCTTTGTTACTTATAATAATTTTGTAATTTCACGCCATAAATAAATGGCTAAATGATCATTTGTTTCCCATGTTTTCATATCACAAAGAATATGCATCTTCTTAAACCAACTTCAAGTCAAATAGTAAAAAAAATAATCCTTTCACACACACAAAAAAAGAGCAAAAAAAATCACCACGCTGGGAAGGGTGGCCTGGAGCGGCCGGCCCTGCCCGCGAGGTGTCCCTTATTTATTTTTGAGGGAGTTGGCAACCCTACACAGGCTTAATGAATACCTTAATACACCACAACAAATAAAGTTTCCGTTAATAGTATATACTTAATAAACCTCCTAGTCCCCGCTGTTATTTTGTGTGTTCCCGCATTTAGCTTAGCTGTTAGCTTATTCAGATAGCAATTGGCTAATCTTTCGTTTGTTCGTGTTACTCACTAATGTCGTGAGAAACTCGCATTTAAAATTTAAAATTTTTACCTTAGTGCAGCCATGTTGCAAAGCCAGAGGGTATTCTACGTAATTTATTGTTTTAAACGCTCACATTTCAAAAATATTACGACAAAACGACGCTAATTAGCCCTTAGCAGAGCAGAGCAAAAGGGTTAAAATTGATTCTTGAATTTCCTCAAGCGCTTAAAGTGTCGCCCCCTGCTGTCCGGAGGAAGGATCCACTCTTCTTCTTCTTCTTCTTCTTCTTCTTCTTCTTCTTCTTCTTCTTCTTCTTTAATTGCAGAAAAGCATATTTACATTACAAATAAGGTGAACATGCCAATGTATTCAGATGACAATCGAACAGTCAGTGAAAAGGGGGAGGACAAAAAACAAACAAAAAAAAACCCCACAAAAACAATGCAAGGGACCACTACACAGTTCCAGGAAGTCTACAAAAAAGTCTATACATATCTTCATAGCTGTTATTATTGATACATTTAAGAGATCTTAGATACAATCTAAAATCATGTACAAATGCATTGAACACAGGGGGTATTTCAGTATTTTTTGTTTATGTTTCCATGTGGCAGGGGTGATGTGGTGCCCAGTCCTCACCCCTGCCACACGGACCCCAAGGGATAAACCATCAAGCCTGCTCAATGGTCAACTTTCCTCGTGGGGTCACACCCATTAGGACAGTGGGAGGGTTAAAGGAGACAACTGAGTCCAATGATCTCAGGCACAGGGGGAGAGAGTTACAGAGTCTGGGGGCCACAAATTATCTGTCACTTTTGGTCTTTAACTTGGTGCGCTGCACAACTAGTAGGCTTTGTTCACTGGACCTCAGGGGTGTAAGGACTGAGAAGATCACTAATGTCTGACGGTGCTTGTCCTTCTAAGGCCCTAATAACCAGGACCATGATCTTTATATGAACCCTGAAGTTGACTGGCAGCCAGTGAAGCTGGAAGAAAAGTGGGGTGATGTGCATGCTTTGACGATTTTGTCAGAAGACAAGAACAGGTATTCTAAACCACCTGTAAATGGTGCAGGGAGGTTTTGCTCAGACAAGTGAGCGAGTTGCAGTAGTCTATGCATATAGGAGATAAAGGTGTGGATGATGATCTCAAGTTCAGAGTGTGACAGACTTGGACTCAGCTTAGCAATGTCCCTAAGCCTTATACTGAGCCAGTGTTCTTTGACAGTGAATGTGCTACTACTAGTTTACCTGTTTAATTATAGATTCACTGGGATAAATACAATAAAGTTTATCTCTCACCAAATAGAATATTCACTAAGAAATCACAATGTAACCATAGAAACACTACTTGGTATATATGTTGTGTGTGTGTGTGTGTGTGTGTGTGTGTGTGTGTGTGTGTGTGTGTGTGTGGGCTAGTGTTGGTGTATGCGTGTGTCTGCTCTGCTTCTCGAACTCCAGTGAGTCGTGAAGGGTGGCTGTTTATACAGAGACAGGATCCTCTGGAGGTTTCTTCTTGTTAAAAGGGAGTTTTCCTCTCCACTGTCGCTTGCTTCGTATGAGGATTGCTGTAAAGGCACTGACACCAGTCAGTGACTTGATGCACAATTTGCTGGGTTCCTCCTTATATAGGATTTTTTTTTCTGATTGGCTTAATGAATGTATTGGAATGTTTACCATGTAAAGTGCCTTGAGACGACTCTTGTCGTGATTTGGCGCTATATAAATAAACTTGAATTGAACTGAGATGGAAGAAGGAAGAGCAAACAAGAGAACTGAGATGAGAATCCAGGGGGAGAGCTGGGTCAAAGGTCACACCAATATTCCTGACAGATTGTTTGGTGTGAGAAGCAAGTTGACAAAGAAAGTCTCTGACTTTGGGAACCAGCTTGTCTGGGGCACAGATGACGAGCTCAGTCTTATCTGCATTCAGCTGTGGAAAATTCCAAGAAAATTTCTAATAGTCTAAGCAGTTGTGCAACAACTGCAGCTTAGACATCTCATGGGGCTTAAAGGAGATGTACAGTTGAATGTCATCTGCGTATTGATGTTATGAGATTAATTTAAAAGAGAAAGTGCTGGAGATTATGCAGATAAAGGAGGAACAGTAGAGGCCCCAGCACAGAACCTTGTGGGACACCACTGATGAGGGAGGTGAAGGAGGACTGAAGCTTGGAGACGGCCACAGAGAAGGAACCCTCAGATAGATAAGGACAACCACTAGCAGTTCCTGATTGGCCTAGCCAGTATCTCCGCCTATCCAGTAGCAATTGAAAGGGAGGTTGCAGTGGTTCAAGCATGAGGAAATCAACGTGTGTATAATAATTTCAAGTTCAGAACGTGGCAGAATTAGCCATCCTATATTTGTGAATATATTGCTTCAGCAAATGAAGGTCTAGATTCTAGGTTATAACTGGGACTCAGCTTAGCAATGTGTCATGTGCTTGATGGTGAGGTGAGCGGAGGTGAGGATCCATTCGCAGGGGAAAGCAGGTAGGCAGGCACACAGAAATGAAAGGTTTGAATAAAGGTTTGAATAAAGAACACGCTGACATGGAAACAATGAACCGACAAGACAAAAAGGACTGACAGGGTTTAAATACAGGAGGAGCTGGGACCTTGGGTGACTGGGTGACGAGAGGAAGTTGGGAGAAATTAACAGGGACACCAGACTGAACAGAACGGGGAGACAGGACAGAATGTGATAGTACCCCCCACTCTAAAGGGTGGCACCGGACGCCCAACGCAGGCCAAGACGGAGTCTAGGGGTAGGGGGCCGGCGTCTGGGGCACAGGAGACAACGCCGGAGTCTGGGGGGCCGGCGTCTGGGGCACAGGAGATGACACCGGAGTCTGGGAGGTCGGAGTCTGGAGCACAGGAGACGAGGCACTGACTTGACTGGAGGCGCTGCAGGCGGAGGTGCTGACAGGACTGGAGGCGCTGCAGGCGGAGGCACTGACAGGACTGGGGGCGCCGGACCGGGCGCTGATTCTACAGGAGGCGCCGGCTTGAGTGGAGACGGAGCCTCTGACTTGGCTTGGGGAGGCGTCGGCTTGAGTGGAGGTGGAGCTGCTGCAGACGGGGCTGCTGCCTTGGCCGGCAGCGCTGACGACTTGACTGGAGGCGCCGGACGTGGCGCTGACTTGACTGGAGGTGCCGGACTTGGCGCTGACTTGACTGGAGGCGGAGCCGCTGCAGGCGGAGCCGCTGCAGGCGGAGCCTCTTAGACAGGCGGAGGTGCTGCAGGCGGAGCCTCTTGGACAGGATGGGCTGGGGGCAGAGCCTCTTGGACAGGCTGGGCCAGGGCGGATCCGCTGACTGGACCGGCAATGCCTCCTGGAGAACCAGGGAGGATTGAGTGTCCAGCTGGAACTCCTGGTGGCTGAGGATCTGACGGAGCCGGACCAGCTCAGCTTGAAAGCCGGCGAGCTCTGTTGGATGGGCTGCCGGCTTGGTCCCTTGGCCTGGAGATGAGGGAGGTGCTGACTGGAATGGAGGCGGGGCCGCTGGCTTGACTGGAGGTGGATCCGCTGCAGGCTCGGTCCCTCCCCCTGCAGATGAGGGAGGTGCCGACTGGACAGAAGACAGAGGCTGGGGGTCCAAGCCGGCGCGCCGAGCCGGGGTGGCGGTGAGCCTGCGGTGCCGCTCCGGGGCTAGAGGTGTTGGTGGAGCCCGGGTACCTTCCCGGCGCCGTGGACCAACGCTGGGGGAGCACACAGCCAATCTGGTGCCCACATAACAGGAACGGTCCAGCTGCGTCTCCCAGTCCAACCTCCCATCTGGCTCCAGAAGGGTGGAGAGGATTGCCGAGACGTGATGGCGGCGTCTGCGGCAAGGCGGCGTTGGAGGAGGGGAAGCTGTCTGGTGGCTCGGGGTGAGCCACCGGAGCAGGTACTCCCAGGGGAGAGTTTCATCCGTTTGATCGGTTCATTCTGTCATGTGCTTGACGGTGAGGTGAGCGGAGGTGAGGTCTCTCTGATATCATCACTCCTCACCATATGTAGTTCTTGAAACAACTAGAACAAAATACAGTAAAATAAAATTTTGCAAACAAGCATTATTATAAAAAAAAGTTGAGTAAATACATTCAAAATCATACAATGTTTTGCCTAAACACAGCACTTGTATGTTTGTGAAAGTTAAATAACAGTGTTTAAATTTATAATTCTGTGGCTACTAATTTTTTTCTTTCACTTCGCACTTCATAGCTACACACTTTTTAGACAAATAAATACGGTTTATGTGGAAATGCCAAATTTTTTAAAAAAGAAAGAAAAAAATATATAACAGAACTTGGAAAAAAATAAAACACATTTCAAAGAGTCCTAGTGGTAAGACTGAAGAATTATAGAATAAATAGCAAAAATAAACTGTTTTTCCTTTTTTACAGTATGTTGTCAGATTTATCACTATTGTCAGAAGAAGCAAAATTATTACCATCATTTAAATTTTGTTGCAAATGACTGGCTAAAGGGAATCTCTGTAAATTTCATTTTATTTTTGATGAAATGTAATATTTATTCATTTGTTTTCCCTTGCCCCACCAATCATGGATGAAATTTTAGGCACAATATGTACTCCATACTTTTCAACAGTGACGTCGGCAGGGCGGGGCCAGCATTCCTGCCGTCTACTTTTGTCTCTACGTGGAGGAGCCTGGACACCAGACGGGACGCTGTCTGGAATTTCAGACGCACCGAAAAGTGAGTACCAATTTCCTGACAAACTTGTCTTGTTTAACTGCTTCTCACAGCTTAATTTTTTCTCGATGGAACAGCTTTTGTTGTCCACTTTTGTCCTCTCATGGACAGCATCCTCCTTTGGATAGGAAGGTCTCCCAAGAACAAACGGATAGTAAAACTTGCATGTCTGTCGCTAGCTGACTAGCATTAGCCACACCTTCTCCGTTGCTTATTCATTCTCACCACCCTGACATATACCCTGACGTAGTTAATACATTTCATAGTAGTGGTATCTAGTTCAATTGTGATAAAGTAGCTTTAATAAGACTTAAATCACGTTTCTAACCGAAGGAAAAAACAATAATTGAGCCTGAATGTAAGACAGATACGCAATATGCGTTGGAAATAAAACAAAGATGTTCTTTGGGACTTTTGAAATATATTTTTTACTTTTATTAATGTCGCTGGTGGATCAGTGTTTGGCGGCTCAGGAAGCTATAAGTGAAGCCTGTATTGTTTATTTTTTTATTTATTCTACTGGAAGAAGGTGGCGTTACTTTATGTTTAATTAACCTGCATTTATTTGTAAAAGTTTGTTTATTATTTATTATTATTTTGTGGGATTTTATGTTGCAGAATTTAAGGATTGATACTCTTAAGCAATATTACTCACAGATGTTCTGTTTTAGTTTGCCTTAGTGAAGTTTTGCGTTTCAAAATAAAAGCACATTAGTCCTTCCTACATAGTTGATTTTTTTTGGGGGGGGGGGGGGACTAAACAGTGGTCTGTGTAAACTTGTTTACTGCTCTGAGTGATTTACCAGATTATTTTTTTCCCTGGGTCCATCTGAGGCAGCAGCAGCTTTAACATCTGGCATCCCAGTTGTGGATCTGAACTGGAACAACAAGGCTACTTGAGTCCACCCAAAACAACCACCTTCTAACTTAAAAAAATATTATGACTTCATACAAAGAGATAGCTGTGACTACAGGCACTCTTTAGACCTAAATATCGTGTTGGAGATGTCTGCAGCACACGAGGGAATCAAAATCCACTTCTTTCTGTTCCCTTTTGAAACTCACCCAGCAGGTGTGGTCATATTGGCCCTAAATGAATGTGTGGTATGTTAAAGTAAAATGGAGTTTCCTTATTCATGCTGTGGAATGAGATGGGATCCATGCAGACTGCCTGACGTTACTGTAAAGAAAAACCAGACTATCAGGAAAAAGGGGGTAGATTTGTTCTAACTGTTGCTCACACCTGTGGGAGTGAACAGGTTGCTCTACTTTCTACCTGTTATGCAACATGGATGAAAATCATTCAAATGCAATTTTGAGCTTATTTTATCTCCTTTGTCTTAAATAAATGTTTGTATGTGTTTGTTTGTTGTTGAGTAATGGCTGTATTTTGTATTTTATTGTGTGTGATGTTTCGTGTTTGTCCATTTCAGAACTGTCACTGAAAACGTCGTGAAAAAGGTGTTGCAGTAAGTTATTAATTCTGTTTTTAACATCAGGAGTTGCTTAAAGGCACTTCAGCAGAATAATCCCAGTAGCTGAGAGGATGGTGTTTGTGTCGCATGACGGTGCTGCATGATTGTGCAGCATTTAAAGGATAATGTTTTACAAAGCTTCTGTTCGGTAATGACAAACATTTGTGGGTGTGTCTGCTTACTGGTGGCCAACCTAACTGATTCAGCAACACCTTTGTAACCTGTTTAATGACATTCTTAAGTGTGTGTGTGTGTGTGTGTGTGTGTGTGTGTGTGTGTGTGTGTGTGTGTGTGTGTGTGTGTGTGTGTGTGTGTGTGTTGTTTTGACAACATCATATTGTGTTGACCTTCATATTTCAACAGCTCTTCATTTTCCTTTCGTGGTCATCCTCTAAAAACGTGAAGATAAAACCTAAAGCAGTTTAAAAAGCAGGTTTATTTTGTGTATATTTATGATAATCCAGTTTGTGATCGTTTTCGACCCCTAAAACATGGTCCTGGTTTTATGCTCGCAGCTGGGAGCTGTGTAAACTCCACACAGTGTTTGTTGTCATCGCCTCCTCCTTACCTTCCACCATGCCTGTGCTTGTCTTGTGCTGAATAGGACATTAACAGTTGGTGTGACAAACAGTTTGGTTTGGTGCCTGTGGCTCCGTTCGCTTCACATCTGCGACTGTGAAAAAGTCTTGTGTTCTTGCAGACTGTGTAGGGTGTGTGCGTTTGAGCGTGACCACACTTGGGAAGGGTGCCCGCTCTATTTGTGTGCCTCACATTTCCCACGTAACTGTGGAAGAGGCGCGGGCCGGTCGGGGTGTGCCGGGCCCTTCCCGTTTCACTCAGCCCTCTAGTTTTTAATTGGCTCCATCAAATTCACCAAAGACATCTGTAAACCGTGTCAGTGAGTTGTTTCAGCCTCTGCATGTAAGCTGGAGCTATTTGAGCCATGACTGAAGTCAGATTTTCTGAGAACAACTCATCACATGGCACGAATGACTAATTTGAGTTTTAAATGATCCTAAAATGACTTGTTTGAGTTTTATCCCCCTGAGCCTTTACAGTTACACTGACATCTTTTCCCAGCTGTCAAAGAGACAACTGTCTCCGGAGCCTGACACTTGGAACTCATTTTTCTAGCCTAACCCAGGATTGATTGCCATGGCTTGAGCCGGTGGTTACAAAGCCCCCATTCTTCTGTGCCACCAGTGATATGGCTCGCATTTGTCTGCCACCATCTGTGCTCTGTCTCCGTGTACTTAACCCCTCTTCTGTTTCCACTCGGACCCCGTGGAGGGTGTGACCAGGGCCCGACAAGTGAGGTAATGTTTGTCGACCCTTGTTGCAGCTGGGCCGACATCAGCGACCACATTTCCCGTCCTCAGGGAGAGGAGGTTAAATATAGCACGGCTGGCACCGCCGTTTCCCCCACGGTTTGGTCGGGGGAGCTTGACTCCTTCACCAAAGGCTCCTCAGAATCACGAGGCGTTTCTGGTTATCTTCGCTCATGTTGTGGCTGATTAAAGAGGTTAATCTATTGTTGCTCTTAGCTAGTCTGCCCTTTGTGTTTAATTCATCCCTTTGTTTTGTCTGACGGAAAAGCTGGATAGCAACTGAGTCACACCTCGGGGACCACGTGGCTACTTTTGAATCACCTTTTTTGACTACTATTCTTAGGTGTGCGGTTACAGGACTTGGCTCCAAGGCCGCTGAGCCAATAGGAAGCTGTTATTTCCATAAAAGGATTTCTTTTACATTCTGTGTTTGATTGTGATCCTTATATGATGCAAGCGTCGCTTTTGTAAGGGCAGCAATGGCTACAGTGTAGCTCAACACCATCAGTGTGTGAATCTAATATAAAGCATTTGGGAGTCAGAAAAGCGCTGTAGGTCATTTAGTGTTTGTCCAGGATTTCTAGCTAATATGCGGTGATAATCAACATGTCGCCTATTAATAAAAAGTCTGGAGAAGTCTTTGATCCCAAATTGCGGAGATGCATTCTCTTTTTGTTTCCCCATCTCTTGTGTAGAAGGGGAATGCCGACATTCCGGTTTATCCTCAGCCAGTGAGGCAGCACGCCCAGCTCACCTCATTGTAAGTGAAGCCCGATCTGCCCAGGCCTCGAGCATTCCTCCAACACTCCAGAACGGGAAGGAAGCACTGAGTGAAATTCCTTGTTCTCTAAAAAAAAAAAAAAAAAATCCAGACTGTTTCTTTGCATCAGCAGAGACTGGAAGCACGGAGATGTTCTCTGTTTAGCAACAATGTCTCGTTCTGTGGCCCAAGTCATTGCATGTTTAGGTTTCCTTTGTGGTGTGCATCTTTTTCTTAATATAAAACGTAAAACCTTCCTGCGTTGATCTGTTTATTTTACTACAAATAGTGAATTAAAAGCTCATTTAAAGCTGCTAAATGAACCAAACTGAGAATGAAAGTGCTTGTATGACGAGAGAAATGTGATAGGCAAATGAATGAAAAGCATGTAGGTTGTTGGGCTCCGCATAAGGTTTTACTACAGTAAGGCCTTGTATCCATACAATGGACTTGAAGTTACTTTGATTAGGCAAAACAAACATAGTTGGAAGAGAACTAGAGCCAACTCTACAAGTGGAGGAAGGTCAGACCTGACGGAGAAGCTCTGTGGAGGAGGAGGTGTTCTGATTTTTGGGAACACGCGAGGTGGAGCTGCTCTTCAGGTAATGCTTCTCCCTCTCGTTGCAGTCACTCGTTGTCTCTGACTGACCACGTCTGGTCACTCGCGGAAAAATGTCTGGAAAAATAACACGAGAGGAGGAGGAGGAGATGAGGGAGATCTTTGAGAAAATTGGTGAGTAACGCCTCTAATCTGACATCTGAACTGTGTGATGAATGTTTACATCTTTGTTTTTGTTTTTACCGTTTGCCTTCAGCTCAGTCGCTCCCTTTAACACCTCCGATACGTTAAAGACCAAATAATTAGTAAAAATGTTATTGATCATGTAGATGTAGTTTTTATCACCAACACTGCTTGATTCTCTCCCCTCAGATCTTGACAAAAATGGGTTTATTTGTGATTACGAACTCGGGGAGCTCCTCAGAGAGGCTGGCCACCCGCTGCCTGGGTTCAAGGTCCGAGACACCCTCCAGAAACTCGATCGCAACCATGACGATAAAATCAGCTTTGATGAATTCCTGGCGGTACGTAAGACTGTTAAAAAGAAGCACCTCTGCTATCTGAGTGGGACCTTGATGCAAAAACATGCTGGAGAGACGCAAACATGCAGGAATGTGGAAATGACCTCAGCTAAGTGAAGGGAGCTCTTTGTTTTTTTAAAGGTCACAAGTGATGATGGAGCAGTTAATGACTTCTAGTACAGTCACACCTCTCCAGATAATGTGTTTTTATCCCCATAGCTTAGGTTAAACACATCTGATGGTTACAAACGACCTCTTTACATCCCAGTCGTATGTTTAAGGTGAAAAAAGGCTTTTTCCTAGACTGACTGCATGGTTTTTATCTTGTTGTGGTCAGTTTGGAGTGCTCAAAAATGTCGCCTTGTAAAACTGTGTGTTTGTGGTGGAGGCTGCTGCTGCTTTTTGAACATTTGGTATGTTGGTTGCATACCGCCTGTAGAGCTGAGGTCACCGCTGGAGCATCGATAAGCTCAGCTGCAGGAAGTAACTTTGGTACCATACAACACGTGTCCTCAAAGCGTGTTCTACCGAAACACACAGATCTCTGACCGATCTGGTGTGGTGTTGTCTATCCAAAGTTGGGATCAGACAGATGTGGTGCCCTCGTTCCCTGTTAATGACATGTTCTCAGCACTGTAGGCCTTAGATTACAATTGCAGCAGCTCTAATGTCATCATGAGCCGTCCACTCAGCGCCATTACTTACTGAATTACTACGTCCTCTCAGCCTTTTAACTGGCGGGTGGGTGGGATGATTCCATGCCAGTATGGAGACAGCCAGTTTGGCTTCCAGGAGATTGGGAAGGCTACAGGAAAAGAAAATGATTGAGGTCTAAAGACAACTTTTAAAGAGTCGCTGTCCCCAGCAGTAGCCACCTCCACGTCTACTCTTTTAAAGCTATTTTAGTGTCTGGGGTTTTTGCAGCCAGATGTAACGTGCAAAGAATGCAACCTCTATAAGAACCTGAAGGTATTTTTCATTTTCAACATACCTGTGACTTGAAACCATAAAGAAATGCATACTTCAGGTCTTATATCACAGGTCTGCAGAGTTGACATCAGCCTTAATGGGAAGTTCGAGCACACCTGTTAAAACGGGAAACCTGGGATTAGAAACACTTTCCTGTTGGTCTTGTGTCTGGATCCTTCAGCTGAGGATGTTGGAGAGCAAAGTAGATCAGATTGTAATTATTTACATTGTGTTGTACTTCAGCTGGCTCTGTTTACTAATGTAACTGATATCCAGCTGGGATAAAAACAGTTTTCTTAGGTTCACTCCGTTTTTTTTTTCCCACCTCTCCTTTGCTGATGTCAGCGGTCAAGTCCATCCATCTACACCTGTTGCTAGAAAGATAAACAATAGTTTCTATGGTGATGAGATGAAACCACGTTCATTTTATTACAAATTCTTACCTTACGGCAGTCGTGTAGTCCTGCTCAGTAGATTCTCACCGGTGTAACTTCCTGCAAAACTGTTGCATTAAATTTCTTCAGGGAAGCACAGCTGCATAGAAAGTAAATAGTAAAACCCATCACAGACTGTGCAAACAGAAGCCTGAAGTATTCCTGTAGGGGTGTTATTTTCTTGTAGGTCTGCTGGTATTTGTTGTCTAAATATTTCGTTTGGTTTCAGCTCATCAAGGAGCTAAAGGGCAGCCAAGTAGCTAAAACCTTCCGGAAGGTCATCAACAGAAAAGAGGGAATCCTGGCTATCGGAGGAACGTCGGAGCTGTCTAGCGAAGGCACACAACACTCCTACTCTGGTCGGTAACTCTGCTGATGTTTGTTTTGAGCTGTTGACTTTGAACCCTCAGTTTAGTTACAGATAAAAAAAAAAACTACAAAAGGCAAAATGACCTTCCGTAATGAGACATTATGGATAATGATGTCATTTTTTAAAAAATTTTCCTTAATTTTATGCCTTTTTTCACGTTTATCTGCACAGAGGAGGAGCGATACGCTTTTGTGAACTGGATCAACACGGCTCTGGAAAAGGATCCGGACTGTCAACATGTTCTGGCCATGGATCCCAACACAGATGCTCTGTTCACGGCTCTGGGAGATGGGATTGTGCTCTGGTGAGAGTTTCCGATCCCCCTTCTGAAGCCAAGAAAAATAAAAATAAAACACTTTGGTAGCATAAATATTCAAATTCAAGCTGTGAGCGTGGTTCATGTTAGGTTACAAAACAAACCGCAGCTTCGGGTGGGAGATGAAGCAGTTTCCTGTATCCATGTATGGAGCTCCAGAGATGCCAAAATGTTTGCATGAGCTGCAGTTGTAATGGATTTAGTCACAGGGAGCTGCATTGTGGTTCAAGTTTACTATATTTTATAGGTTTAAAACAAATCTAAACACATTATTTATTCCAGGCTTGTGAATCAGTGTGCACTTTCATGATGTTGCTGCATTCATAAAATTAGATATTAACTCATTCGCTGCTAGCCGTTTCCTGATCGGTAAAGCCCTTCGCCGCCAGCGTTTCTCACCGTTTTTACTGTTTTAAGAGTCACAGAACGTTGCGCGCTAGGATGATGTCGACGCCAAAACAACCAAAACAAAGAGTAGACTCACCTCTTACATCAGGAAGAATCGGCGCGTTTTGAGCTTTATCCGTTCTTTCTTAATCCGTTGCTGAATTGTGATCGGCAGAAGCTTTTCCGGTTCGCGCCTCACTCTTTTTACAGCAGCGGCCCAAAACGATCTCCTAACACATGGATTTTCTGCCTCCTGATCAGGTGACGTGTGACGTACGTGGATGAAGATTGGCTTTAGAGCTGAGATATTTGTTCTCACGGTGTGGGGGCTCGTTCCGACGCCTAAAAAAATGCAAATGACGACTTTAGTCGTCAATGGAAGTGAATGAGTTGATTAGTATTTATTAGGGATGTAAAGCTTTTTATTAAGAATTGACATGTAAACATTAACTGTATTTTTGTGTGGTGCAATTCAAACTCCGACTGCGCGTGTGGCAGCAGTTTTCACTATCTTCACCCTGATGGAACGAGATTTTGTGGTGTCATGGTAGCATCTGGCCTGAGTGTTCCATTTAAATTCAATTAAAAAAATTTGCTAAAATCATCAGGCTTTTAGTATGGTAATATCGTCTCTGGTGCATTCTTATACATATCGTATCAGCAAATTCTTGCCAACACACACACCTAAAATTTAATATTTTTGTGGGATCACGGTCTTTTTTATTAAACAATTATTAAATTTGACAACAATCTTAATAAACATTTTTCATCTCGCCAACACTCTGCCTTTCTATAACAATACAACCATAACCAAACCAAATAAAGTGGACAGATAAACATAAAATGTTTTAAAATAAAACGTCAACGAAGATGATACAAAGACTAAGCTGTCAGCATCTGTGTTTTCAAAATGGCCAAACAGTTGACCATTTGTTAAAACATGAGCTGAGCGTCTTGGCGGCACGTATCTGATTCTACCCAGTAGTTTTTAACCTACTGCCCCATGGGTGGGAGTGGCTCCTTCCATTTCAGTAAAACCATTTAAAGTATTTTATCTTTTAGTGGAATAAATATTTGACACCATACCTGAAATGCCTAATAATTTATTTCTACTTTTAAACAGCAAAATGATCAACCTGTCAGTGCCAGACACGATTGACGAGCGAACCATTAATAAGAAGAAGCTTACACATTTTACGACACAGGTGAGTCTGGATTACCTGGGTTTGTGTATAGTTTAATAAGGATGTTCTAACATCTGCTGTTTTGGACCTTCCAGGAGAATCTGAACCTGGCCCTGAACTCCGCGTCTGCCATCGGCTGCCATGTGGTGAACATCGGTGCTTTGGACCTGAAAGAAGGAAAGCCCCATCTGGTGTTGGGTCTGCTATGGCAGATCATCAAGATCGGCCTGTTTGCCGACATCGAGCTCAGCAGAAACGAAGGTAGATCGAGGGTGCTTGAGTTTCATCAGTAGTTTCATCAGTATGGCTCATCAGTGATGTCGAGTGGATGAACAGGTGATTAACGCTCATCAACAGCGCTGGCGGCCTTGCTGAGAGACGGTGAAACCCTGGAGGACCTGATGAAGCTGTCCCCAGAAGAGCTGCTGCTGCGCTGGGCAAACTATCACCTGGAGAATGCCGGCTGGAAGAAGATCAACAACTTCAGCTCAGACATCAGTGTGAGTCTACCACTCAGAGGCCAGTGCTTGTACGTTTGGAAGAACCACAATTCTAATAAAAAAAAGCTACAAGTATTATGTTTATCACCAGAATCTCAACGTTACATTTAAAGATGTGGAACACTGAAAAAACATTTTTAAAAAATGTTTCTGATTAAAATCAGTCCCTCTGAGTTTAACATGCAGGCTGAACATAAAAATAGTCTCCTACACCGATCTCCTGCATTAGCTTCTGATTTGAAAAGCCTGACAGACCTACGTCACACTGTCACTTAAAATTCATGGACTCATCCACCATGGCTCACGACGGCAAAGGCTGTGGTTGGTTTAGCGTCCAGGAAACGGCAGGGAACATCTCCGCTGGTAGAAGATAACCGTTAGCATTAGCAACTCCACCACACAACAGAACTCCTTAAGGCTTGTGTTATTTGTGGAGATGAAACATCAACGTTGCAGAGCAAACTGAGTCAGTGGTAGAGTCGTGTTGCTGTTATCCAATCAGAGGCAAGATGTTCAAATATCAGGAAATGAGAATAAATGAGTTGAGTGCTCCTCTGATTCTGCTGGCGCCTGTAACAGTCACATCCGAGCTTTTGTTTTTCCTCCTCGAGTACCACATGCAAGGCATTCATTCCTGCTAGAGACCACTGCTAAGGTCTTAAGTAAACGGGTGTCCCACACCTTTAAAAGCCGGTATTCAGTCTATTTATTTTTATTCCAGGACTCGAGGGCCTACTTCCACATTTTGAACCAGATTGCTCCGAAAGGCACCGAGGACGATCATCCACGCATCGACATTGACATGTCGGGCTTCAGCGTAAGCACCTTCAGCCCAACAGCTGAGCATCTCCAGCACAGAGCAACAGCTGACAGTGTGTGTGTGTGTGTGTGTGTGTGTGTGTTGTTCAGGAGAGGGACGACTTGAAGAGGGCAGAAGCTATGCTGCAGCAGGCCGACAGACTCGGCTGTCGACAGTTTGTCACCCCGACTGATGTCATCAGTGGAAACCCCAAACTTAATCTGGCCTTTGTGGCCAATCTGTTCAACAAGTACCCAGCCCTGACGAAGCCTGATAATCAGGATATTGACTGGGGATTGCTGGAGGGTGAGTAAACACATCTGTACTGTATGTATGGGCATCTAACTTCATTAGATGATTTATAGATGATGTCATTCATGTTTGGTATAGTTCTTCTAAAGGATCTCTTCCTGATCAGGTGAAACGAGAGAAGAGAGAACATTTAGAAACTGGATGAACTCCCTGGGAGTGAACCCCACTGTGAATCATCTCTATGTGTACGTATCTCCTAACAGACCAGGACATCCGTGGACTGCTCTAATTCTTCTTCTACCCCTTTATTTGATGTAAATGATCATCAAGCACAGCGCTGTTGTTTTTGTAGGGACTTACAAGATGCCATCGTCATCCTTCAGCTCTATGAGAAGATTAAAGTACCGGTCGATTGGAACAAAGTCAACAAGCCGCCTTACCCCAAACTGGGAACCAACATGAAAAAAGTACATAAAGTTTATTCTGCCTGCTTTCTTCTTAAATTTTTATTTTTTTTAAGTGGCTTCATCGTTCTAATTGTTATTTTACCCCTCAGTTGGAGAACTGTAACTATGCGGTGGACCTGGGCAAATCTACCAAGTTCTCCCTTGTTGGTATCGGCGGGCAGGATCTGAATGATGGCAACGCCACTCTGACTCTGGCGCTGGTGTGGCAACTCATGAGGAGGTGAAACATGGAGGAAGGGGGAAAAAAGGAAATGGAACCATTAAAAAAATAAACTTAACGCTGCGTTTTAACCTCTAAAATACTTTTAACAAGTTTGATACACCAACACAGATAGCAGCAGATGTCTTTGGAAAGCAAAAACAAGGTTTGGATTCATTTTTATTAAACCTGCTGGCTCTTCTCTTTCAGATACACGCTGAACGTGCTGGAGGATCTGGGAGATGGAGAGAAAGCAAATGATGACGTCATTGTAAAATGGGTGAACAAAACATTGGCAGAGGCTGGAAAATCCACAAAGATTTCAAGTTTTAAGGTAACGATCAGTTTTTTTCTGCCAGCGTTGTATTGCAAACATGAGCTTTGTGTGAATGTTCACCATCGTGTGTGTGTGTGTGTGTGTGTGTGTGTGTGTGTGTGTGTGTGTGTGTGTGTGTGTGTGTGTGTGTGTGTGTGTGTGTGTGTGTGTGTGTGTGTGTGTGTGTGTGTGTGTGTGTGTGTGTGTGCGCGCTGATCAGGACAAGGAAATCTGCAGCAGTCTGGCGGTGTTGGAACTGATCGATGCCATCCAACCTGGCAGCATCAACTTTGAGCTGGTAAAAACCGGCGGCCTCTCTGAAGACGACAAACTCAACAACGCCAAGTAAGAACGTGGCGACGGATACCCTGACGGTTGCTTTACCTGAACAGTATCGTTAAATCCGCGTTTTGTTCCAGATACGCCATCTCGATGGCGAGGAAGATCGGAGCTCGTGTCTACGCTCTCCCAGAGGACCTGGTGGAGGTCAAACCCAAAATGGTGATGACGGTGTTTGCCTGTTTGATGGGCCGGGGGATGAAGCGCGTCTGAGCAGCCTGCTATCGCCCCAGACCCACAAAGCTCTAGCGCTTCAGGAGGCCTCCCCCAGCTACACACGAAGATTGTTCTGAAGGCTTGAATGGGTCAGAATCCTAGATTTGCATGCACTCTTTACCTCCTCTTGACCAGCAGAGGTATTTTGGGAAGGATCATGTGCCGTCCTTTTATTGAAGGTGAGGCTGCACTACTATCATCTCTAGAGGCGGTCCTCATGAATCTGTTACACTCGGAACGCACATCTCTACACGCTTATGAATGCTGTTTTTCAAAGCAATTATGCAAGGTTGTTTACATATTTTCTGGCAGACTGATAAAGAAATGATCGCCTTGACGAAACGAGACATTCCTGAAAACCTTAACTTACTCTGAATACGTGCTACAGAAGGCCAAAAATGAGAAGTCTGAGAGGCTGGATGTTGTCGGGAGCTCTACCCAAACGTCCTCTCTTAATGAAGTTCAAGTGTCTTAGTGAGCGGCTGCCCCGCTGTCGTATCTGTACACAGAAGCCATAAAAAGGTGCGTTTATGATGGCCAACACGATGGGCTGTTTGTGCTCTTGTTTATATATTTGGGATTATCATGTGACGTCCTGTAAATGCTGTCTCTGGGGTTTCTGGTCTTTGTTGTTTTGGGGATTTAATAATTTGGTCATTCCTGTAAATTGGATGAGGAGCAGGCTGACCTTCCACACTTTTGCTGTGCCTTCTAGACTCAGAAGTGACTCGTGTGTTGAGCTTTTCTTTGTTTTTTGTTTTTTATGTTTTTTTTGTGTGTATCTCTCATATCCAACATTACCAAATACAAACTGTAGCATCATTCCAGGTAGCACCACGATATCCTTGACTACGACCAAGTAGAATTTGGTCTCGTGCTCATTTCTACTCTTCCAGTTAAGTGCTTTACAAGTAACAATAAAAATGACGATGAAAAACCGATTACATGTTTGGAGTTTTGTCTTTTATGTGGGGTTGAGATTATTTTAAAAACTTGCAGGAAAGTTTGGTGTCTCATAAAACTTTTTGTTTGTAGCAAAGAATCAAATTATTATTATTTTGCATGAATAATCTGAGAATCAGAATGTATCTGCATTGCCACCTGTGCAGTTGAAATCTGTTATTATACAGATGACTTGGTAAAAATGTCTAAATTAAATATTTGAATAACACTTTTTATGTCGGTGTAAATTCAACAGAAAATAAAAGCTCACATCTCTCAGGGCAAGAGTTTGAAGACTTGATGATGCTGATGATAAAAAATTGTACAATTCTTTCTAGCAACGCACTATAACAAAGTTTGTCTAGAAAATATCCAAAACGTAAGAAATGATGCTCACATCTTCTACTATAATCATAAAATGATATAAAAAGTCATAAATGTACAAAAAGCATTTGGGTTAGGTTTTAAACTCATGCATTACTTCACGTTTACAGTCTGTTCACATTATTCTCTTTTTGCTGCTTCTCCTTTCTCTTATCTCGGTTCCTGTTGCTCTTGCATCATAAAACCTGTTGTCTGTTTTACATAGTACACCAGAGGGCTGTAGCCGCGGCATCTTAACTGACAGGATTATTTTTTTCACTGCTCATTGACAGGATGTAGTTCACGCTTCAGCGGCCTGGAATTTGTTTTCATGTGAAGTCCTCCAGGGTTTCACTCAGAAAATATCCAGAAGTTGTAATTAGAAAAGTCAAGATGACTGATGATGAGGGGCTCTGATGAGCTCAGTTTTCTTCAGACTGAAGAAATAAAATTCTGCTTGAATTTCCTTTTTCTGTACTTAACATTTAATTTAATTCTGATATTTGTTACATCCCTTGCCCTCTCTCTGGCCGTCAGTCAGGCTCCGTATTGATCTTTGCGTCCGAATATCCACCTTTAAAACCTAAATTATAATTCATGAGTCTCTCATGTCCTCCAGTTGAGGTCTACAGAAAAATACCCTGCCAAGACCTGCAGTCTGGCTCCTTCATTATTCTAATTTGATGAAAACACCCGCCTCCTCGTCGTCTCCCTCCCTCCCTGCCTGCCTGCCTCCAACGTGCCCTCATCAGAGGATGAGGATGGCCATGTGCTCTGGCCATCACTCAGAGAAAATGCTGTGAAGCGGCTCTTCTGGTTGTCCTTTAGAGGTTAGATTATTGAGGATCGATTTGGACGAGAAGACCTGTGGGTGTGTGAATTCACCATGAGGAGCTTTCTGAAGTCACAGCTGGAGGTAAGATCCTAAACAACCATAACATAATGATGCTTGATGACTAGACTTTTGTCTTGATTGCATTTAACAGCTAGAAAAATCACCTAACATGAGGTGTGATTTAACTCTTGATCAGAACAGGTGAAAAAATACGGTTACTTTACAAAAGATGGGAAATTGACTCTTCAATCAGAATCAGAGTGAAGGGTAACTTTGAGTTTCTTTACTCCAGCAGACCTTGTGATGTAACGATTTTGCTCTGCTGGTTTCCTAAGTGATGCCGCTCCAGAGGGAGAGCTGCTGGTTGGCTCACAGAGCAGCAGAGCTTCAGGCAGCCCACGCCTGTGTTGTCATTAATGATCCACCAATTAGTCACACAGAGGTTACAGTTGTCTAAACACCTCATCATCCGTCTGCGCTGTGGGGTGGAAGGGTCCACTCATGCTGATAATTGATGAAAAAAAAATACTGAACAGTTCAGACTTCACCTGAGCTGCTAAAAGAGTTTGGTTCCTCCTCAGATGTTTTATTATTTAACAAACAGGATTTATGTCATCTGACACAAAAACTGGCTAAAAAATGCTGCACAAAGCTATAAATGATTTTCGCAAACGTTAAATTAAACATTTAAATTTTTTATATATTCATTTTTTTACTTAAGAATTCTAGTGTTTTCCACAAAAACCTGATGAAGTATTCTGCCCTCTAGTGGAGAATCTCAGAACTGCATGTTGCAAGAGCCACTTTATAATACAGTAGATGTAATAAAAGTTCCTGTAAGTATATGAATAGACATTTAAATACACTTGATATTAAATGAAAAAAATAGGTCATTTAAAATGTTTCTATATATTTCAGCTTTTGAAAAAAGGGAAATAACTTAAATAAATTAGCTGTTTTATCTGCCTTTCAAATTTGGGCAGAAACTGACCTGTAAAGTCACAGGTTTACAGTAAGATTTATTTATTTTTAAAATAGATCACATATTATGGTGCATAATAAATCTATTAACTAAATTTACCAGATTCTGTTTTAAAATAATGACTTTTTAAACATACAGAGATTTTATGAAAAGACGCTGTAAACATTTTAAAAATAAAAATGCATTATTGTTTTATCATTGTCCATAAAATGTTCTATTTAAATATGCAAACAAGTTATTTCATAACTAAATACACACTCAATAGCATAAGTGAAATCATTATCTGAACATTGGGGTTTATGGTAAAAAAAAATTGGGAGCCATTCATATTATACCTCAAATACTAGAATAGAAGTTTTTAGTGGGGAAATACTGCTTTGAATATCTGAGTGTTTTCTGTAGCTGTTTCCATCACCTTGGCAACAGGCATTCACCTAATGTCTTCTGGTTGGGGACTGTGGCAGGCAGTCCCAGTTGTCCTCACGTCTCCTGACTATAAACTGACAAACGCACCATAAACACACTTCGCTCCTGCAACAGAACACAGCAGGGAAACATGCCACACACACCCAGCAGCAAAATGGGTTAAATGGTGACCAGTTGGACCTTATTCTTACTGCTGGTTGACACTTTCAGACCCGAGGATGACGGGCCAGGTGACAGAGGGGGACCGGTCGCCCAACAACCTGTCGGTGAAGACCACTTTAGAGGAGGAGGTCGAGAGGACAGACAGTATTCTGAGCAGGTAACACGAACTTCCTCAGGATGTTTTCCAAGGTCGTTTTCAGAGAAGCAGAAGATGAGACAGATTTATCAAATATTAAGGCTTGGGTGGGTTTTATTTTTACTTTTCATCCCAGGGTCCCGTCGGTCTGGGATGACACGTCCTCAGAGCTACAAAGAGTTGCTGATCTCGATGCCAACAGACGCAATTCAAGGAATTCTTTCCAGAGAATTGGAGCCATCTCAAGGTGAAAACTCTAACAAGTCAACATGTCTCTATCCTCCTCTGAGCTTTCAAACTGATTCAGAAGCTAGAAAATCGTTGTACATCTCTGGTTTTTAGGGTTTTGGAATATCTGGCTTTTAAAAATGGATTTTGTGCATGACAGTTGTTTTTAATCTGGTGTGTCAGACTGGTGAACCTGGTGGTACGGCTGAGGGAATGGGCACACAGGAGTCTCTTGGAGGAGGAGGAGCGTCCGGACTCCTTCCTGGAACGGTTTCGTGGCCCCGAGCTGAGAACCGCCCCGAGTCGCAGCAGCAACACACAGCCAGATGTCAACGGCAACAATGCCAAGGGGATCTTTAGGTATTCTTGACTTTAACCTTCCTCACACTCCTGTATGGCCACCATGTTATGACCATTTAATTTGTATTTAAGTCAAAATGTCTTATTAAGACCTCTTTGGTTGCTTTGTTTCCAACCTCCTACTGCTTTCAGGAAACCCTGGGATTTGTTTGTGGTGTCCCCATCGGATAACGCGTACTACCGATGGTTATTTGTTATCGCCACAGCGGTGCTATACAACTGGTTCCTTGTTGTTGTGAGGTAATAATGATCCCACCACAGTCTGCTATACATGTGCTGCCCTGCAGGCGTGGCTGATGGGTGAAGGGAGCTACTGGGTGTCCACCTCTGTAACTGAAGCTCTAAATGATTTGTTTTCTTCCTCCTTCATACTCTCAGGGCATGCTTTGACGATCTACAGGTTGACTATTATATCTGCTGGCTGATACTGGACTACCTCTCTGACACGGTGTATATCCTGGACACCTGCGTTCGACTTTGCACAGGTGAGTATTTCAAGGTGAATGACTTACTGATGTCATCGGTAAAAGGGTGAAATAAAACAACACGTGGGGGATTCTTCTCTCTGTTATTGTCTCAGGTTTCCTGGAACAGGGGCTGCTGGTGAAGGACCACGCCAAGCTCAGAGACAGCTACGTTCGAACATTTCAGTTCAAGCTGGATGTGCTGTCCATCCTTCCTACGGACCTGGTTTACATCTACACTGGCATCCACACACCGCAACTTAGGTTCAATCGCCTGCTGCGCTTCCCGCGCATGTTTGAATTCTTCGACCGCACGGAGACTCGCACCAACTACCCCAACATCTTCCGCATCTGCAATTTGGTTCTTTACATCCTGGTCATCATTCACTGGAACGCCTGCATCTACTACGCTATATCCAAGTCGCTGGGGTTTGGATCGGACACATGGGTGTTCCCAAACATCTCCCTACCGGAATACTCATCCTTGACAAGGAATTACATCTACTGTCTGTACTGGTCCACTCTGACTCTCACCACCATTGGAGAGATGCCTCCACCTGTGCAAGATGAAGAGTACCTGTTTGTGGTCTTTGACTTTCTCGTTGGTGTGCTGATCTTTGCAACAATTGTAGGAAACGTAGGCTCAATGATTTCCAACATGAACGCCACCCGTGCTGAGTTCCAGGCTCGAATTGATGCAATTAAACATTACATGCACTTCAGGAAAGTCAGCAAAGAACTGGAGTCTCGTGTCATTACATGGTTCGACTACCTCTGGACCAACAAAAAAGCTGTGGATGAGCAGGAGGTGCTGAAGAACCTACCGAACAAACTACGCGCTGAAATTGCCATCAATGTCCACCTGGACACTCTAAAGAAAGTCCGCATTTTTCAGGACTGTGAGGCAGGACTGCTTGTGGAGCTTGTCCTCAAACTACGCCCTCAAGTCTTCAGTCCAGGAGACTATATCTGCAGGAAAGGAGACATCGGTAAGGAGATGTACATCATTAAAGAGGGGAAGCTGGCTGTGGTAGCGGATGATGGGGTCACACAATACGCTCTCCTCACTGCTGGTAGCTGCTTTGGAGAAATCAGCATCCTTAATATAAAAGGCAGTAAAATGGGAAATCGACGAACGGCCAACATCCGCAGCTTGGGTTACTCCGACCTCTTCTGCCTCTCTAAGGACGACCTGATGGAGGCAGTGACAGAGTACCCGGATGCTAAGACGGTGCTGGAGGAGAGGGGTCGGGAGATCCTGAAGAAGGAAGGTCTCCTAGATGAGAGCACGGAGAGGGGAGGCCTACACAAAGAGGACACGGAGGAGAAAGTGGAGAGACTGGAGTCCTCTCTGGACACTCTGCAGACCCGCTTTTCCCGCCTGCTGAGTGAATACACGGGCACTCAGCAGCGGCTGAAGCAGCGCATCACTTTGCTGGAGCGGCAGCTGAATCAGACAGACTGCGGCGCCGAGGCAAACAATGGCAAGGGCGCAAACACAGAGATGTCCATTGAAATCAACCCTGGGCCGCTTGCATCCACGAACGGGTCACCGAACCGGAGCGGTGTACAAACGTGGGACAAAAGGAGTCCAAAATCACAACACTGACTGACTTTAGAAAAATCTGAATTTCTTTACACCTCTTTTAGACTTTCACTTTCAGGAAGACTAACCTGTTTATTTTGTAAAGTGACGTTTCTATCCACGTGAACAAAAGCGTGACTCGGATGTGAGTTTAAAGGGAGACAATAAATTTGAAATTGCACAAAAAGAAAACCTGTGAATGACGTTTGGAAGTGAATTAAATAAATGGACATATGGTGCAGTGAGACTTCTTCAGCTCCTTGTGATGACTGTGTTTATTTACATCAGCAGAGGGATTCAGTTCCCTCTCCATGTCATATATTATGCTCTGGTTTGGTAAACACCGACTCCCGCTGCTCCTCCTGGGAACAAAAGGTCTAAAGAGAGATGGCAGAAAGAGATTTGATCACACAATTATTTTTCCAGCATCCTCATTTTCACAGTCAGACCTGTACAATCACACAACAGTGATAGATTTGGTTTTCTCTCCAGTCCTTGCTGTGAAGGACGTAAACATTTGTTTTCCTGTTTTAAAACCAAAGTTTTACTTGAGTAAAAATTAAGGAGAATTCATTTCTGTTTCACATCAATGTTTATAGAGATGGTTATACACTTTTGAGGTCCTGCACTGAGCCACGTTCACTTATTCTGCGTAAGATTTGCCTCAGACGAGAAGGATTGGGGGTTTCCAGTTTTTCAGCCTTAGCATTCCAGGATACAACTCAACCACATGAGCGGTGATGATAAGGCCTTCTGGAACAATGAGTCCAGTCTGTAGCTGGGGCGGCTGCAGGAGGGATGTAATCAGACTCTTCACCATGCAGCAGGCGAGGACGTCGTGCATCAGTCTTTACCTACGGCAAAATAAACGCAACCTGTTTTTCCACTAGCAACAAATGGAGATATTGTACGAGATACCCTGCTGTAACTGATCCCAGTCTAGACGTGTAACTTCCCAGAGGAAGATTTAAATTTGATCAGTCTTGAGTCTTACTTTTGTTTTGTAATTTACTAGTGATTTAGGTTAATAGATCTTTCTAGATGTCATTTTGCCTGCAGTGTTTTCACTAGAAAGTATCTCATAAACCACTGGATGGATTACAGTGAAACTTGGAGTCCGCCCAGTTCGATGGCTACTAATAAACTCCAGCAAACACAAAAGTTGCCAGTCAACTTTACGGGTATAGCGTGGCAGTTTTTCACATCACACACTTGTTCAAGATGCGCTCAGAACAGCTATACCGTCAGAATTTCCCAACGTAAAATCAGATCTAAAACTCTGGCATGAAAAGTGACTAAAATCCTTCAAGAAACACGAAGCTTTGAATTTATTTTTACTTCCAAATAGTCAGACTTTGTATTTTAAAATTTAAAACAGACCCATCATCCAATAGTTTGATGAAGAATTTTGCTCCTTACAAAAAAACCTTTAAAGGAAGTGATTGTTTTAGACACGAAAAAATGAAAGCTCATTTCACGATCCCAGGCAGCCATTTGTCATGTCGCAGCCACAAATGATCTAACTGCTGCTCCAGCTGCCCTGACACTGCTGTCAGCTTAGCCGACAGGTGCTTCTTGTCACATGTCCAGAACAGCTGGTGCAGTGATGAGTGGACCCAGCATTCACTCAAAAACTAAAAAGCAACAAATAATGTCAAAAGTTTTGTTTACAATGTATCTTTGAAATTTGTAATAGCAAAAAAGAAAAAGACACTTCCTAATTGTTTCTAAATAGTTTGTATTGTATTGTTTGGGACAGCAAACACACTCCAAATCAAACCGTCAGCCACTTTTCATCAGGAGCCAACATTCCCAATCACCGAAATCCTCTGTAGGGAATGGACAATTCCAAAGTATTCAACAAAGTATGACCCCAAACACAGCCACCCTCTTTGCCTTACTTTAATGTGACACGTTATCACAAGTACTTCAACATAACGTTTATCAGGATACTTCAGCTCACTGCAGAAACAAAACCAAAAGAAACCAACACCCCCCATAATAATTATTGTGATTGAATGTGAAGATATTGCAGATAGGACACAGGGCTGATCATATTTATGGGAGCTGCGAGACTGCGCCATGCTGTCTGCACGCTATGGACTGATTGGCTGAGAGAATCCACCAGGAACAGAAGCTCCAGCTAACGCATCCGCATGTGCAGGCTGTGCTTGGGTCCATCCACCCGCTCCAACTTCTCAAAGTGTTTCCTAGCATTGCGGATGTTGATGAGAGTTGCTGCAGACGCTGCAAAACACAAACGATTATTATACCAATAATAAATTAGAAGCTGTAGAATTGTTTTTCTAATTGTGCTTTGCTGCAGAAGTGTTTTCTTTGCTACTTACGAATAGACGGGTCCGACATGATGACCATCACGTAGGTGTTGGAAGTGAAGACATCAATGAAGGCCGCAAAGTTGGAATTCCTCACTTCCATGCTCTGGAAAGAGGCTGCAAGCTTACTGGAATAAAACAACAGAAAGAATATACAAATAAGTTTGGACTCAAACAAACTAAATAAATCGGTAAACAGACTATATGTGTGGGGAGAAGATGTTTTAAGTGGTCTTACCTACAGCTGAGTTTGAACTGTTTGATAATGTTACTGATCTTCTCAAACCTGTGGGCGTCACGCTGCTCTTTGCACTGATAGTGGGAGATCACCTGCATTTACAAAACATGAACAACACCAAACTCAATAAGGATCCAGATTTAAGATCGTCCCAAGCAGGAGGTGGCTGCTCTCACCAGGAAGGTGGCTCTCTCAAACAGGAGAACTTCATCTGCTTCTATGATCTGTGCAAAATTCCTCAGGTTTGTCTCCAGCTGCTGGACGTTTGGGATTAGCTGATACACTATGCTTGACCAAGCCTGAAAAGACCAGTTTAGACACTTTTTAACAACTTCATCAACTATAGCTACGTTTACATGGGCACAATTAGTCAGATCAAAAATTCTTCGTGTAAACATGTTAATCTGAATATTCTGATCCGATCAGAATGAAGTGCAATTTCAATTGAGAGAGGTGGTTTTGTCCAATCATCATTCCGATTGACGTCCACGCACACATTCATTCGGATTGTTGGGAGTAAAATAATGCCCACTGCGCATGTGTGCAACTTCAGCGTGACATCTTACTGCCTTTGCAGACGCTCACACGGTGGGAGGTAAACAGAAACGGGATAAAAAAATGTAAGTCAATGGACAAAGATGGAGAATAAGAAAATAAAATGTGAGGGAAAAGACGTGCAAACAAGATGGTGTTGGTTAGCAATTTTTTTTCTGGGAAAGTCAACTCTGCGCATGCTCAACCTATTTAACCTGGCTTGGTGCATGTTTACTCACGGCATGATCGGACAAGTTCAGTTAGTGTCCATGTAAACCGGAATTTGGGATTTACGATCAACCAAAGTTTGAATCGGATTGGGGGAATTTGGTGCATGTAAACGTAGCTAGTGTTTAAAACAAAACATCAGACTCCTAACCTTATACAGGGTTTCATCCCAGATTGATGTCCTAAAGCATGTACAAGCCAAAGGTCTGGACAATCTCTTCAGATCTTCTTCACGCTCCTTAAAGATCTGTACAAACAGAGAAGATGCACAAAATGGAGCAGTTCATGGTTTTCCTGCAGTCAAAAAAGAAAAAAAACCTGTTTTTTGTCCACCCTTCACAAACCTCTCATTTTCACGACAACTGTTAATGTTCTCTCCTTTTTCACATCAGTGCTACATTATTCCTTCCAATTTTCCTTTTCTGCAGCAAATTACTTAAAATCACATCCAAATTAAACTGACTTGTTTTAAGCCACTGGGACTATCAAATGTAGGTCTTTTCAGGGAAAAAAAAAACCTAAAATTGTCAATAAGAGTGCAAAATAATTAAAATCACAGTAGTGAAGTTTTCAAGTCCATAAATCTGAATGTTTTATTATTATTTAAAAATAAAAAATGAACAACATTTTATAAGATGGAAAGATCTTTTGTTTTTTGTATGCAACTCATCTGTCTTTCTTTAGACTTTTTCAGTTTCAGTTTCTTCTTGAGATTGAAAGCAGAACTGATGATACCAAAAACATTCCAGCAAATGCTCACCAGATCTCTCTGGTCTTCCTGAACAAGGTCCATTTTGTGCACCAGACAGAACACTTTGGCATCGGGGGAATTCTGCAGGATGGCTTCGAGACACGACTGGTAGTAATGCATGTCTTTCTCAAGCTCACGGCTCTCAACATCAAATACATAAATTAGAACCTCAACATTTCTGAAAATGTTGTCTCGCTGGCTGGTGAAGTAGTTCTCCATGAACGTGTCTTGTCTAGAGAATCGAAACACAGAGAACTAATCAACCTGGAAGACTTGTCCAAAGTGGACCAAAACAATATTAAATATCAGGGAAATTGGCTTTACCCTCCACAGTCCCACAGGTTTAGAACCAGATTGCCAAGAAATCGAACATGGGAGTGTTCCACGTCAACTAAAAATAACAGAAGTTTCAGTTGTAAACGAAGGTAATCAAACATAAATAACTAATGTCACAGTTTAAGATGAAAACTCCTTTAGAGCGCTCTCACTCGTAGCTCCGAGCCGACGTGTGTCCCGAGCTATGTAGTTGGCAAAGATGATTGATCTCATGCTGGTCTTTCCAGACCCACTTTTCCCCATCAGGAGCACCTGAAAGCAAAAACATAGTAGATAAAGAAATGACTTAGTAAAAATAAACTGTACCTGTTACTGAGTTGTATTCTTACACTGTAAAAACTAACATACTGGTTTAAATCATGAATAGACGTTAAATTATTGCCATAAAAATGTAAGTTAACTTAAAAAAGCATGTGCTGTTCTACTAATGTGTGTTAAACATCTGTTGGTTTGGGTAATCTGCTAGTTAACTAATTTGGTGGAAGTAAGAATTTACATATCTATTTTTGTTTAAACATAAACCTTAAATTTTACATTTAAACTTGAGCAGTTTAGACATCTTAAAATGTATATCTTCACAATTTTTTTTAATCATTTATATCACCAGCCATTTTACAGTGTACAGCTCACTAAATCGAACAGAAATTTTGCATTTGGTTATTCCACAGAAAAACTGACGTTTAATATTTGATGCTTTACCTTTTTCTTCATAGCTGTGCCTGACATCCCCCTCAGGAGACACGAAGGAGAGTATGTTTCTGAGCTGCAGGTCAGATGACTCTAATTCTCCTGTGAAACAGTTTCAACAACTAGCTCTTATCTTAGCTTCACTGTGGATACTTACTTAAATAACGAAATAACAAACATATTTAGAAATAAGTTATATTTTAGACACAAAAGAACCCATAACTGGATTACTAAATCCGCTAAAATTAGTTTCTTTCCTCCGAGTGAACACTTAAACTAATGCTAACTAAGCTAATACGGTTATCTTACCCAAACTAAACGGCTGAGCTGGCTGAGAACTAATGTAGTATCATATTTCCAACTTACCCCCAGAGGGTAGCACAGTTACTTATGGTCGAGCTATTTTACAAGACTGCTTTGAGTTATTTTGGGAGTATTTCGCTGTACAGATTACTTGGTAGAAGCAGACTAAAGTAAAGATCAGCTGCTTCCTGTTTACGCTAAAAGTCACATGATGTGGATATGGGAGTTAATCCCTGAATTTTACCTCGCAGGCAAATTTTTTCTAACGGTTGCATCAGGCAAAAACTGACTACATTGAATTGTTTGCCCCTAAAGATAATTGTCCTTTTAAAATATTAATTAGGCTAATGAAATTTAAACAGACAGTTGTGAAAATGGGATTGAGTTTTGAAGTAAAACGCTTAGCAAGACATTTTTTAGGAAAATCACATCACCCATAAGAAACCCTTTCTCATTTGGTGCTGATATTCTTATATTTTAACGGATTAGTGTCAGCATAGTGGAAACATTTTTGGAATACGTTGGGGGTTCTTTATTTAATCAATTAGTTTGCATCTTCATGTTAGTTTTAAAGCCACAGCTATGTATTTCTTAAAATCAGATTTATTTTGAAGGGCTGCACAGGAAATGCTACTCAACATGTTTGCTAATTTTCTTTGATGTTTTTATTAAGAAAATGAGTATTTTAACAACGCAGTTTTTTTTATTCAGCTGCATTATCTGTTGAGAGAAACAAAACAGTGGCGTGTCCAGAACTTTTAAAATGGGGTGGCCCAGGTGAGGCACAACTTTGTGCATGGGTGGCACCAATGGTTATGCTTTATTTTTTGTTTTACCCCCAAGCCTTTTGTGGACAATGAAAAGCCTATTTAAAGGTAAATTAGTGTGGTGGCACCTGGGGTGGCCAATCAGATTCCGATGGTGGCATGTGCTACCCCAGGCCACTCCCTGAACACGCCCCTGAAACAAAAGCTCAGAACAGAAACTTTCAAAATAAGGGGAAACGAAGCATCATAGCTGGTCCAAAAAATTATAAATAAAAAAATGTGAGAGGTCCAGGTAAAAAAAATAAACTCACCCACCAGTGACTGAAATATTGGAGAACATGCATTAAAAGGCCTTCATAATGTGATTGACTTTTCTCTTAATTGATTTGCATGTCAGGTGATTTGCTCTTTAGGGCTTTACTGAAGTAAGATTAAGATAAGTGCAGCACATTTGCAAAGTATTGAAATTGCAGATGAACTTTTTTATATACAGTTTTTGATTTGAGACAAGCACACGACACAAATAACTGAACTTAGCATTTAGGACTTTGCACAGTAAATGACCTTTGCATCCAATCCTAACGAATAGTGGCATGGCTTCATCTAATCAGCAGCGTGGTGTTTGACTAGTCTGGAGAAAAAGCCAGAAAAATTAATAACTAAAAAAACATGTCTTTTACTATCCACATCATAAATACAGTAACTTATTCAAATGTCATATCTCTTTCAAAGAACATTTAAGAAATATGAAATTGGATTGTAAAGAGATGATTTAAACGGGCATTAAACAGAAACGGACTAAAGGCTGATTCATACTGACACTGCTCCAGCATGTCGGATCACAATGATGCGACGTTGTATGGGTTGGTTGGAGTCAAGCTCTATTTTCTAATGGGCCATTCCCATCTGTACCGGGTCGGCCCGGGCCAGGTAGCCCCAGTCGGCCCCAGCCTGGCCCGGTTGATTCCACACATCCTTGCCTTAAGCCCATGTGGGCTGATTCTACCCACCAATCAGAGGCTTGCTCTAATGGAAAGTGTGAATTTGCTGTCAGCAGTGGGTGTGTTGACCCTGGTCAGCCTGAAGCAGACCCCCTCGAGAAGAGGGCCGAGAATGAGCCTTGGTTGGCCCGGAAAAATACCAGGCCACCCAGATATGTAAACAACCTACGCTACCCGGCCTGGGCCGACCCGGTACAGATGGGAATGGCCCATAAACATCCGACGGCCGCGTTGTATGCTGGACATCTGTTATTGGTCAGCCAAAAAAAAAAAACGTCATTTCCGGCAGGACGTAGTGTGTGTGTGTGTGTACGTAGCGTCCCTTAAAAATGTAAACAGCGCGAGTGTTGACAATGGACGGACACTCCACCAACGCCAATCCTTCGTCGTTCTCGCTGTGCTCTAACAACAGTTGTTCCTCTAGCTCAAGCAGCTTCTGCTCAATAAAAGAATTCGCTTTGTGCCTTTGCTTAAGCATGAATCAGGCTTAAAACCACAGACCTTTTGCTTAGAAGCTGCTTACCCTTTACATATTTTGCATAAACGCTATTTTTTACACCGAGTCCTAAAAAATGTATCTCAAAAGATGGGCAATTTCTGGCACATTTTACACCTGAGAAAACATTATGTGATAAATCTTCACCAATGAGAATTTAATTTGAATGGAAATAATGAATAAGTATTATAAAACTTTATTGTTTACTCTAAACTGTTCCCAAACAATGAGAAACTTATGAAGGTGATCAGACACATGCCAGGACCTTCTTAAAATAATGATCACAAATAAAATAGAAAAGTCAACACAAAAAAAGGAAATGTTCTAAAGATCCTCAAATACTACACAAAACATTTTGATTGTGTATGTAATAAACCAATAAATAATGTTTGTGACTTTTTATTATTGTTCTAAAATGTATGTATCTAACAAAATTGTTAAATTAAGTAGCTTTTTTGTAAATAGACTTATGCGTGTCTCTCAAACATCTCATTTAATAATAAAAATGTTTCCCGTAAGGATTTTAAATTGCCTTAAGCTTAACAAGAATTTGAGACATTTTCACTGAGGAGAAACATTCTAAATGATTTCTCCTTAACAGATATATAAGATGTAAAAAAGAGGAAGGAAAAGAAAGACATGATGTACATAAACAAGAGTTGTATTCAGGTAGTGTAGGGATGTTGCAGATTTTTGAGTTCTGGTGTCAGTCCACTGCCGTTATTCTTTACATCTGATCTCTGAGCTTTGCGAGTCTTTGAGACAGCTCATCCTTTAAACAGAGAAAGAGACTGATTTTAGTCAAAAAGACAAAGATGAGGAAAATGTCTCCCCATGTCATCCAAACACCTCATATTATTACAAGGAATCAAGTCCAGCAGGACGTATTTATTCAAAGGCATTGAATACCTGCTCTGCAGAAGCAACACTGGTACCCACTGATCCCGTCTGTCCTTGTGGTAGCTCCAAGTTCAGGTCCAAACTGAGCAAAAACACAAACCAACTCTTTAACAAATGTCTCTGCTTACTTAAGTAAGATTGCACATAACAGGGTAAAGGTCTGTCTGTCCAACAATTGATTTATTCAATAAAGAATACTTGGACAAAAGTGAAGAAGATTACCCTGCTTCATCAGCCATTTCATGCATCAATGACTCCACTTGATTCTGAAACAAACATTAAACACTATATTTGTAGTAAAAGTCTTTAGAAGGAACTGTTGGGCAATAAGACAGAAGCAGAACGGAGATGCTTACCTGCGGCGTGGTGAGGGTTGTTGTGCTGCTCATGGTGTCCTCCATCTGGGCTGTCTGAACATCCAGAGTTTCAAACTGATGCTCAAATTTGTCCATAAGAGCTGAGATCTTAAAAAAAAGAGTAAAATGTTTCATGTTATTGTTATGAATATGATACAAACTCAAATTGATAACATTGTATAAATACTTCAGATTATTACGTGTACCTTTTCCAGATTCATACTCTTCAGAGTAGCGTCCATGCCTTTCACCACTCCAGCCATAGACTTTGTGACCTGTCAGATAAAACAAAAATATTAGCAAATGGACAAAATTAAACATTACTACATTTTCAGCACTGATCCTCGGCCTCCGACTGATGCAGCTCACCTGGTTCATCGTGACAGCCGTCTGGACTCTAGCTGCCACTGCGTCGACTCGAGCGCTCATTCTCAGGTAGTTCACAGACTGGTTCTTCTGTCTGATGGCATTCTCTGCATGGATCCGTGCTACCTCCATGTTCCCCTTCTGGATGGCCTAGAGGTAGAAGCGTGGTCCGTTAAACGGCCTGGCCCAGCGAGCAACTTCAGATTTGAAACCCACCTTCTTAACTTTCGTCTTTTCTGCTTTTTCCTCTTTGTCACATTTCTTTGAATTTCTTTGGAGCTCCTTGGCAGCAAATTTTAGATTGAAGAGATGTTCTGAGGTATGAAGTTAAGAAGAACGAGTCTAAACAGAACTATGGGAAAATGCTATATTTACAGGGAAAATAAAAATAGGCCTGGTTATTCTACACAATGTGGCTACAGTATTCTTCTTGATGTGTGAATGAAGATAATTTGCCTCAAACATAAAAATGTCAAGACATTTCCCAGAGGTAGTCCCCAACTGCCATCAACATTACATGGTTTATCCACAAGAGAGCACTGACAAGTTCATTACCTAACTGGAAAAAGAACAAATAATGGTTTACCACGTAGGTTGCTTTAATTTAACCTAAAAAACATAAACTTTTACAGTTGATGTAAAAAATAAATAAATAAAATTTAAAAAAAGGAGTAAATCTAAATTCTGAATTTTCTTATCTCTCAAATGCTAATTCCAGCATTAATAAACTGGAATGCTGTTCAGAATGAAACTATAGACAACACATACAATGTAGATATTTCATTTGACTTAAAATAGGTTCTGTAACCATTACGAGGTACAAATGGTATTTCAAAAGTTTTCTGGTCGTTTGAATAGTTATGGTTTCCTAAACAAGAAGTGACACAGATTAAAACAAACTATTTTCAAAGGCTGTTCGCCTGAACTTTTCGTGTTTGGTGAAATCAGGACTCCAACGTTAAACTGGGAAGTGGTTCTTGTATTTCAACATATTAGCTAACAAGGCCTCTGTCGTCGCTTTGTCACTGTTTAAAGACTCAGAAGAGTCCTTAACGTCCGGGTTGTTAATCGAAACATTTTCTCAGTCTCTGGATTGTATCTGACACATACAGGAGTGTTTCAAACGCCTGTCACGCATAAATCTCACCATGAAAACGAAGCTAGCGTGTTGTTCTTCCGCTCCTACTTTAGCCCCTGTTATACTGTTTCACTTCAGTATTCTCTCTCCATTTCCGGTTTTAAAGGATACTTTCCATAGCCGGCATTTTGAAGAAGCTTTCTGAAAACCCAACAACCAAATACTCAAGAAACCCCCCCACAAAAAATGTAACAAAAGTTGTCAAGTTCAGCCCTTCTGGTTTCGGTCCTCGTCTTCTTCCGCACTTCCTGGTGTTCTACCAAAATATCAACGACGTCATGGTTACGTAGTAATGGCAGGTCATGGCAGGCCGTAGTAGCATATAATTGTTCAGCCACGCAAAACAAAACAAAAACAGTGATGCTGCTTGCCATCCTCGTTATTTTATCTTTTCTTACATTTGTTTTCTTCCTATCTTTCTTTGCTAAGAATAAAAATAAAGAAGAAATAAAATAACTAATATTTAAAACTTGATTTACAACAAGTTACTACGGAAGAGGACAAGGGCCACTGAAAAGAGAAAATGGGAATTCTGACTTTTTTTTCTCATAATTATTAAACTCAGAAATCTGAGGAAAAAAGTCAGAAATCTGAGATTACAATCCTGAGAAAAATGTCAAGATTCTCAGAAAAAAAGCTTGAATTCTGAGATTAAAGACAGAATTCAGAGAAAAAAGTCAGAATTATCTTTCTTTTCTTTTTTTCCCCAAGTGGCCCCAATTCTCGTCTTCGTCTTCCTCCGCTTATCCGGGTCCGGGTCCCGGGGGCAGCATCCCAACTAGGGAGCTCCAGACCGTCCTCTCCCCAGCCACCTCCACCAGCTCCTCCGGCAGGACCCCAAGGCGTTCCCGAACCAGATTGGAGATGTGACCTCTCCAACGTGTCCTGGGTCAACCCGGGGGCCTCCTGCCAGCAGGACATGCCCAAAACACCTCCCCGGGGAGGCGTCCAGGAGGCATCCTGACCAGATGCCCAAACCACCTCAACTGGCTCCTTTCGATCCGGAGGAGCAGCGGTTCTACTCCGAGTCCCTCCAGAATGTCCGAGCTCCTTGCCCTATCTCTAAGGCTGAGCCCGGCCACCCTACGGAGGAAACTCATTTCAGCCGCTTGTATTTGTGATCTCGTTCTTTCGGTCATTACCCAAAGCTCATGACCATAGGTGAGGATTGGGACGTAGATCGACCGGTAAATCGAGAGCCTGGCTTTCTTGCTCAGCTCCCTCTTCACCACGACAGATCGGCTCAGCGTCCGCATCACTGCAGACGCTGAACCAATCCGCCTGTCGATCTCCCGATCCCTCCTACCCTCACTCGTGAACAAGACCCCGAGATACTTAAACTCCTCCACTTGAGGCCCCAATTCTCTTCTGTAAAATATGCAATAAATTTCAAGATATCCTGCACAACAAAAATTAAGAATAAATACCTAAATCTGAAGAGTTTTAACACTCTGTTAAACTGGATTTATGTTACATCAACAATTTCAACTTCTCCAGTCAAATTGAACATCTGAGCTATACTGAAGAACTTCATCCTTATCCTCATCCAACAATTGTGTCTCAAATATAATTTGTCCTGGACAAAAATTACATAAATAAGAAAATAAGTAGGAGAATCTTGCATTTCTGTTTTATGAGTGAAATAATGTTCCATTATGAAATTATTTTCCTTTTCTTTCCTAAAAACCGATCGTATCTACTGTTTTGTCATTTTAAGTATGTGGCAAGGTGGAAAAACGAGGACCCGGGCGGGATTCTGTCCCCAGACTCCAGGGTGAGAGTCATGCGCGCTTACCAGTCAGCCAAAGGGACATCCCCTTTGGTCAAGTAGCCAGGGCGCATGATCAATCGGGACGCTGACAGGACGCTCACACTGCCACAAATAGAAAACATGACGCATGTTTTGTGCTGTGTTTTGTCAAAACACATAGCCTCATGTGTGGTTTCCTCAGGTAAACCGTAAATACTGATCCTAGCACTCAACAAGATAGAGCAGCCATTCCATTATTTTATTAAACTTTTGGCTATTTACAAATATGTGCCCATGTCAGCGGAGAAGCCATATGAATTTTTTGCAATCCTTCACAAGAAGAGTCAGAATCTTGTACCTGACAACATCTGAAGCTTAGAAAATATTTTGTTTGACAGGAGAACAATATTATTTAAATATTTTATAAGCTTCAGATGTTTTCAGGTACATGCTTAGTTTGTGACTCATATTGTTAAGGTTTGAAGGAAGAGTTCTGTTGTAGAAGTTGGTTCAGAAATCACCAAAAGACTGCTCAATAAAACGTTTCACGTTTGATAGTTTGCTTAACTGAAACACTTTTTGAATCTCTGGTAAAACGATAATCTAAACAAAGCAAATAAAGTTAGATTTAGGAGCACAATGGGGTTTTGCCTCCATCTATTTTCTGGAAATATAGTAATTTAACTTTTATTTCTCGCATTTGACTCTAATAATGACACTTCTTCATAATTTATTAATTTCACAATGGTAATTATATGCCCTTGTAAATACCAGAGAGCTACAAAGTGTTATTTCCTAAAATGAACTGTGTCAATAATTTCTGTACGGTATCCTGTTATATGATCAATTGGCTTGCCTCTAGTGGTGTCCTATTCTATTCAAACGTCACGAGCGAACTGCCTCCGCCTCTTTTCCAAATGTGAATGGAAATACAAGGAGAATGAAAAAAAGAAACACGGAGAAAACAATAAAACACGTTTGTTTGCCTGTTTGTGTGAATAAATGAACACATGAATGGTACAAAAAGTGCGCGTGGCGTTGTTGTGGTGGGCGGTGAAACAGGTTGTCTGATGATTAGATTTACTGTGTGGATCACGGCGGGGAGAGAGGATGACTCACTCCGTCTGATGTGATGTTCACCCCGCAACAGCTCGGCAGTGCGGTGGCACGCCGCTGCTTCAGCCTGACACATCGCTGCGCTCCACCAATAAAAGGCAAACTTTACCAAACTGTTACGCCGCCTGCTCAGGGCCAGTCTAACCAGGGCTTTGTTTTAAACTCCAGTGCTTGTCACTTGGTAGTTGGAGAGAGACCCAGCGTCGTGATTTACCGCCAGTCTCGTGACAGGTTAATTTCCATGGAAACAGTGCTCGAGCGCTGAGAGGAAATTGTCCGCGTTAACTTCAGCATCAACCTCCCCAACAGGGTCGGACAAACCTGTTGGATATCCATAAATATTTGTTTTTCTTTTGAGGTTTACTTTTCTGTGTTTTCAGCAGCAGACAGGTGAGTTTATTACCGTTCATTTTAATTGTGCAGCCGTTTTATTACGTGTCATTTCTGCAAGATGTTGCAATTTATGCTGCTTCTAAACTTGCACGGAAAACATCTGGAGTAGAGATAATAGGTGCAGTGAAACAAAAAAGTGGCCTGTGCAAAATCATGTGCATGAACATTTTTATGTTTAATACAGCTCACTGGCTCATGTTATGGCCCTGATTGCACGTATAGTTAGTTGCGCATTTGTGGTTGTTTTTGCGCACATGGAAAGAATCCAGGAGAGCCAGTGTGTGGTGCTTTGTTCAGCGCCTGTATGACTCATATAGTCTTATCTATAAAGAAGCCAAGTGGCAGAGGAGCAGTCCTGCTGCAGGACCGAGCTGATGTAACCCCAGAGATTCACTAGAGGCTGCTGTGGGCCGTGCGTCCTTCTGCCCCAGGCTGCCTCTGACTGCATCAGTAACACACACACACACACACACACACACACACACACACACACACACACACACACACACACACACACACACACACACACACACACACACACACACACACACACACACACACACACACAATTTCATTTTTCAAAAAGAAACAGAGTTTAAATGTGCAGCTCACAATGGTTTTATTTTAAATGCACATTTTTTGTCAAATACGATGTGTTTTAGGCTGTGAATAAGCTAGTGAATCAACATCCATGGAAATTCTTCTACTTTTAATATAAATGTGAATAATATCTGCAGGATTGTTACCAAATTTATGTAGGACAAGGCTGTGTAAAATAGGACCATCAGTGGAAAAACTGTATATAAATAATTTGTCCTTCAGATTCAGTTAAATGTTTACGCCTGATCACTTTTCTGAAGTGTTTTGGTTTGAAAGGGTTGAGCTCTTTAATTGATGACTCAGTGTACATTAATGATGACGTACGAACTTTATTTTTAGCAATATTTCAAAAGCCTCATGAACACAGTGTCATATAAAAAACAGGTGTATCAGCTCAGCTGAATAGGAGGTGATGGTAGACAGAGTTCTGTGTTTATACCTGAAATCTGACATGAAGAGTCTTTGTCTGTCTCCAGGTGAATGGCAGACCAGTGAGTCACCTGTAACATGCAGAAATGAGGAATAACTCAGCTCAAAATCTGCATAAGCATCATGAAAACCAATATGTTCACAATGTTGTGTTTAAATGCAGTTAAAACTGCAAATCACTCACTTCAAGATTCTCAATTATAATTTATTCTTTTTTGCTTTATTTTTAATCGTTATAAAGGGAAACTCAGTTTTGTTGTATGGCATCTGTTTCAATAACATAAATGAGATGATATATTTAGTATTTTTTTAAATATTCTATCGTGTTTTTCCAATTCTCTGCTTGTCAACTGATCCTAATTTGTTCTAACCTTTAAAGTTAAATAATTGTTGTGAAACCTGTGTTCTCATTGTTTAGCAACATATTGACCCACATTTCCCAAAGAAAATTTTAAATTAAGGGCTCAGAAGAATGCAAGGCCACATAGCATTTGTGTGTGTGTGTGTGTGTGTGTGTGGATTCATTAAGTTTTTTTTGCTGTATATTTTTATTTTATTGCCATCTAGAGGCAGTTGACCAGAAAAGCTACAAACCGAAGCGCCCAATGTCCTCAGAGCTCACAGTTAAGTTTTTATGGAGGCAAGGCAACATTTTAAAACCAGCAGTATAAAATTGACAAATCTATTGATACATTTTGAAAAAGGAAAATAAAAAAGAAAAGCTGTTGGCGTGTTTTCTGTTAGTTTCACGGCATCATTTTGCATCATAATGTGATGTCAGATCTCGTTTCACAGGTGAGGATGATGGAGCCCAAAACAGAGAAGAAGTTCCACAACTTAACTCTTGATCAAGTCCAAGCTCTCGACAAAGTGCTGACCGAGGTGATCCCTATCCATGGACGGGGAAATTTCCCCACCCTCCAGGTGAGAGCAAAGGACATCATTCGCGTGGTGAAGGATCGGCTGATGGAAAGAGACATCCAGGTTAAAGACATACGCCTTAACGGAGCGACCGCCAGTCACGTCCTGGTGAGGGACAATGGCCTAGGCTACAGAGACTTAGACATCATCTTTGGAGTAGAACTGCCCAGACAGGAGGACTTCCAGGTGATTAAGGAAGTGGTGCTGGGCAGCCTGCGAGACCTCCTCCCGTGTGGGGTCAACAGGCGGAAGATCACATGTCTCACAATGAAGGAAGCATACGTGCAGAAGATGGTGAAAGTTTTCAATGAGCACGACAGATGGAGCCTGATCTTGCTTTCTAACAACAGGGCTAAAACGGTGGGGCTCAGGTTTGTCAGTTCCCTTCGCAGGCAGTTTGAGTTCAGCGTGGACTCCTTCCAGATAATCCTGGATCGCATGCTGGAGTCCTACTGGGAGACTGAAAGGAAACAAGAAGGGAAGATGGTGCTGGATGCTGGACGTTTGTCTAAAGGTGACAGCAACAAGGATGATGACAAAAAGCGAGAACAATCATGTGGTCCTGAAAGTGCCGAAGAGGGGAAAGATTCAGCAATGACTGCTAGCTTGGATCCTCCCCATCTTGAAGAGGCCATTTCTGGATTAGCTAAAGATCTTCCATGTGGAGAGGAAGATGGAAGGTGTGAGGCGGAGCAGGTGTTGGAACCTGTAAGAGACCCTGTGCAGCAGGTGGAAGAAGACGGCCTTGAGGATGTTCATTCAGAGGAGGACATATCAGAAGTGTTTGAACTTTGTGCAGAAAGCGGAGAACAAAAAGAATTGTTTAGTCATGATGTCCCCTTAGAACCAGAACGTTTATCCACAGATGGCATGGATCCACTGGTGACACATGCATGTTTAAAACTACAGAGTGATGAAGACCTGCGCAAGGCACTGGTTTCTGAGTCTGTAGCTGCTGAAAAGTCTGCTTCACGGGAACAAACCCGTGGTGAAAATAGTTCACAGTTAAAAGTAGACACCGCGTTCTGCAGGACTGAAAACTCCTCAGCTCCACAAGATTCACCATTTGAATTTTCCTTTCCTCCTCCAGCTAAAAAGACTTGCAGTACATCACAAGATATCATCCCGGAGTACTGCCCTTTACCGAAATTACAAAGAAAAATGTCTCGGAAGCTGATCAACAAGCCTGAAAAGTGGTCTCTACTGACCGATGTATCTGACCTTACGACGCAGCTCTTTCCACCCTTACAATTACTCAAACCTCTCGAGGATAATGCACAAACTCAAGGCTCAAATTTTTTGTGCTCAAAGTCAGAACACACTGAAGGAAAAGAGGACCCTACGGTACCCACAATCATTCCAGTCGGTGCACTTCAGGAAGGGATGGGTTCTGGTGAAAATGCAAAGCGAATTGTGAGGCCGAAACAGTTAAAGAAGCCTCCCGATTTAGAGGTTCTAAGTCAGACATGTGCACCAAACATTTCCTCAAAAGCCGAGGAAACTTTTGAGGCAGCAGACACTGTCCCAAATGGATCAGACGCATGGGTCAGGGCAGAAGGCGAGCCCATCCTCACCGTTGAAGCTGAATGCATGTATGGGGACTTTGAGCAGGCGATGGACCACCTTCGACATCGTCTCATTGCCACCCACAACCCTGAGGAGATCCGTGGAGGCGGACTGTTGAAATACAGTGACCTGCTGGTGAGGAACTTCAGGCCGGCCAGCGAGGCTGAGATCAAGTCTCTGGAGCGTTACATGTGCTCCCGCTTCTTTATCGACTTTCCCGATGTGAGCGAGCAGAAGCGTAAAATCGAGGCTTACTTGCAGTGCCATTTCATCGGCAGTGAGGAGGCAAGCAAATATGACTATCTGATGACCCTTCGGCGAGTGATAGATGAAAGCACGGTGTGTCTGATGGGACACGAGAGGAGGCAGACCCTTAACATGATCACGGTCCTGGCTCTGAGGGTGCTGGGCGAACAGAACGCCATCCCCAACACAGCAAACGTCACCTGCTTCTACCAGCCGGCGCCTTACATGACGGAGCCCATTTACAACAGCTACTACATCACTCAGGCCCAGCCCCCGTTGGTCTACCACCCCTACCCGCTGCATGTCCACATGCAAACTGGACTAGTGTAGCTAAACTGCTCTCGTGTTGGCATGTGGCCTGCTTTCAGCATGGTGCTCTGCAAACAGAGGCACAAATGGAAGATTTAGCAACAACAGGCATCCTCGGGTGCAGTGTTCATGTTTTTAAACCCCTCCTGCTTATAACATGAGAGATGATGAGAGGTCAGGACTGAGAAAGACCTGGAGGTGGACGTGCACCCTGTCAAAGACCTGTCGGAGAGGATTTTCAAATCAAAGTTGAAGGACTTTTTGGTTCAGATTTGGAGGGCTCTGTGCCGATGCTGTACTGAAGGGGTTGTAATGTGCTCGGTCTTTATGGCTGGACTTCTCCAATCTATGAAATATATCCCGTCAAACACCTGATGGCTTCTAAAATCTTGGTTTTGGATCAAGTTTGAGTCACGATGAGAAAAGCCACTGTTGTGCTGTTGTGAATCATTCGTCTCTATGGAGTAAACGTGTGACCATATCTGTGTGGACGTAACAGAGTTTCTGTGGGTATAAATTAGATTGTGGTACTTTCATAATGTGGTAAATTGTGTATTTGTGAACGTTCAGAGGAAGGTTTTGTGTTTTCTTTGACTTAAAAAAAATTAGCCGATGAGGAAATGCTTCTGCTAAGATGCTAAAAACAATCCGATTTTTTAATTAACCGAAGCTAAAAGTAGTGTAAAGCTGAAGCGACGTGAGAAAATATAGTAAAAATATAAGTTTTAGTAAACACACGTATTACTGTTCTTGCTTTTTCTTTCAATATTCATTAATGATTCAGTAATTTAAACTCACAATTGCTGGGCCTTCTTTTTCAATTAATGTCTACAATCTAGACTATCACAGTTGGTATTGTGCTCACTGATATTGCTTTGTATATTTTTGTTTTATTGTGTGACTCAAAAACAGAACAAATGTTTCCAATATTTTAAAACTTAATGTCAAAATAAGATTGTTTTTAGTTGGTGGTTTTTCTGGTTTTGAGGAGGTTTGTTTTTGAAAATGAAGCAGTCGATTCAACAGCGCCGAAAAACAGCTGAGGTTGAGACTATAGGGGGCAGCAGCGCTAGCCTGGCCTGCCAGACTTCTCCTCTGTTTAATTCTGCACAGAGAAAGGGTCTGGGAACTCTCCTATTCAAATAACCCCACCCCGTGAGAAATCTAACCGAGCCAATCAGCGCTGAGTGGCGTACGTCACACACCACATTGCCGAGTTTGTTGAACATGGCGACTGAAGCGGAGTTCACTGCGGCTCTTTCCTCTGTTCTAAATGACTTGAATGTCTTTAAAACAACAAGTAGAAGCGCTAAAAGCCTTTCTTGTAAAGAAAGATGTTTGCGCTGTTGCCAGACGCCATTTTTTACTACAGCAATAAAACTACAGCGTTGCTGACGTCACACACAGCGACACTCAGTTTCTCATAAACAACAAAGACAGCGGCGGGGTTCGCTGTGGCTCTTTCCTCTCTTCTAAATGACTTGAATGTCTTTAAAACCACAACAAATAGAAGCGCTAAAAACCTTTCTTCTAAAAAAGTAAAAGATGTTTGCGCCATTGCCAGACGTCTTTCTTTTTACTACAGCTAAAAAACTACAGTGTCACGCAGTACAGTTCGCATTTCCGTCTTTTTTCTGGTTGGTTATTTTTGAGCTGCCTAGTCCCGCCCCTCATTTGTCTCTCTGCCTGTGAGTTACCAGACTAGTTCTCTGTGCAGAATTAAACAGAGGACGAGTCTGGCAGGCCAGGCTAGCAGTTCCTAAATCATTGCAGTCAATCAATATTTTTGTGTTACTAAGACCATACCATCAGATGACCATTAGGCCCAAAAATCACAGAGAGCGCAATTTTTGAACGAGTACTTCGTCAACCTCCAGCAAAATGACGGACTCCCGTTCATCACTGACAATGAGTGAAAAGGTATATGTGTAAAACAACAACGTTTATAAATGGCAAAAGTTTTGTAACAGCTTGTTACTAATCAGTAAATGTGTTTTGTCATCCTGGGCTCACGTAGAAGGAAACATGGCGTCTAATATTGCGTCCCCCAGAGACTAAGACCCGCTCCCGTGTGTTTTAGACTCGGTTTATATGGTTATTTGTTACAAAGCTGCCAATATTTTTTAAAAACTGAGCATCATTCAATCAATTTTCAATAACATTTCATTGGATATTTCCAGAGATTAATGGTAAAACTACACATTGTCACTTAAATTCTTATATCTTCTTGGTATCTTAACTAAAAAGCAGAAATCTGCTCAATTACCAGCTTAAAAGTGACTCATTTGAATTAAAACAGCAATGAACTGAAACTTCCTCTAGGTTAAGTATACAGATTGTGTGGCTAACATGTGGAGTGTTTTATTTTTTTCTTTCTGTGAATTCTTGCATCAATAATAAAAAGCTCCAAAAGATCTCCCATGATCAGCACGATGAAAGATCCACGACAGAGTTCACCTCAAGGTCTACGTTAGATTCTTGTCTCCTTTTGGAGTCAGGCGGTGATGGTTCTGTTTGTTAGCAGAATCTCACATGGATCACTCACTGGATGCTCGTCTGCTGTTGGTTAACTCTTAACCCGAATCAGGATGGCTACCACCGCTGATCGAGATCTCTGAACTCTGGCTCCATCACTTCTCAAAGCTCATTTCATGTGATGCTCACAGACTGTGTGCAATGTTTGCAGTACTGGATGAAGTGTTATTCCTCTCCATCTCCATGTGGTTGTTCAGAAACAGTGCTTAGTGTTTTAAACAAAGGTCACACCGATGCACGGGTGAGGACATGTGACCTCACGACGATCGAAGCACAATGTAAATGAACTTAGATATTGTGGAGTCATGGAGGTGTTTGACATGCTTGTGAAGTATAAAACTGCTTGTTCCAAGTGTAACTTATTTAAGGTTTGTTGTGTGCTCTAGAGGAACTGTCATAATTGTAAAAAATATATAAAACGATCAAATAATCATGTTATGATCTGTTGTTGCTCACACTGTTGTGTTAATGTGACAATAAATGTAATAAATGAGATTTCTGTTCGTAGTTTTCTCTTCTAATTCTCTGTTTTAGTGTTTAAGATTAAAGGATGGATCTCATGCCTTTATCTCTCGCTGCTTTGGGCAAGATATTGGTACATTGGTCAGCCATAACATTATGACCACTGAAATTTTTGCGGGTCCCTCTTTTGTCTTGTCAAAATGATGACAAAGAACAACCTGGAACTTCTGGTCGAGGTTGTTGGGGCAGCAGGAAGGTACAGTCTCTGCAAATTCCACCAGTTGCCATCAGAAATTTAGGATTTTTATTTTTAGACGCATTTGTACAAATACTATCGCAGTGATCAGAAATTTACAATCAGCACACTCCTGGTCTTCTTCATAAAGAATGTTTCGTTCAGACATGACAGTGATAGTTAAGTGGCTTAAATGACTATAAAAAGCTTTCAAAGGCTAAAACACTGCCTACTGTCAAGCACGGCGGTGGTAACAACATGATTGTAGTGCACAAAGTGAATTAAATGCTTGCTAGATGGTCGGGTTTCAGAGAAAACTATGATCCTAATCAGAACTTGTTTTTAATTGGCTAAAACAGGCTAGCATTAGCTCTCTGTTTACAACCCCATCTTAACTTGATTGAACAGATATCGCAGGAAACCAACCAATTTAAATAAACTCTACCAAAAATATACTGACAGAATTACAGGTGCTGTCATAAAATTTGAATATCATGACAATGTAGGTTTATTTCAGTCAATCCAGATTCATTTTTAAAAACAGACTTGGATATTTCAAATGTGTATTTATTTTATTTTTGATTACTGTGACAACTAATGAAACTCCTGAATTCAATATCTCAGAATATTACAATATCGATTAAGAGCAATGCAAAAAAAAAAAAAAAAGGACTTTCAGAAATGTTGGTCAACTGAAAAGTATGAACATATACTCAAAATGTAGTTGGGGCTCTTTGGCCTGGATTACTGCAGCAATGTGACGTGGCATGGAGTTCATCAGTCTGTGACATTGCTCAGGTGTTATGAGAGCCCGTGATACTCTGAGAGCCTTCAGCTCTTCTCAATTATTGGGTCTGGTGTATTGCAACTTCTTCACAAAATCTCATGGATTTCCTACAGGGTTAAGGTCAGGTGGGTTTCAATCAATAACAGGGATACCATGGTCCTTAAACCAGGTACTGGTAACTTTGACATTTTGTGCAGATGCCAAGTCCTGTTGGAAAATGAAATCTGCATCTTCATAAAGTTGGTCAGCAACAGCAGGAATCATGAAATGCTCCAAAACGTCCTGGTAGATGGCTGTGTTGACTTTGGACCTCAGAAAACACAATGGACAGACACCAGCAGATGACATCGTACCCCAAATTATCAATGGCTCTGGAAACCTTACACTGGAGCTCAAGCAGCATGGATTCTGTGCCTCTCCTCTCTTCCTCCACACTCTGGGACCTTGATTTCCAAAGGAAATGCAAAATTTACTTTTATAAGAGAACATAACTTTGGACCACTCAGCAGCAGTCCAGTCTTTTTTGTCTTTAACCCAGGTGAGACACTTCTGACAATGTCTCTTGTTCTAGAGTGGCTTGACACAAGGAATGTGACAGCTGAAACTCATGTCTTGCACACAGTACATCTGTACGTGGTGGTTCTTGAACCACTGACTCTAGCTGCAGTCCACTCTTTGTGAATCTCCCACATTTATGAATGGGGTTTGACTCACAATCCTCTCCATTGTACCTGTTTTTGTGCACTTTTTTCTACCACGTCTTGTCTTTCCCTTCACCTCTCTATTAATGTGCTTGGACACAGAGATCTGTGAACAGCCAGCCTCTTCAGCAATGACCTGTTGTGTCTTGCCCTCCTTGTGCAACGTATCAATGGCCATATTTTGGACATCTGTCAAGTCAGCAGTCTTCCCCACGATTATGTAGCCTACAGAACTAGACCGAGACCATTTAAAGGTCTTTGCAGGTGTTTTGAGTTAATTAGCTGATTAGAGTGTGGCACCAGGGCTCTTCAATATTGAACCTATTGATACTGAGTTTGGGATTTTCATTAGTTATCAGTTACAACCTTCAAAATGAAAAAAGAAATTGAAACATATCAGTCTATGTGTAATGGATGAATGTAATATGCAAGTTTCCTTTTATGAATGGATTTACTGGAATAAATCTACTTTGTCATGATTTTCTAACCAGCACCTGTGTACCAGAAGTATGTTGAGACTTTTAAACAAATTTTAAAGAGGGCAAATGTATTAAATTGGGCTTGCTTGTGGAAAGTTCACTACAAATTCATTTGTTTTAAAATATCTGATCAGGCCTGGAATCACTCCTGACATATTCACTAAGTGTTTTAAGGGTAACACATCTTACTTTATTTTTCCTTTGCTTATATTCAACTAGATGACGATTAATACGGACTGCATCTCTTCTGCTCAGCTGAGTATCTAATCCTCTACTAATCCAGATGTTCAACATCTGCTCTTCCTGTTGAAACTCAGCCTTTAAATCATCACATTTTAGTCACTGTTATCAACTTTCTAAAATTATTGCAATCAGGATGTTGTAAAATTTGATTAATCTTTATACAAAATTTCCATCTAATATCACCCTAAAAGCCAGTTTTCTCTGTGACTTAGGTGTGTCGGAGCCCAGTGCGTCATCATTTAACCTTGTTTGTTCCTCGTCTGAGTCAGCCCCAGCTTTCAGCGCATTAATGCTGCCGTTGAGTACATTCAACTTTATGAGCAAGCGTCCATCACAGTAAACGGACAGACCCGGCATTTTCACTGTTCTGAAAATGTCTGCCTTCAGTCGATGCTCACCGCCCCTTTGTAAAGACAACAGATGACTCAGTCCCAGCGCTGCTGGTGAGCAGCTCCTCGGGCTTCTGCAGGCTGTTTTTATTCCAGCCATAAAAAAATCCTTTGACAAATTCAAATGCAGATGTTTTAAAATGAAATTCTATTTTTTATTTTAAAAAATGGAACATACAATCCAAACATTTCATATAAAAACGACTTGTCCACCTATGTCAGACTGTATTTTCCCTCATCTCATCTGAACCCATACCTTATGAAAATAAGACTAAAAAAAAAGTCATCTTGCACTCAGTCACAATAATCCCAAAACACCAGTTAATGCAGCTAGAAAACACCCTACGAGTGACACCAATGTGTGTTTCATTTCTAAGAACTTGATTAAAACAATACTGTAAAAAAAGGTTTAAAAAGTCTCTTATGCAAGGGGACAAAAAGGTGCTTTTGGAATCAATCGCCTGGTGTTGAAAAAAAAAATACGCGGCATCTTTTCTGGTCATCTTCAGACCAGAAAAGTTTTGACAGCACAAGATTTCATGTAAACACCAGAAGAAAAAAAAAAAAAGAAAAGAGTGTTTAATTCTGATGGCACATGAAACACATATGTGTGTATATTTATATATATCAGATGGTATCTGATCTACTCAATGTTAGAAACACATCAGTCCCTCAATGGTTTAAAACACAGAGAAAATAAAATGTGCCTTTTTTCCCCTCAAATACGCAGAAAACAAACAAAAATGGCTCAAACAGCAAAATAGAAAATAAAAAAAAACTAAAAGTTTGCTAGCATGTTTAAAAGTAAAAAGCATGAGGTTTCATCTCATATCTCCATATTTATTAATCAGCTGCCGTGTGGAGGAGATAAATGTGCAAATATATTTCCTCATCACCACTGACACACACTTAAACAAAAATCTCACACTAGAAAAAAGTAATAAATATTATCAAGTGGAAGAGTTTTAGGTGAACACAGCGAGGAGGAGGAGCAACTGTAAAAAGGAGCAGGTTAGAGTACCAACACCACGAGGATGCAGTGGTTTTTCACCCAAAAACAAAAAAGCTCTTAATTTAGAAAAAGATAATAAAAAAAAAGCACCCAGTTGTAATAGAAAATTATCCAAAATATGATGCTCAGAAAAAGAGAGCCCGGAAAACAAACATTCATTGTCCAAAAGTGTCAAAAATAATATAATTATGGTTTACTTTACTGAAGTCCTTCAAGTATTGCTAATCACCAGACCCCACCACATGTGAGCTCTAAAAGCTAACGTCAGCTGCTGTAGCGAGGCTAAACAACAGCCTCGAAGATGGGCTGACATCAGATACCAGAGGTGATTATTCACCAGGTTGCTGATGCTGACCATTTGAAGTCTCGCTGAATTATTGATGATTTAAGTCGACAATGTGACCACCATGTGTTTGGCATCCTTCTTTGGTGACTATTCAGAAAAGTCGAGGGAGGGATGAAGTATGTAGTGTTGTACGGTAAAGAACCGAGGAGGAGGAGGAGGAGGAGCAGTTCTGGGTCAGCGTGGTTCCAGTAAGGCTGAGGTGAGTTAGTCCAGAGGGTCTGAGTGGGACAGCAGCAGCTCTGTTCAACAGACGAGGACGATCCGTGGCAACAGTTAACGAGCACCAGCGATCAGTATGAGGTTTGTTAGCAATCTCAGACAGAGAAAAACATATATTTAGATTTTATATTTACACTTGTACACAAAAAAATCCCTGATGTTTCTCTCTGGTTAGAGTTTATGTTTGAGGGCTGAAAAGGAGCGATGTGTCAGTGACTCCAGCCCATGAGGTGGCTGACCCGGGCCTTCTCCGTCATACGGCGAACTCGACCGGATCGGGACCTGCCCAGGTTTAGGGGGTCATCCTTTGACCCGTGGCCGTCGTCCTCAGACTCGTCTTGGTACGTGACTGTCCTGCGGCCCTGGTTCCGTGTGTTGACCCGACCAGGTCTGCACCGATTCCCTTTAGGACAGTTTGATGCTGGTCTTCTCCGTACCTCCATGATTTCCTCCTCTTCTTCTTCCTCAGGCTCCTCCTCCTCAGGCTCCTCTTCATCGTCATCATCATCCTCTCCTTCTTCCTGCACATGTCTTACATGAATCTGTTGTGGCTGCTCCTTCTCTTCTTCCTCCTCTCCCTCCTCCTCTTCATCCTCCTCCTCTGCATCTGCATCTTCATCTTCCTCCTCCTCTTCCTCTTCCTCCTCCTCCTGCTCTGGCAGCTGCACCCGAGCCCGTTTGGGTCCCTGTGTCATATCTGGACCTCCCTTGAGTTTCCTCTTCACAGAGGTGAACACGTTTCCTTTGGCTGAGAGGCGCAGCGTTAGGCAGGGGGCTTTGCTGTAGTCGTGGTCTCCTCCCTCCACGTACTCCTCTGCCTCAGAATCAGGGCTGCTCTCACTGTCAGATGAAGAGGAAGAAGAACTCGATGATGAAGATGAGGACTCCGACGAGGAGCTGTTGGAACCAGAAGCTTTCTCATCGTCGTCATCAGACTGCGGTGATTCTTCCTCATGATGCTGCTTGGAGCCGATGTTAAGATGCAAGTTACGCCGGTGCCCTGATGCAAAACACAAGGCGGGTTAAATCTGTACCGTAACGTAAAACTGACCTGGAATAATCCAGATTATGCTGCTCATGATACCTGATTTCTTCACAGGGGTTGCAAGGCTGCGAGTCGCCCGGTGAGACCCTTCATTGATCTCCTCTATGGCTGCCTCTGAACTTGAGGAGGAAGGTGGGGTTTCCGCTTCCTCTGCTACATCACTGCTTTGCTGAGCTGAAGAAACAAGACAAATTACTCATATTTAATTACTTAATTAAAAAGTATAAGACACAAACCACAAAAAGGCACACAAATGCAATCATACCCTGAGAAGGCCTCTTTGAGGTCTGGGACTTTCCCTTCCCTGATTTGTGCTTCCCTTTAGGACTGGACATGAAAAAGAAGAGAAAAATTGGAACATTTTATATTATTTTACAGCAAGTAAACACGGAGGCAACTGCAACAGTTAGCAGCCGATAACTCGCATAGTTTAGAAACATATTTAGATTATAATAAAGAAGAAATCAATATTTCTGAAGCAGTTCAGTTTAGCTGAATCCTTCATACACGAGGATAAAAACTGTGTGTGTTTCTAATGATGCTCAGTACCCGAGTGACGAATCCGTAGGTGGGGAGCTGCCCCCATTGTGCAATCTGCTCCTGTAAGAAAGTCTCTGGCGATTCCGACGCTCGTTCTGAACGGCAGACTTGTAGTCGGAGATGATGGAGATGATGTGTTTTTCAAAGAAGGCCGACAAGCTGAGGGTCATGGAAAAGATCTAAAGAAACAGGAGATCTTAATTAAAACACGACTATTTTATCAGACTTAAGTGTATTTTTCAGCTCAGGAAAACAACGTTCACCTGTGATTTCTTGTTAGGAGTGTAAGCTTTAGAGTTGCTGAAAATGAGGCGGACATCTTTGGCAAACTCCATGGGATTTTCGTAATTCCCAGCCACAAGGGTCTCCGACACCGTGCCCAGATCCATGGGCGTGTCGATGATGTCTCGATAATCCTGAGCAAAAAAACAAAAAACAAAACAAAACCAGAAATGTTGACTTTTTGATTTGATATATTCCAGTAGGCAAATCCCTTTTAATTGAATACTGGTTGTTTCAGATGGCTTTACTGGATACTCGAAGAGATCCACCGGCTGTCTGAATGGGGCGGAGTCTGTTGAGGAGAACATTCGACGCAGCAGCTCCCGGCATTGACCCCGCCATGCTTTTGCATCCATAGAAACGCCTCGGGTTTTGGATTTTGGGTTGGCTCCCTGGAAAAAAGGAAATTAAAATTCACCATGAACGAACCAGCATATGTTAAATATCACCATGCGCTGTCTCTTTTGTTTTTTTACCCGGTGTCCTGAAGATGTCCCCGGAGTGTCAAAGTCCACATCTAAGTCAACCTGCAGAGGAACATAAACATACTCTAATGCAAAAACAGTCTAAAATAGATAATCAAACCTTTGTAAACTTGACACGTTACACATCTGACCTCAACTTCTTCTCCACTACTGATCTCTGATTTCAGTCTTTGATACAAGTCCAGGATGTCTGTGCAGCTCTGGTCTCTGAAAGAAACAGTGAGCCAAGAAGTCAAATATGTGCCTGGTAGTGAAGTATCAGTGATTATAAAAGCACACTCAGCTTGGTCTTACCCAATATAGTGGAGAAGAACATCAGTGACCACCTTGGCAGCTGCTACAATCGGGCTTTGGGGTTCATTGAAAGTACGAGCATTGTGCTCAATGTACCGCACCTCCCACATTAAAGCAGAGATCCTCCTGCAAGAAAAAGACACCAGCTTAGAAAACCAGCAGCGGTACATCAGGACTTACAGTGTGAACTCCTGAGTGTTGCTCCACCTGTAAAAGTGGTTCTCCAGACGTCTGCGGACGGTGCTGAGGTCGGTGGGGTAAGCCACCACAGTACAGTACAGCGGGTACTGTTGTAGGTTTACTGGTGATGCAAACGCCTTGGCAACATCTGGGAACAAACGCAGGAACAATCAGACACCACAAACATTAACAGACCTCTGCTGGAGCTGTAGGAGCCTACCTAGTGTGAGAAGCTGATCGATGCCACAGACGACTCTTTGACATTCTTCCTCTCGTGTGTGAGCACCCCACTCTCCTTCCTGAGGTCTGTAGAGCTGAGCTTGGAGCTCGTCCTCGAACACCTCAACTCCGTCGCCGACTTGTTCTGGCAGGGCAGCTGATGGATCACAAAATCAGCAAAGCATAAATTTGTTTTGTGCTAAAAAACATATATTTTTAATGGCCAAAAACAGAGTAACAACATGATCACGGGAGCCGCTGGTGTAAGGGGATCACCGACCTTCCTCTGGAATTGGCTCCATGTCCCAGGGACTCATTCTCTCCCGCTCGCCATTATCCCACCTGATACAAAATCCAAAATGCACATCCTAATTAGCCTCAACATAATTTCACGCTTAAAAAGCAAACAGGAACCTGTTATTGGAGCAGAGAGGCAGCTGTGTGTGGACGTACTTCACTGAGTAGCACTGAAACAGGCTGTCTGGATACTCAGGCTGCAGTGGCTCCTGATCCTCCACAGATCCAAACCACCAGGCGTCATCAATAATGCTGCGAAACCTCATACCTGCAGAAAGGATCAAACATTAGCAAAGGAAGATCCACAACAAGTAGCATGTTATTTAAAAGGACCGCTGAGTAACGACAAACCTGGCTGCCAGTTTTGCTCTTTGGCCTCGTTGTAAAATTGCTGCAGAACCAGAAAGTCGATGACATCGGGCATGTCATGATACCTTGGGAGTTTGGGATAGAAAATGTGGTGAAATGCACTTTTATTTTAATTATAGACACTGCATGATGTATTATTATGTACAGATTAAATATAAACACTCACTTTAAGGAGAAAGACTCGTTGGTCATTTTCCCTGAGACTGGGTCCAAAAAGGCCAGCTTTAGGCAGCAGAGGGTGGGCGGTCCCACTTCATATTTAATTCCAACCACTTTCACCGATTCCTGGTCCTGAGGAGGGAGAAGAGAATGATCAATAAGAATTCATGTTTTCTTCCAGCAAATTTTTAATTGTTTACAGCCTGAATGGCTTCACTTTGGAAACTGATGAGCTAACCGCTAGTTAAAGTGCAGCAAAGATGGAAGTATCTCCCAAATTTCCCAGAAGAAAGCTATTAAAGAGTAAAACTGTATTTTTAAATAACTTTATCACAAAAGCACACTTCAGAATGACCAAGGCTTTCCTTTATGAGCTCATCTGTAACAGTTTGTGGCAAATAACAGCATTATATTTTCTAAATGTAGATTTTGCGTTAAATATTTTTGGTAACTAACAATCACAGGTTGTTCGTACACAAGATTAATTGATTACTGAATAAATAAACTGGATCGACTGGACAAATAATTCTAATGGATTGTGGATGAGGATGCTTTTCTTCACCCTGAGGTTGAGTCTGTTCCACGGCTGCTTTTGAGGGTTGATGCTGTAAGCCTTGGCTCTTCGGACAGCCCTCACGTACGCCTGATGGCCTTGTTTAAAGTAGATGAGCTGGACAGCAGAACAAGAGTTTAATTGTGTTTATGTTACCGTGTATTTGCTCCTTAGTATCATCAGAGGTACGGTTTCTTACCTCGTCTCCCATCTGGGGCACAAAAGGAGATCGGCGTGGGATGGTCTCCATTATCCATGACGGCGGCATCCACTCCTCGGCGTTGAGTCCATCCAGAGAAGATGTGGGTTTCTAAGTTAACACAGTAATGTGTGATCATGATACAGCAAATAAAGTACTAAAAACTAATGATTTTTTATAAAAGTACACTTAAGACTGCATGTAGCAGTCTTACCTGTTTGGTCTCTTTTGGCTTTTTCTTCTTCTCATTTTCTCTCTTCTTCGCCTCTTTTTTGTCATCACCACCCTCCTCCTCCTCCTCCTCCTCCTCAGAGCTGCTGTAACCTGCAGGCTGTACGGGTCTCCTGGTTGGTCGCTTTGGTGGCTGCAGGTTGATCCCGGCGTCTGCAGTCCAATCGGAATATTCACTGGACGAGTCACTGCGAGTCAAAGGTAGACGATGTTAGGCAGGTGAGAAGGAGAATATTAGGTAATCAATAATAGTTTAGACATATTAACCTGGAGCTGCTTTCACTTTGCCACTGAGCTTCTTCTTCAGATGTGGCATTAGACTGTTCCATCTGTTCTGCTGCCTGTCCACATAAAGTTAAACGTTTTTACTGTGAATCTCAGTTAACAGCAACATCTGGTTTCTGGTGAAACTTACATCTCCGCTGTCCGAGTCGTTCTGGCTCTCCGAGTTACGCCTGTTGCTTGGATGTCGACTCCTCGTTGCGGGTCGGCGGACTTGCGCTGATCGAGTCTGATAGGCGTGGCGCTGCTGCTTTTTCTTGGTGGGCCGCAGGGAACGCAGGCGAGATGCAAGAGGGTCGCTCTATGCAGAGTCGAAGATGGGTGGTGTTAGAATAAAGCAGATGTTTGGAGCTCATCCTGTGTGTGAGACTGAAACAGTGTACCTTGGGTGTGCAGGTCAGAGGTTTCCTCCTCCTCTCCATGTTGTAAAGAGAACACTCCATGTCACCTTTGGCTTGTCTGGATTCCTCCAAAACTCTTCAAAGAAAAGAATCACAATGAAAACAATACCTGATAGTAAACCAATGGCCTTGTATTCTTAAATTAGGCAGATCCATGTGCGTAAATCTTTACTGCTTTTATGTAATCTCTTAAAAGTGATAATTCCCTCCATCCAGCTCACCTGAACGTCCCTTGTGGGACCTCATTTACCACCACTCTGCGGCTCCAGGCCAGCAGGTCTCTCTCTGTGGCCACTTGACTACGTAGAGAATTGTGCTGCATCTGCCACACCCCGCCCACCTGCCCGCTCCTGCGAGGTTCAGCAGCCGGAGATGAGGGCACCACCTCTTCTTCAGCAGCTGATGAGAAAAAGATTACATGAGCAGGTTTTGTGTGAAACATGGGTACTTTGTGTGTCTACATAAACAGAGAAACAAACCTTGTGCCTCCTCAGGAGGCTGCTCTGGATTCTGCCGTTCATCCTGCTCAGTCTGTAGCTGCCTGATGAGATTGTCCAACAGGCTTTCGCCATTTTCTGCTGTTTGTTGGCCAAGTACCTGCTCAACCAACTCTCCATCACCTAAGCAAGAAAAGAAGCAGGATGTGAGTCTCTGTCAGTCAGACTTCCTACATTACAGCGACAAACTCATTCAGAATCCTCTGTATGACGAAAACTGGGCTTTTTACTGTTAGCTATGTATCCCAGCTGAGGTATCAGCTGGTCCTCCTTGCAGTTCTCTCTCCCTGGAACCAAACGCTGGTAGTGAGGAGGATGGGGATTCCCATCAACATCCACGAGGAAGGGCGGGGGCATGAGGTGGGGGGCCTGCTGTGTCTGCTCATCCAGGACGTAGTTGTTAGAGTCACGGATGAGAGGTCGGTAGTCCGTGTGGAAAAACATCTGGTCAGGAATCTATAAAAGAATCAATATTGTTTGTTGTGATTAAATAAAGTCCATTTAAATTCCAATGCAAATTTATTTTGCACAACTCCTTACAAAAACAGGGAAATGCTTATGTTTTATGAGGACGTCCTTTGTTACCTTTTCGTAGGCTTTGCTGCAGCCAAAGCCAAAAACAAGTAAATGTCCATGTGAGTCGGTGCAGGCAAAATGCTGCCCATCAGCTGAGAACTTGCAGTCAAAAATAGCACCGTGGCCCTGGCCTTCAATCTGGAAACAGGATTTCATCATTAAACCAACACCAATATAAAAACACGACTAGTGATGTTTGATTCTCTCTGCTGATCAGTTACCATGTTGAAGAAATTGCGGATCTTGACTCCTTTGCTCAGGTCCCAAATGTAAATGTTGCCATCATGCCCAGCAGACATCATGATGCGGGGGTCGAAGGGGTGGGTCTCCAGCACAAACACCTCATCATCATGCCCCTTAATCAGAGGGCACACACATTTACAGCTTTGACTGGTATTCTTTTCACAACACAGGAACAAGTCTGTTTCAGTCACTCACAGACAAAACATGCAACAGCTGTCCAGATGTTGCGCTCCACACTTTGAGCAGGTAGTTTGACACAGCTGTGATGACGGTGCTGTCGGTGCGATCCCACGCTACCATGGTCACCACCAGCTTGACTTTATCATCCCCATTAGTGATAGAACTCCTAGCACAAACAGAACATTAAACCCTTACAGCTAAACGTGTTGGATAACTGGGAGTGTGTCTTAAACTGTAGTTTGCTCTCTTACCCGGGAAGCCTCGTAGTCATGTCTAAAATAACGCTCTTCCACTCTTGTTGCTGGTAATGCCAGATCTTTGCTATTCCGTCTCGGCTGCCACTCACAAACCTCAGGCTGGAAAAACAACAACATTAAATCATCAGAGGCTTGTAAACAACGCTAAACTCCATTAAAGCCAGTGTCTGCGCTCACCTGTCACTGTTGTTGCTAAACTGGACAACCACAACTTTATCCTAAAAAGTCAAACAAGGAAAGAAAATGACTGAACTTTCAAACTCCAAATCATGATGGTGCCATTGTGTTTGTTTCTTACAGTGTGAGCGTCCAACTCGGAGACCTTCATCGGAGTTTCAGCGCCGAGGTAGTAGACTCTAATCATGTGATCCGTGCCACCAGTAGTCATAAACATACCACCTGTTATCGCAGTAAAATCAATGAACACGTAGCTGACATAACACATTAAAGCATCATATACTTCATAACATTTCATCATCATTTATATTCTAGTTTTATTTGACAAAAAGTTTATTTTTGTCTGATAAAATTAGTCACTGTCTGCTTTACACACTTTAAGTGGCAGTGTGTGTGTTTTCCCTGCCGATAGGGGGCAGTACATACCTAAATCATTGCGAGCAAGTAGTATTTTTGTGCTTGAGTAAGACCTTAAAAACGGATGACCATTAGGGTAAAAAAAATAATAAAATCACACCGTTCAACCTTCAGCAAAACAACAAGCACATCAGACTCTCTTTCATCACTGTCAACGAGTGAAGAGGTAAATGTGTAAAACAACGGCTGTTTATCAATGTCAAGGCGCCTTGCCTTACAAGGCGATGTTTTGCGAGGCCAGGCGCCTTGCTAGCAAGGACACTGTCCTTCCTTGGTCAAAGAAAACGGTTAAATGGAACAGGCTTGCATCACGTGGCCGCGGCTTCCACAGTGGTCACGTAACGTCACATGACGCAGGAGATAACGTTATATTTTATATGTATTAGTTTCAATATAAATATAAAACGAGGCTTTTACTTTTTAAATTGTGTAAATGTTTATTAAAAATATAAGTGAGTTACTACCCGCAAGCTGCAACTACTAAGCAACTAACCAACCATAGATAACTTCTTGGGATCTAAAAAAAACATTTGAAATTAGTTGACTTACTTTTAAACTTGAAAACTGTCCCCGAAGTAGCTGCCGGCTTCTGATCCGCCATCTTTTTGAAAATACTGCGGTGTATTGTGGGTAATTTTTGACCAAGGCTAGGCTACAAGACACCTCCCGGGTGTCCTTGCTCAGCTAGCTAAACGGCTAACAAACAGAGAACACACGCCTCGGTAGAACATGAACATTGGAACCGATTGGAACACATCTTGGCGGCTCCTGATGACGTATCTCCTAGGCAACCGGGGAGGGGCCAAGACATCAAGGCAAGGTTCCTTGACATTGAGAAACACCCAACGTTTATGAATGGTGAACATTTTATAACCGCTTGTTACAAATCAGTAAACGTATTTTGTCCTCACGGAGTCCCGTAAAAGGAAACATGGCGTCACCCTGAGACTTCGACCCGCTCCCATGTATTTTAGACCTGATTTTATGGTTATACGTTACAAAGCCGCCAATATTTTTCAAGAACTGGGCATCATTTAGTTAATTTTCAAGAACATTTCAATGAATATTTCCAGAGATTAAAGGTTAAAAACTACACATTGTGTCTTTAACAAATACCTATGACAGAGCAATACAGCAAGTACACAAACTATTGTTTAAAACATTATTTACAGGACAAACTGATGATATTTAGACATCAGTTTGCAGACACAATGAGACAAGCCCTGTAAACTGTCTGTCTGCACTGAGATCCTCTATAAAAAGTCAGAAAACAACAAAAAGATCAAACATTTACTGTAAGAGATTTACTGAAAGAGATGTAATTAAGTAGCTCTGATGTGGCTCTGGTTTTGGAAAACCAAACCAGTTTTTAACTTCCCTTTTTTTTAAGAACCAATTCTGTCACCAGTCCTGTTTGGTGGAAAAAGTCCACCAGTGACAACATGAAGTAACACTGTTGCTGACTGGCTCCATCTGATCTAAAAAAAAGCTTACCACTGCTGAAGGAGGACGTGGAGACTTGAACTCCGGGGCGTGACCGCTCAACAAACTTGACCGGTTGATCACTGAATTATAAAAAAAGACAAATACATAAGCTGTGGCTATTGTTGTCAAACTGAAAAACTTGGAAGCTAACACAGTTACATAGATGCTTCAATACATACTTGAATTTCAAACTGAGGGAGTGCCACCTCCAGAAGCACACCATGCCATCTGCACCTGTAGAGGCAAGGTATCGTGTTGTGCCTTTGGCTACAGGACAGAACTGGGAAAAACAAAACGAGAATTTATTTTTAAAATCCAAAATTTGTGAACACACTAAAATATTCTTTGATAAGGCCAAAATCCATTTATAAGAGCAAAAACGAAGGTAAAACTTGCTTTTCTTTTTCAAAATCCTTCACCTGTATGGATGTTATGGAGGAGGCATGGGCCTGTAGAACAGCGACGGGTGCACACGTGCGCAGGCACCACACTCTGATGACTTTGTCACAGCTGGCTGAAGCAATGAGACTATTCTCATAGTTCACAGTAATGTCACAGATCTCCGCTGAGTGGCCGCGGAGTGTTGCCAGGAGCCGTCCATCATCTGTGGCCCAGATTTTCACCAGACAATCATCAGAACCCTTAAAAAACAAAAATGAGATTGTTGCAGCTGGATGTATCAACAGAACCTGTACAAGCACTGTTAGCAAAATAATGATTCTAAAACCTCCTAAAAAAAACAGCATTACTCACTGTGAATATGCGTCGACCCGTGCGGTCAAAAGCTACACAGTAGACCGAAGAAAGGTGACCAAGGATGCGTTTGTGTATCTTCATCTGTTGGTAGGAGGACGACGGAAGGGTCTGGCCAAATCGAGACGTACCTGTGGCCTGGCGAGCGCCCATGATGGGCACTAGATATAAAACACATGGCAGTAATTAAGAGACTGGCAGAGAGAACAACAAAATGATTTTTTATTTTCATAAAATAGTGCTCTCTCTGTCAGCTCTGGTTAGTAAACTATTGCCCTGGAATGGACTTCAAGATTTTCATGTTTTATACAGTCAAACAACTAAGTACTATCTCTTTAAAGTGGCAACACAACAAGTAGGGATTAGGGGTTGTACGAAATAGTCGACTAGTCGACTACACGGCTCTGTAGTGACTTTTTATGCCTGTCATCAACTAGTCGCTGTCACGTGATAATGACTGACAAGATGCAGTCCTCGGAAAAGACAGCAGGTGATGAGCCCCTGCGTGTCTGGATCGAGGCGGAGGTGACGCGCTGTGCGGTACTGACACCGGCGGTAAAACGGACTTTTAACCAAACTGTGACCTTTTCCCTCTTGCAATTTAACCTTCCCCTCACCCCCATCCTAATCTTAACCAGTTTGCGCATGCAACGCTCTGATCATTGACGTGCGCTCCAGACATTGCGTCCTGAGCACCGCCAAATCAGCTGATGTCACCACCTCAAAAACAAATTAAACACGCGAGCGTTCACGTCGGCTCATTTCATTTCATGTTTTCTGTCTGTTATTTGTGCCTGATGTGTTTCGCTGCTGCGGAGCGAGGCTCTTCAGCTGTTGTCCTCCGGTGACGCACCCCCAAGATTCCACTATCTCCACTCCGGCATGAACTCCGCAGCAAAAACGGTCCCGTTGTAGTCGGCCGGCGAGCAGCGGCACTCCGCTGTTTTTGCGGTCGGTAGATCTTTTAGAACTGCAATTCAAAGGTAACTCATAAGGTGAATATATATGAACCCAGGTAGCAGTTTTTCTTTAGGATTGAGAGGAGATGCAGGAAGATAATAAACAGACAGGACAGAAAAATAGTCAAATAAAAACAAGTTTGCTTTTGTACCTGCTGGTTGCAACAAACAGACACCACTGAAGGTAATCAGAAGTGAGGAACAGAAAATGAAATAATTATTTTAATGTTTAGAGCAGCAGGAACTCTGAGAGGCTGCAGGCACATCAGTGAGTTTGCGGCCGCTGCGCAGGGGGAGGGGGGGAGAGGACTGAAGTAGGAAGCAGAAAGTACCGTTGTTAAAAGAGATGTGTTAACTTAGAAAATGTGGGCGCAATTTTAATTGTCAAAAACTCCAGCGAACCTACCAACCGACCCCCCCCCCCCCCTCCGCTTCCGGCGTATGACGTCATCAACGACTAGTCGAAGTCGACTCGACTTTCATTACTTGACTGTCGACTTTAAAAAAAATAAAGTCGTGCAGGCCCTAGTAGGGATGTCCTGTGCCGATATTGATATCGGCCCAAAAACACTGTATCTGATTATATCGGACTTAATCAAAAATCTCCGATATTAGCAGAATGTTCCGCTTTAAATTCCATTCCAGCAATTCTATCCAGCAGCGCCCAGATCCAGCATGCAAAGTCCACGTGATCAGAATCAATGTCGGCTATGTGGCTGTATTTTTCGTTAAAGTCCCAAAAAGACAGTTTGGCTCAGTGCAACACTTGTCATGCACAAGTTTCCCGTGGTGAAACAGAACCAGGGAAGATTAATACGTCCAACCTCATTGTGCATTTGAAGCAGGATCACTAAACATTGCATGAGGATTTTCGCAGTGTGTGAAATTGAAACTTTAGACACTCAACTTGTAGCAGTTGGTCAGTGAACAATATTGTGTTCTTTCCTTATGTCCTCAGCTGTTCACATTTATGCAACTAAAGGTTAATAAAAAATTGGTCAGTTTTTTTATACTTATTGTTGCTGGCTTTTGTTTTCTGTTTGAGTAATGTCACTTGATGAAGCCTTTTATACATTCCACACTATGAAATAGGTAAAAGTATGTGTGATTTGTGCTGATATCATATTAGATTGATATCGGTCAATACTGAAGGCTGCAATATTGGCATATCGGAAGTTTAAAAAGTTGTATCAGGACATCCCTAAATGCAAGTTTCACATACCAACATTAGGACCACTTCCATGACTGACAGGAGGTTCAGGTGGGCGTCCTCGGTGGAGTGCAACAACAGCTGAGCCACTGCAAACTTTGTAAGTGCAACCTAAATCACATAGACAAGATAAAATAATTATTTCCACTGTAGTAGTGTTGTTAGGTCAATGAATAAAACACATATGGCCCAATGCTCACTTTTAGAGGTGCGAAGCAGCGACTGTCTTCCCAGACCCAGCAGCGTTTGGACTCCAGGAACGCTGGGTGGGATCTCCTTTTCTATGAGCGGACCAATCCGCTGACAAACCAGAAGCAGATAGTCCGCAGGAATGTGCTGATTCAAAATCACCTGAATACAACAAGAATCATCACAAAGGACTCCCAATAAATAATGCAATAATTAACTGAAAAACACCAACATATGAGCAAATCAAATGACATGGCAACTAGGATGAGGTCCTTCATTGAGAAACCATTTTTCTCATTATTTTTGAAAACGATTGGTCACTATGTGTTTAAAATGCAGGCTGAACATGAAAACACTAATTTGTTATTAATTATGCTGTTGGTTTTCTTCAGATAATCAGAAAAATTGACCAGTTTCAATAAATTCAAACAATTCACAAAATTATTTAACCAAAACAAAATAAATGTAAATGTCACTCATAGGAGAGTTATAATATGATCACTTACACTAGTAATAAAAGCTCCTTTCAAATGAAAATAACATATTTGCATAATTACAACATTACCAACATTTTAAGGAATTGCATTCACTATTGTCTTCTACCCAAAAACACTTTTACTCAAAATAAACAAGGTGCATTGTGTTTCATGTAGATATTTTTACTACAAAATTATCTATCTATCTATCTATCTATCTATCTATCTATCTATCTATCTATCTATCTATCTATCTATCTATCTATCTATCTATCTATCTATCTATCTATCTATCTATCTATCTATCTATCTATCTATCATCTTCAGTAGAATGAAAGAGGTGGGACTAAGAAAAACAGCAGCAAATCAAAAGCGTTTGTTAAGAGTCTTCCGGTTTCATTGCAGACGCATATTTGATATGATTGGCTGAAAAAGATGATGGACAGCTCGCTGAATCCGGTTGAGCCAATCACAGCCTGCCTCTCTCTATTGCGTACCAGCCCGCTAGCCTACACAATAGCGTAGCTTATTTAGTTATTTATCAATAGGCTCATATTATAAATATCTACTATATTGTCACCAACACAAATACATTTATTCACATTTGTTTTAAACGTATTTAAACAAGCTGACATCCGATGGGCCACAAAAACCGAACAAGTTAATAAAAATTACTGATTCGATTAAAGTGATAATAATTGTCGCTCCTGACACTCACCCAGTCTTGAAAGGTCCGTTTGTATTTCTCCCCGTCCCAACTCCATCGTTGCGGTATCAACTAAATTTAAAAACAACCAATTAACTAAGATAACATAAAGCTAACAGCTTCGCCACGACAAAAGAAAGCGCTGAATTAAATTTTCTCATGTTAAAAATATCAAAGTTTACCTTCAGGCACAAACACTGTGATAGGCAGTATAACGGAGACCACACATGAGAAACACAGAAATTGAACTTACCTCATACTCTTCCAGCTCCTCAATCAGAATCTTAACAACAGACACACACACTGTTAGCACCGGAGGCTAACATCAGCTAATTTAGAAATATAAATAACTAATACAACGGTAATATGCTACCTGTGCAGCTTTTTTACAAGGTCCAGACTGAAGAAATCGGGCAATGAGGTAATAAAGTTCTGAAAAGTAAATAAGTTGTTATTAGCTTGCTAATATTATTGAGACGTGCTAATAGTAGCTATTAACGGGCTGAACATAGAAATACAAATTGTTTAACTTAAAATGTCATGTCACTTATAATAAGGATACTCATTACTCACCAGCTTCGGTTTGTGAATACTGTTCTCTCGCCATCTCTTGATAGGACAGACGACATGAAGCCAAACTGGTGTTTTAGCTTGCTCGTTAGCCGCCAGCGAGCTAACAGAAGCTAACAGGCTAGTGAATGGCCTCCTCCTTTCCCTAGTCGTTCTCAGAGAACTCGGTGCTTTGTTTAGCGCCCTCTAGTGGTCATTTATGTTTATGTTTAACCCTCTCAGGCTCTAAATAAGTTGTGATAAAAGGATGAACACCTAAGTCCTTCAGGGGTACTTCTCAGTAAAAAAATGCTCATGAAACACGTATGTGGAGTAACCAGGTAGGTAGGTTTTAACTGTTGCAAATATGCAACGCCTGCCTCCAGAGGGTTAAAAAAAGAATGAATAAATATGTCAAACAAGTTCACATGCTGCACACATTTGATTAAAAATGATAAAACATCAGTGGAGATTATTTAAAACCACATGCTTTTTGTTAGTTAGTTGTGCAGAAGCTTTAAACTACTCCTATTATTATTTTCAACCAAGGGGAGTAAGAGTCAAGTAGTGTGTGTGTGTGTGTGTGTGTGTGTGTGTGTGTGTTTAAAGTAATTTTAATGTAGTTCTTCAGTCTTCATGGACTTTTGATGGATGAGTAGCTTTCCTCGGGTCTTTTTAAAAATTGGTTTTCTATCTGCTTCTTTTACATTTGAGCATCTGGGGTTGATTTTGAAAGAGGCCTCCTTGACCTTAATAGTAAATTGGAAACAGTGAAAAGGTGAACATTATGTGTAGTCCCCCCCCCCCCCCCCAACAAAAACCAAGATAAATAAATAAATAAATAAAACACATTTTGGGAAACTCTTCAGACTAAACAAGTTAAAAAAAGAAGTAAAAGTCATACTGTTGGTTTTGTTTGAATGGAAAAAGTCACGGAGCTTTGAAGAGCAGGCAAAGAAGAATGGTCTCTAATCTTCCTTTAACCTTATTTTGTTCATCCACAAAAAATGTATCGTAATGCAGCTGCATGACAAACGTGTATTCAAATAGCCTTAATTTATTTATTATTGCAGTTTCTAATAGCACTGTTATAAATAAGCATCACCCAATAAATGTTCAATCCCTTTTGATTTCATTAAAGTTGCACACAGATTACAAAGTCTACTTTTTAAAATGATTTTGTTTCATCAGATGTTCAGGTTCAATGTTTTCTAAAGTGACACCTGGTTTATAACTTTATTGACTGTGACTCTTGAGCTGAGTGGGTGTTCAGAAGGTCGGTAGTTTGATCCCTGGCTTCCTCAGTCTGCATGTCAAAGTGTCCCTGACATGGTGTTTCCATGGAACCAAGTACATACAACAAAAGGAAAAACTAGTAGCTCCTGTCTCAGAATGAATAAATGAGACCCATTGATGATAGACATACCGTACCTCTCTTTTAAATATTCTTTTGTGTTTTACTGAAAAAAAGAGATCAATCGGTTTATGGTTTTTTTAAATTAATGTAAGATGTAAGTTATAACCTTCTCAAACGACGTTGTCATTGTTTTTTAGAATGATTGTTAATGAATGCTAAACAGATTTCTTGAAAATCTACTGAGTAACTAGAAATTTGTTAATCTGTGTCAGGGTTCAGGATTATTTTATCCATTTCTGGTAGGAGTGTGCGTCTCTGGGTTTGTAGGTTGAGATCTTCCAAGAATGACATGCTTTTTGATGGTTTGGCTTTGTAGTGGTGCTACAGAGACACGTATAATCCTTTCAGTGCAAGGTCAAGGAGGCCTCGTTCAAAAATAAAGCGGATAGTATTATAAAATGTTCTTGTGTTAAATAGAAATTAATTTATGAAATTTAAAAACCTTAATATCAAAAGATAAGGAAGACTTTATGTAATTCCTGCATTTTCACAGATAAAAAAAAAAGTTTTCACACCTATAAAACAAACCATGTTTCTTTATACCTCTCCCTGGGCTGCCACCTTACCTTGGTGGAGGGGTTTGAGTGTCTCAATGATCCTAGGAGCTAAGTTGTCTGAGGCTTTCTGCCTCTGGTAGGGTCACCCATGGCAAACAGGTCCTAGGTGAGGGATCAGACAAAGAGCAGCCCGAAGACCTCTTATGATGAATTATATAAATGGAAACCGTGTTCCCTTGCCCGGATGTGGGTCACCGGGGCCCCCCCCTAGAGCCAGGCCTGGAGGTGGGGCACGTTGGCGAGCACCTGGTGGCCAGGCTTTCACCCATGGAGCCTGGCCGGGCACAGCCCGAAGAGGAAACGTGAGTCCCCCTTCCCATGGGCTCACCACTCGTGGGAGGGGCCAAAGGGGTCGGGTACAATGTGTGACGGGTGGTAGTCAAGGGTGGGGACCTTGGTGGTCTGATCCTCGGCTACAGAAGCTGGCTCTTGGCACATGGAATGTCACCTCTCTGGTGGGGAAGGAGCCTGAATTGGTGTGTGAGGTTGAGAGGTTCCGACTAGATATAGTCGGACTCACCTCAACGCATGGCTCTGGCTCTGGAACCAGTTTCCCTGAGAGGGGTTGGATTTTCTACCACTCTGGAGTTGCTCCCACTGAGAGGTGCAGAGCAGGGGTGGGCATACTAGTTGCCCCCCATCTTGGTGCCTGTATGTTGGGGTTTACCCCAGTGAATGAGAGGGTGGCCTCCCTCCGCCTACGTGTGGGGGGACGGGTTCTGACTGTGGTCTGTGCTTATGCACCAAACTACAGTTCAGACTACCCACCCTTTATGGAGACCTTGGAGGCTGGAAAGCGCTCCTTCCAGTGACTCCCTTGTTCTGCTGGGGGACTTTAACGCTCACGTGGGCAACGACAGTGAGACCTGGAGAGGTGTCGTTGGGAGGAACGGCCCCCCCCGATCTGAATTCGAGTGGTGTTTTGTTATTGGACTTCTGTGCCAGTCATGGATTGCCCATAATGAACACCATGTTCAGACATAAAGGTGTCCATATGTGCTCTTGGCACCAGGATACCTTAGGCCGCAGCTCGATGATCGACTTTGATGTTGTTTCGTCTGACCTGCGGCCGCATGTCTTGGACACCCGGGTGAAGAGAGGGGAGGAGCTGTCAACTGACCACTACCTGGTTGTCAGTTGGCTCTGATGGTGGGGGAGGATGCCGGTCAGACCAGGCAGGCCCACGACGGGCGACGGTGGCACAGGAGTTAAGTGCTCGCCCCGTAATCTGAAGGTTGCAGGTTCGAGCCCCGCTCAGTCTGTTGCTGTCGTTGTGTCCTTGGGCAAGACACTTAACCCACGTTGCCTGCTGGTGGTGGTCGGAGGGACCGGTGGCGCCAGTGCTCGGCAGCCTCGCCTCTGTCAGTGCGCCCCAGGGCAGCTGTGGCTACATCGTAGCTCATCCCCACCAGCGTGTGAATGTGTGTGTGAATGGGTGAATGACTGTGTTGTAAAGCGCCTTGGGGGGTTCCAGGACTCTAGAAGGCGCTATATCAAATACAGGCCATTTACCATTTTCCAAACGAATCGCGAGGGTCTGCTGGGAACGTCTGGCAGAGTCTCCTGTCAGAAGGAGCTTCAATTCCCACCTCCAACAGAACTTCCAAAATGTTCCGGGGGAGGCGGGGGACATTGAGTCTGAATGGGCCCTGTTTTCGTACCTCCATTGTTGAAACTGCTGACCGGAGCTGTGGTCGCAGGATCGTCGGTGCCTGTCGTGGTGGCAACCCCTGAACCCGCTGGTGGACACTGGTGGGTAGGGATGCTGTCAAGCTGAAGAAAGAGTCCTATCAGGTCTTTTTGGCAGCTGACGGGTACTGGCAGTCCAAGCGGAACGTGGCTTGGGTGGTCGCCAAGGCAAAAACCCGGGCATGGGAGGAGTTCGGTGAGACCATGGAGCAAGACCTCCGTACGGTTTCGAGGAGTTTCTGGTCCACCATCCAACGCCTCAGGGGGGAGAAAGCAGTGCGCCATCAACACTATCTATAGTGGGGACGATGTGCTGCTGACCTCTACTCAGGAAGTTGTGGATCGGTGGGCAGAATACTTCGAAGACCTCCTCAATCCAACCGACACGTGTTCCAGTGAGGAAGCAGAGTCTGGGGACTTTGGGTTGGCCTCTCAAATCTCTGGTGCTGAGGTCACTGAGGTGGTTGTAAAGCTCCTCTGTGGCAAGGCTCTAGGGGTGGATGAGATCCGCCCGGAGTTCCTTAAGGCTTTGGATGTTGTGGGGCTGTGTTGGCTGACACGGCTCTGCAGTATCGCATGGACATCGGGGGCAGTCCCACTGGACTGGCAGACCAGGGTGGTGGTCCCCTTATTTAAAAAGGGGGACCGCAGGGTGTGTTCCAACTACAGGGCAATCACACTCCTGAGCCTTCCTGGTAAGGTCTATTCAGGCATTCTGGAGAAGAGGGTCCGTCGGATTGTTGAACCTCAGGCTCAGGAGGAGCAATGTGGTTTTCGTCCTGGCCGTGGAACACTGGACCAGCTCTATACCCTTAAGGGGATCCTGTAGAGTGCGTGGGAATTTGCCCAACCAGTCTACATGTGTTTTGTGGATTTGGAGAAGGAGTTTGACCGCGTTCCTTGGGGGCCCTGTGGGGGGTACTCCGGGAGTATGGGGTACCAGGCCCTCTGATTCGGGCTGTTAGGTCCATATATGACCGGTGTCAGAGTTAGGTCCGCATTGCCGGCAGTAAGTCGGGCTCGTTCCCAGTGAGAGTTGGACTCCGCCCTTTGTCACCAATTCTGTTCATAACCTTTATGGACAGGATTTCTAGGCGCAGCCAAGGTGTGGAGGGCATCCGTTTTGGTGGCCTAAGGATCAGGTCTGCATTTTGCAGATGATGTGGTCCTGTAGGCTTCATCAGAACGTGATCTTCAGCTTTCGCTGGAGCGGTTAGCAGCCGAGTGTGAAGCAGCTGGGATGAGAATCAGCTCCTCTAAATCTCAGACCATGGTCTTGATTCGGAAAAGGGTAGAATGCCTTCTCCGGGTCAGGGATGAGGTCCTGCCCCAAGTGGAGGAGTTTAAGTATCTCAGGGTCTTGTTCACGAGTGAGGGAAAACTGAAGCGTGAGACTGACAGGCGGATTGGTGCTGCATCTGCAGTGATGCGGGCGTTGTACCGGTCTGTCATGGTGAAGAGAGAGCTGAGTTCGAAGGTGAAGCTCTCGATTTACCGGTCGATCTACGTTCCTACCCTCACCTATGGTCATGAGCTTTGGGTAGTGACCAAAAGAACGAGATCGTGGATACAAGCGGCTGAAATGAGTTTTCTCCGAAGAGTGGCTGGGCTCTCCCTTAGAGATAGGGTGAGAAGCTCGGTCATTCGGGAGGGGCTCGGAGTAGACCCGCTGCCCTTCCACATCGAGAGGAGCCAGTTGAGTTGGCTTGGGCATCTGGTCAGGATGCCTCCTGGATTCCTCCCTGGTGAGGTTTTCTGGGCACGTCCAACCGGGAGGAGACCTAAAGGTAGACCCAGGGCATGGTGGAGGGACTATGTCTCTCACCTAGCCAGGG